TTCACACAATCCACCCTTCACATAATCCACTATACACACAACCAACCCTACACACAATCCACCCTTCACACAATCCCCCTACACACAACCCACTTTTCACACAACCCACCCTTCACATAATCCACTATACACACAACCCACCCTACACACAATCCACCCTTCACATAATCCACTATACACGCAACCCACCCTTCACACAATCTACCCTACACACAACCCACCCTACACAAATGTACAAATGTTCTTTTATTTATCAGTCTAGTCTGCTTGTTCCTTTAGTATACTACTGCACGCAATATTCAAATACACAAATATACATCAGTTTAACACATTTTCATTGTTCATTTTTAAATTAACTAAACACTAGATTATAATATTATTTTGAATTCAGATTTTCACGCGTGTTATGCGACATATTTCATTGTTGAATCTCTCTGTGTTTGCCTGTGAAATTAAAACGTTTTTGGTCTATATTTGAGGAACGTGCTAAAAAACAATTGAAAAAATGTTATTGAATTTATTTCAGGGCTTGGTATGGACTAGGACAGACATATGAATTGTTAAAGATGCCTTACTATTGTCTTTACTACTACAAACAGGTGAGAGAGAATTTTTAAATATGAAATACCTCTTTTGTTTGTTTGGTACACAACTTTTTCGGGATTATTATTATTATCATTATTCAAATTATTCTATAGTTTTAAAGGTACTGGAAACTTAATTTTAATTGACCCTCATTTACAATGACGATGGTATTGTCGGGGTTCTGTCTTAACATATATTATTAACAAGACATTTTAAACAAATATATTAATAAGACTTTTTACAGGGAATAACTAAAATTTTTATTTTCAGGCCCAAGAGCTGAGACCTTCTGATAGTAGAATGCTGGTAGCGCTTGGAGAATCATACGAGAGATTAGATAAAATACCGGTAAGAAAGCTCCGGGGGGATAGATTATATATTAGTAAGATATCAGGGGGTCCAAATGTATTGTCGGGTGATGAAAAGGCCAGATGAGCTGAAAAATAATGCAGACGGGTCATTCAACCGATTAAAATATAGCTTTCTGTGTAATAACCTAAATAAATAAGCCGATAAACAGGGTACGTGTAATTTACCGTCACATCTTGCTTGCTTCATGTTAATACATATATAATGCTATGTTGTTTCTGTGTCGGGAATATCGAGGGAGGGATAGCACTGCTCTGGATTACTTGATATAAAATGTTTCTGGAAGGCCCACGGTGTCGGGTATATCGAGGGAGGGATAGCATTGCTCTAGCTTGTTAAACTGTATAATCTGTTTTGACTAGGATGCCATGAAATGTTTCTGGAAGGCCCACTGTCGGAGATATCGAGGGAGGGATAGCACTGATCTAGTTTTGCTAAACTGTATAATCTGTTTTAACTAGGATGCCATGAAATGTTTCTGGAAGGCCCACTGTGTCGGGGATATCGAGGGAGGGATAGCACTGCTCTAGCTTGCTAAACTGTATAATCTGTTTTAACTAGGATGCCATGAAATGTTTCTGGAAGGCCCACTGTGTCGGAGATATCGAGGGAGGGATAGCCCTTCTCAAACTTGCTAAACTTTACGAACATATTAATGACGTAGAACAGGCTGCTGCGGCTTATTCACAGGTTAGCTTCTATTTTGACTAATTTCTTACATTTAAAAATTTTATATTTACATTTTTAATTTACATGTGCATTGTGCAATGTACATGAAAATTATATGGTTAGACGCTGTTATTCAGTTAATAAGCATCTAAATCCTACAACTAACGAGGAATAATATTTTCTCGTTTTAGTTAAAATAATGCCAAATCTGCAAAGTAATGCAGTAATGTACAGTGAAAAATTGACGGGTTTAGCACCATAGATGCAGGAAAGTTACTGGATTAAGATACAAAAGTTTCGTCCTCTTCATGATGAAATTAAATTGTTTAAACAAGTGTAAAGATTAATATAACTCTTGTTTTTGTTTCAGTATATCCAGGAGACAGAACGCCAGGGTACACCTGAACGTGATGAACAGGGTGGTGCCTTCAAGTTCTTGGCCGGATACTATCTCAAGCGGGATCTGCTCGACGAGGCCTATGAGTTCGCGATAAAGTGCACTCAGCTCGCTGACGTTGTTGAGGAATTGTTCGCATTCATTTTTTGGCAGATTTTTATTCGCATTCTTAAATATAGTTTTAAATTACTTAGAATATATTCAAATGAATTTAAGGCAATAATTCTAAAAGTTGCTTTTCATGCCACCATTTTTACTTCATACAAAACAAAACAAAAAATCACAGATTTTCTTTTTTTACTAAGGAATTTTCCAAGTCTTTTAAAATCAAAAGTCGACTGAGCCTGCTTTATCTAAAATATTTGGACTTTATAGGTTCAGCCGTTTTGATGTTTATTGGATATAAAAAAATATGAATTTTCATCTTTTACAATCCATATTTGAAAACGTTGAAGGAATGTGAATGAATACACTAGGCTGGTAAAGCAATGATTAAAGAAATATCGAACCGACGAGGGAAAACTGAAGGATCCAACCATACTGTGATGGAAGATCAAGCATCATTCGTTTCATCTAGAATCCGTCCTCTCAACGATACTACATCAAGAGATGTAGAACCTGTCGGTCTAAGTTTTAACTCATCATCTGCTTTTAACAGTTGCAACTCATGATATGTTGTTGACAGTTTCAAACTTTGATCTGTGTTTAAGTTTCAACTCATGATCTGTAGTGAACAGTTTTAACTGATGATCGATCTGTTGTTAACAGCTTCAAGTCATGATCTGTTGATAAAAGTTTCAAATCATGATCTGTTTTTAAAAGTTTCAAATCATGATCTGTTACCAGTTTTAAAATGTGATGTGTTTTAAGTTTTAACGCGCATGATGTTAATGAACACTAGTGTCAAATCGTAATCTTATATTTTTTAACATTAGTTTCAAGACGTGATCCGTGCTTTCTAACCACGAGTGGTTTTCCATTCAACGCGTTAAAAGAAACAATAGAAAAGAAATTAAATTGCGATCAACTGATGATGTGTAGCTGCTTCAGTGTCTATACTGTACATATTGTACAAAACTTTATGATTATTATTAATTTTTAACCGAACCCAGCAAAGTGAGAAGCTTGATGTTCTGTTAAAATAAGTATGTTTAGTACCTTGGGATCTGAGTATTCTTTATTTAGAGGAACTGAAGACTTTTCTTTACTTTGATCCTTTTTTCTTTGCAACCTGATGTAAACTTCTAACATCTTTAACTCGACCAAATAGTTTGAAATTTTATAGGTTCACACAATCAGGTTGCAAAGAGATATGTATTTGAAAATTTAAGAGTTTGACACAAGTTATCTGTTCTTCTGATCCAGAACCCATTCAATATAATTATTCAATTTTCATACTAAATATTTTAAATCATCTATGTACCTAACCACCGGCTGTGATAGATAAAATGGCGGTAAATGTGTACGCTACCAGTGGAACAACGGAGAACTTGTCTAGGCACGACATGCTCGCGTGGGTCAATGATTGCCTTCAGACTAGGTAAAAAACTTATAAATTTTACTGCCTGCAGTTTCCCTTCCTTCCTTCAATGGGAAGATTTTTATTGTATCATAGATAAATGAGCATTTGGACCTTGTACCTTTAGGTGTCTATAATTATTAATACATAAGAATAAGATGGAATTTAATCGAAATGACTGTCGCAACTTTGCTACCTCGTAACTTCTATTGTTCCAAAGAGGAAGAAAAGTAAACTAGCCCGAGCATGATTGCATAAAATATCCATCTTTTTTATGATGATTTCATTGAGAGTCGGACATGCTTGTTTTTGAATGAAGAATCACTTCAAATTATGCTTGTAGTTCCTTTAAGTTTGATTTACTAGGTATGGTAAGATAGAAGAGATGTGTTCTGGAGCAGCATACTGTCAGTTCATGGATATGCTTTTTCCGGGCTGTCTACATCTTAAAAAGGTAAAACCAATTGTTTAAGCATTTATTGTTTTACAGGGGTTTATATTTTCTTGAAAAACCATTTCCCTTCCGCTCCTCACAATTTCCCCTGGTATATTATGAATTTCCCCTGGTATATTATGAATTTCCCCTGGTATATTATGAATTTCAATCTTTATTTTCGCTGAAGTAGGGAAAATAAAAGATTTTAGGGGGAAATTGGTGAATTTTTGGTTAATATGAGTATCATAAAGGAATAAAATATGTCCGTTTATGTCCATCCAATTTTCCATTTTTATACCCAAAATGTTCTGTGGGCGGGGAGAGAGGGATATCTATGCCCCTGAAATTGATTGTAGTACTGAATCAAGATCTGTAAAGGACATTCTGAACTGTTAATTACATATTTATTATGTTTAGGTTAAGTTTAACACTAAGTTAGAACACGAGTTCATCAGTAACTTCAAAGTGCTCCAGGCCTCTTTCAAGAAGATGAACGTGGATAAGATCGTTCCCGTGGATCGGCTCATTAAGGCAAAGTTCCAGGACAACTTTGAGTTCCTGCAGTGGTTCAAGAAGTTCTTTGACGCAAACTACGGGGGCCAGGAGTACGACGCGTTGGAAATGCGTGGAGGAGAGGATGTAGGATCTACCTCGAAACCTGCACAGAGGGTAGGAACACTTAAAGTAATATTCACTCCAGTGCTTAGGATCCGGTTTGATCCACGACATTTTGGATCCAGGATTTGGATCCGGATCCGCATCAAAATTAAATGGATCCTAAGCACTAGTCAACAGTCAAATATTTATTCATATCTCTTTTATTTGTTTGTTCTTCAAACACACGCCACATTAATATGTCTCATAATTGTAAAAATAATTTTATATAAAAATGTGCTACAAATCGAAATTGTTCTCAAACGATATTTTTCTTAAAATTTAACAATTTATTCGTAAAAGAATTCAAGTTTTAAAACTAAATCTCTTAAAAATCATCAGAAATATGGTTGGGTGGATATTGGGTAGCTCTGTAGAAGTACCACTTTCGTTTTATTTTTGTTTCTTGATTTTTAGTCGGCGAATAAGGTGCCAGCTACTGGAATGTATCTGCCTAAACCAGTTCAAGATAAGGTGCACATTAACTACGTGTGCCTGTAAAAGCCTGTATACGCCTGTTGAAGTCAATTGCTTTATTTAACCAACACTTTATATTACTAACTTTGTTTTTTTATGTTTAACTTGTCAAGGATTTAAATTGGTGATTTCAAGTGAAGTAAAATAGTCCTTGAAGTAACCATTGCATCCTGTTCTACTTACAATTATTTTTATGTAATTTTAGGTACTGGATCCCATTTTTTTCACTCCTGTATTCTTTATTTCTGCATTTTATTATCTTTTGATAATCATTTCAGTCGTCAATACGTGATTTACCATGCCATGAGTTGAGTCATGAGTTGGGTCATGGGTTAATTTATGAGTTGATTCATGAGTTGATTCATGAGTTCATCCATGAGGTGATCCATGAGTTGATCCATGAGTCGATCCATGAGTCGATCCATGAGTCGATCCATGAGTCGATCCATGGGTCGATCCATGAATTGAGTCATGAGTTGAGTCATGAGTTGAGTCATGAGTTGAGTCATGGGTTAATTCATGAGTTGATTCATGAGTCGATCCATGAGTTGATCCATGAGTCAATCCACGAGTCTGGGGTTTATATATTTTTGGGAAGGGGGGGGGGGGTATTTTGGATGTCGGCAAATAATTTTATATGCGGGGTAGGAGGTTATTTTTTAAAAAAGAATATATTCTCCTGTCAAAAGTTGATACTTAACCTAATAACATGGTTTGTCCATAAGTTGATCCATGGTTCATCCATATTTTATCAAGGTGAAGCATTGTTAATAATGAACAGATTTTAAAAAACTGTTGACATTTTCTTCTTTCAAAAAATAGCATTGAAACTAAGACATCTGTTTATTGTATATCAATGCTACATTTACATACAAGACTGCTCAAACAAGTAAATATTTTTTAACAGTTGAATATAGTGCATCCTCTCTCCTGTAATTTTAAAACATAGTCATCATTTTTACAGGGAAAGGCGAGAATTTTTTTACTTCTTCTTTAATATTTTTTTTTCTGGTTCTGGTTATATTTTTTTTCTGGTTCTGGTTATATTGATTGTATTGTCACATTAGTGTTCTTTTTTTTTGATACTAAAAAAGAATTTAGGATTCGCGTATAGTTAAAATAAAATAAGTAACACAAAGAAAAAGTTAAGTTTTTATTTTGTAAAAATGATGAACCTATATCATATGAGGTTAAGATAAGTAAAACTCTTTTCTGTTTAGCCAATGGGAGGATCTAGACCGTCTCCTTCAAGTGGAATGCCTAAAAGAAACCTTGCACCAAGGCCGGCAGTTAATTCAAGGTGGGTGAATTTCTATCCTTTGGGCAAGAAATTTGAAAATTTGGCAACTTATTTTTTTCCCTTTATTTACATTTTTCTTGCTTGCAGATAAATCTGTAAAATATATTCTTCTTTTTATATTTTTTTTACTTTTTTTACTGTTAACTTTTTTTCCTTTTTTTTAAATTGATGGTAATATCAACTGATAAGGGTCAACACAGACTGAAGTATATTTCTGGTAAATATGTCAGTCACGGTACCCGCTCATCCGACCTAGAGGAAACTTATGTTAACCTTTAAAGAGGTTAGGTTAGACAGAGACTGGGTAGGTGGAGTTAGATGGTGATAAGACGTAGTTAAGAAGGGGGGGTCGATTAAAAACTATTTTGCTATTTTCTTAAAACCACCTCGAAAATTAGTTCGGATAACCTTTACGTCGGTTTCCTCAAGTCAGTTTCAGTAGCATCGAAATAGCATCTTCGGTCAACATTATTGTGATTAGGATCAACATGAACAATTTTAACTAATCTGTATTAGACCTGCCCCGCGTCCTGCAGGAGGAGGAATGAGATCTCAGAATGGAGGAGGAGGAGGAGGGATGAGTGCTGATGCACAGCTACAGATTGAAGATCTCAACGCACAGGTATTTGACAAAGTCTGTTTCTTGGGTTGTTTGTTAGTATCCAATGAACGTCAAAACGGCTGAACCGATTGGGCCTAAATTTGTTGTGAGAACCGATGACCCTAAAGATAAAGCCTCAGGACGTAGCGGTGCAGAGGGTGGGGGGGGGGATAGACAAAACTCTCACGTGGCCGCAGCGCCGGCCCCCTAGCCTGTTCTAGCCGCGCCGCTCGGCCCCCTAGCCTGTCCTAGCCGCAGAGCTCGGTCCAGCAATTGTCTTACCCTCAATAAGAAAAAGTAAAAGGAGTTTTGTATATCCCCCATCCGCACCGCTACGTCCCATGCTAAAGATGAATGGTCGGTCCGAATATAAAAAACTCAAATTAATAATGTTTGAAATCGCCTCATAAAAAAAGAAACTGCGAATTTGCTTGCTAATTTTTATTGCTGTGAGTGGTGAACCCTGTTTGATGCTTGTATAAATAAAGTCCATTGCAGTTATTTTTTAAAGGGGGTAGGTGAATCTTATTTCTATGCCTCTGTTAAAATTTTTTCATAAATTTCTTCTAATTCCTTGGAAATTATGAAATTATGAAGTATATTATGGATCAAATAATTATGAATTATTTTCCTAGTTGCTTGAACTGAAGCTGACTGTGGAGGGTCTAGAGAAGGAACGAGATTTCTATTTCGGAAAACTTCGAGATGTTGAAGTTCTCTGCCAGGAAAACGATTCCGTAGAAGGAGAGGCTGTCAGGAAGGTAGGACTGCTGAAATTCTAATATCTTTGCTACCCGATGGTATAAACCTACCTTTCTTGGTCCATTTTTCTATTCCCCCGCCCTATAGAAATGGTCTAGATATTCAAATCTAAACTATTGATAAAGAGAGCTTATCAAAAATGTCCTTATTTCTAAATGATTAATCAAGTTTTAGCTTAAAAATAAGCGGAAATTATGAAAAATAATTTTTAAATGAAATGAAAACGAAATAAAAATGAAATGGATCCTAAGTACTGCTTCAAACTTATCTTAATTTTACTTTCAGGTTGTGTTAGATATTCTCTACCAGACCGAAGAAGGGTTCGCAGTTCCGGACGAAGATGATGTTCCCCCACCCCCTGAGGAGGAGTACTAGACCCCCCCTCCCTCTTCGGCAATATACTGGAATATATATGTTAAATTTCCAATCGTGAACAATCCTTATGATAAAATAAGTTAATACTAAGTTAATAAAATTGCTTGTGTTTAACTCTCTTGGCCTTCCGAACTTATTTCAAGCATTTCTCCGACTTGCCCCGGAACCACCCGCCGTACTCCCGCCTCCTGGACCTGGTCTAGCGGCAACATAATGCTGAGATCGTTGTGATATATTTTATGTGTTTTCAACTTTTCATAAATGTGCCTTTACTAATTTCTCTCCGCCTGTATAATCCATGAATCAGTTACCAAAATACTCAACTTTCAACCACTGTAACGTCAAGAAATGTTTGGTTATTTAAGATTATTCTATGAAAAGCTGTATTTATTATAGATAATTTTGCTGTTTTATAACAAATTTTAATCCATTAAAATATTGTTTTCTATTGTATTTTTTGTAATCACTTCTTGCTCGAGCATTGACTTCCTTCCAGATCTATAGAAAATGGGAACAAAATGGCAGATGGTGCGAGTTCTACGGATGGGAATGCGAACTATGGATTCACAATATTCCCAAACTAGATTGATGGGAAGGCGAGGCTTCTCTTTACCGTACAAGGGAACCCTCAATAAAGTTTAAATTTTTTTAAAAAATTTGTTTCATTCAGGGAAAGGCATTTTAACTTGTTTTTGAATGAGGTATGTGCATTATGCAAGCTTTACATTGTTTCCTCGAATTTCGTGAATTCAAAATAACATATCAAGCGACCCTTTATGCATATATGGCAATGCCCGATTCACAACGGTACGCTGAACAGTTTATTCTGACCAAGTATGAATTCGACAACATTGTTTTTAAGTTTGAAAATAGATTATTTCCGATTGTGTGGGTTTACTACTAAATCGACTTGTATGTTAATACTGATCTTAATTTTTCAATACAGCAACCAAGACATTATTTAAAATTACAGATCTAAGACACTTTCAAAGGATTTTTAAAATACATATTGAAATATTTGAAAATCAAACATTTAATGAAATATCCTGAAAACTTCGAAATCCTCGAATTTGTTTAGAAAATTCGCAATTTATCGTTATCAGTTAGTTTTTCATCAACATGGCACAGCTAATTTTCTGGGAAGATAATACCGTGATGCCACAAGATCAGTTTGATTTTACGAAGAAATCTGTTCTGTTTGGTCTGGATTCAGATGGAGAAACTATCCGGCAATTTGTTTTGGCTGAAGAGTTGAAAAATACCTATTTTGTTCTCTTCTTTTTCCCGATGGATTTCAAGGTCGATTCTTCAGAAGTCCTTGCCTTTAATAAGGCATTAGAAGAGTTTAAAATGAGAAACATTAAAGTTATCGGAGTAACTCATGATAGTCCTTACGTGATCAAGCACTGGACCAGGAAGGATTCGACTAAGGGAGGATTTGGGAAAGCTGCAGGATTCCCAATCTTGTCGGACAAAGATCTTAAACTTGCCCATATGATGGGAGTAGCACAGCCAAGTGGAATGCCTGCAAGGTCTACATTTATCATAGACTGGAATGGAGCAATAAGGTACATGATGATTCATCGCAGTGACATAGGAAGGTCTGTTGTTGAGATTCTTCGTCTTTCCATTGCCTTTCGACATTCTGATATGACTGGAGAAATCACCCCAGCCAAGTGGATGGAAGGAGATGAGGTGATCCCTACTGAATTTAATCAAAAGGTCGCATACTTTAAAAAGAAGTACGGCAAGTCGTCTCAAACCGAAACGGCTAAAACTGAGTCTTCCGACACAAAAAATACAAAGAACGGTAAAGAAAATGGTGACAAAAATACGGGAAATAAATCTAGAAAATCTGAAACTCCTTCAAGCAAGAATTCTTCAGACTCTAAATCCCAGATAAGTTCCAGAAAGGCCAAATCTCCTACCCTTGCCTAATAGAATATTGCTACGAGTTCTATACAAAACACAACATACGTTCTGAACGGGTTACTTCAAACCCATTACTTTAGTTACAAGATTTGATGTGATATTGACTAAAAATTTTATAAAATATATGAGAACTTAATATTTTTTGAATAAATTGTCAAAATGTACTTAAAATGATTCTATTAAAAGAAATTTGCATTTTTAATTGTATTATCGGTTCTTCACAGAAGTATAGCTTTTGTTTTCATGTAATCAGTTTATAGAACTCTTCAACTTTTTACAACTTTGTCTTTTTATGCATTAGAAGTGAAATTACGCCCAACAATTAAGATTTGTTTGAAAATCAATAATCGACAATGAAAATTCTACATATGGTATCTATCTGAATGGTTCATTAAAAGATGTAAATGATAGTTTAGTTACTCTTAATATTGAGTTTTGGTTCGGATAGGCTGTATTCGAGGGTGATGAAGGAACCAGAGTTGAATCTAGGCTCACCAAGCTCGACCAAACAATTCAAAAAAATGAAAAACTAATAAAACCCATGTATACAAGTCCATCTGGTCAGATACCGAAACCAGAAAAATTTGACCCCAAGCAAACAAATCGTGACGTAAAAAATAAAAAACATTCTCAGTTTTCAAACAAAGATATAAAACATACCACCGTTGTCGAAGAAGAAATGAAGAGTTCTGGAAGTTCTCTGAAAGATATTGAAAATGAGGTTAGGTCAGATACGCTATTAGTATTAGTTTCTGTGTCGCCGCGTTCTTAGTTCATTTTTGACGCCGACCACAGTACCACTTAAAAAATATCGTCCCCTACAGTAAATATACTTGTCCTTCTATTTATCTAGACGTTATGAATTAGTTGACATTTTTATCATTGCTTTTAATTCCACTTCAGTAATATTTTGACGCCTTGAAATTTCGATCACCCCCACCGAATTTTAAATTGTAGAGAATATATTGTAGGAGGATGAGGATGATGAGATGATGAAAAGTGGATTTCATATTCCACATTATACTAAAATTCACGCCTGGGATAAAGGAAATAAAAAGGCAGGAAAAACCGTTCTTAAATTTTTTATGAACATTCTTTAATTTAGCATCATGTCTGAAGATATGCACAATATCGAGTTCTATGCTCTAAAGATACAAACTTAATATTCAGGTGAAAGAGCTTGGACGGTTACTTACGAAAAATCAACGAGATCGCAGTGTTGTCGTATTAGAAGGATACAGGGACTTATCAATAATTTCTAAAAGAGTTCTGTCCAGTATTTTTTTTAACTATTTTATTTTTCATGTTACAAATTATGCAGTGCTTTTTCCAAATTTTAAATAAATACTTGATAATCTTGACAACAAGGTTGATAAATGATGCCCTATTATCTGGTCTTCAGCCCTCTTTGCTACTCTTCAGTAGAGTAAAACTGCTTCGAGATATTGAAATCAGTAGTTTAGGTCAGGTTTTGTATTCTTGTTATTGTCAAATAATTCTCAGGAGCTCGTATTGACTCAATTTTAGCCCAACTTAATCACTTATGAAGTAGTTTTCTTAAATTCATATAGATGCAATATTGATTGGACTAGGGGTAAATTGAACTAAAATTAATTGATTAAAAGCCGGTTTTTAGTCTTTTTAACATTCAATATGTTAAATTGGACTAATAAGAAAAAAGTTCACTATCATCATTCGTGATCAAAAGCGTTATTTCAATCGATCATTTAGATTATCTTTTACCGAGATAGTCAACAGAATAGAACTTGAAAAAGAACGGATCATTTGACCAATTTCAATAATTTCTTCAAACGAAATTTTTGGTAACCCAAGATGGTTAAAGTTTTGAAAAACATTTTTCAGGTTCAGATTGTGTATGTTTTCATATTCCTTACGACAATATTAAACTATGGTCTGATCTGAAAACTCCACCTGGACTCATGGCTGCCTTCGACAAGCAACAGCTCGTTTCAAGCATAACTCCCTTCCATGCCCTGCCGATTACACTCGTCTGCGATAACGTGCGGAGTCCGGATAACCTTGGAGCAATCCTTAGAGTTGCTGCAGGAGCTGGAGTAGAACGGGTTCTACTTACTCGAGGTTGTGTTGATCCTTGGTCAAATAAAGTTCTTCGGGCAGCGGCGGGAGCTCATTTTCTGGTTAGTTGATCTAATAGTTTTAATTTTCTGGTTAGTCGATCTAGTAGTTTTCATTTTCTGGTTAGTTGATCTAATAGTTTTTATTTTCTGGTTAGTCGATCCAATAGTTTTCATTTTCTGGTTAGTCGATCTAATAGTTTTCATTTTCTGGTTAGTCGATCTAATAGTTTTCATTTTCTGGTTAGTCGATCTAAAAGTTCTAATTTGATCTAATAGTTTTCATTTTCTGGTTAGTCGATCTAAAAGTTCTAATTTTCTGGTTAGTCGATATATTATTTTTAATTTTCTGGTTAGTTGATCTAATAGTTTTCATTTTCTGGTTAGTCGATCTAATAGTTTTAATTTTCTGGTTAGTCGATCTAATATTTTTCATTTTCTGGTTAGTAGATCTAATAGTTTTAATTTTCTGGTTAGTCGATCTAATAGTTTTCATTTTCTGGTTAGTCGATCTAATAGTTTTCATTTTCTGGTTAGTTGATCTAATAGTTTTCATTTTCTGGTTAGTCGATCTAATAGTTTTCATCTTCTGGTTAGTTGATCGAATAGTTTTCATTTTTTGGCTGTTAGATTTAATAGTTTTCATTTTCTGGTTAGTAGATCTAAAAGTTTTCATTTTCTGGATAGTAGATCTAATAGTTTTCATTTTCTGGTTAGTAGAACTAATAATTTTCATTTTCTGGTTAGAGAACTAATAATTTTCATTTTCTAGTTAGTTGATCTAATAGTTTTCATTTTCTGGCTATTAGATCTAATAGTTTTCATTTTCTGGTTAGTAAATCTAATAGTTTTCATTTTCTGATTAGTAGATATAACAGTTTTCATTCTCCGGTTAGTAGATCTAATAGTTTTCATTTTATGGTTAGTAGATCTAATAGTTTTCATTCTCCGGTTAGTAGATCTAATAGTTTTCATTTTATGGTTAGTAGATCTAATAGTTTTCATTCTCCGGTTAGTACATCTAATAGTTTTCATTCTCCGGTTAGTAGATCTAACAGTTTTCATTTTCTGGTTAGTAGATATAATGGTTTGTATTTTCCGGTTAGTAAATATAATGGTTTTCATTTTCTGGTTAGTAGATCTAAAAGTTATTGTTCAATTTAATAATTGCATTATAATTTATTGTAAAATAGATGTTAACAACATAATATTTAAAGAAAAAAAATTGGTCTGGGTTGACTTTCTTCAGTTCTTTGAGATTTGTTTCTGTCATGAAGATTCTAAACCAACTGTTCAGGTGTCAATAGTTGAGAGGGTGGGTTGGGAGAATATACATGACCAGGTTCCATCTTATCCTCATGTTGTTATTGCGGATAACGTTTCTACTCCTCCTTCAAGGTCAGCCATCTTTATTCTTTATTTACTCGTCTTAACAGTGTTAAATATTTTCCCAAAGGCGACTTCCCAAGTGGCAACTTCCCAAATGTGCTATTTCTGAAGCGGCAACTTCCCAAAGGTTTTGATAGGCCTTTTGAAGCGCCGCATTGAGTTGCCGCTTAGGAAATTGCACATTTGGGAATTACCTAGCATCGTCTTAACGTCTTCTTCACTTTGGAATAGGAATCCAATTCATCGGTTCTCCGGTCCTTTGGTCCTTTTCATTAATCGTAAAACAATTAAAAAGGGTGAGAGAAAAAGAGGAAATGAAATCAAATATAAAATTCAGATTTTCAGTCCAGAAAAGTAAAAAAAATTCAAAACTTTTTTTCTGTTTCTAGTTTTGACAGAGAAGAAAGGATAAAATATCTGGAAGAACTGGAAACCAGGGGGATAGAGGAGGGAGGGTTTCATGTATCTAGTTCAGGTAAAGAATATGAACCCATTTTTTTCTCTTAAATTGTTTTCCAGCTTTCGATATAATGTACAGTTCTTACCATGTATTTGTAGATTTGCAAGAAATAATATTATTGTATCTTTATTCGTCCTACAACGCATTAATTAACATTGATGGAAGAATTGAGATTGGTGTTTCATTAATAGTATGAGTAATTATTTTGATATTATCAGGGTGGTCAAACTGTACGGATTTTACGTTTTTTTGATCACCCTGAAGTTGTACGGATTGTAAGTATTTTTTTCAAATTGTACGGGTTTTTTAGCCTGGAAATACATCTTTTTTTTTGACTCATTTCAGCAAATTTGCATGAAAACTTAAAAAAAAAATCTCGTCAAAATGTAGTTAATTTAACTTATTTTTTTATTGTTGATTCAATTGACAATCAAAATTCATTCATAATTTTTCGAGAATATTGATTTTTGCTAAATAATGAGAGAAGTATAAAACAAAATGCCATAATTATTTATCCTGTTTCTCCTCTCATTCTCATCCTAATTTACTTGTTTCTCCTCTTATTCTCATCCTAATTTACTTGTTTCTCCTCTCATTATCATCCTAATTCAATTGTTTCTCCTCTCATTCTCATCCTAATTTACATGTATATATTTATATGTATGAAGGTAATTTTTTACAGATTGATTTAAAAGTAATATACTGACTGCTCCTGCTAAATAAGTTTAACCCTCACACATGAACACAAAGGACATTGAAAAATTGAAGAAGAACCATTGAATTTTGATGTGTGTTTTTTCAAAAATGGTTTTATTTTTCATAAATGTACTGTTTGTACGGATTGTACGGATTTGTTTTGAAAATGTACGGATTTTTGTACGGAGTTTTTCAAAAAAGTTTTGGTAACCCTGTATTATGCTTCAATAAGTTAATATTTGATGTAATAAAACAACATGAAAGTAAAAAAATTACGTTTGATTAATGATTGAAGATGGACTAATTATTAGTTGACGTGTATTAGAGAATGGGAGTCCAGTATCGAGCTATCTTGATCCTAAGCTGACCAGTGAGTACAAGAGGATAGAGCTGGATACTTACCAGTATACGGAGTTTAACCTCAACCCTGGCTGCCGAGAGGTCGTCGTTATCGTCGGTGGAGAGACGGAGGTAAATAATTATTTGTATTCTAAATCTGACTGACAGTAAATAAATATTAACATGGCTCAGATTTCGTTGTGCTGATGGGATCTTTGTGAATATTATGATATAAACTAATAATATCAGATTTTAATAAAAATGAACTTTTCCTGATTTTCTAATATGCAAGGGGACTGAAAAGCCAGAGTCTTAAAAGGATTATATTCTGCCACTCACAGAAAGTAAATATTAATACTTTTTAAAATATGAAACGGCTTGCAATCTAAGAGTGTTTATATAGATAAATACGGAAAAGCCTGTCATCCTTGATCATTCGAATGTTCAAAGGATACCGTTGTCAATCAGATAAAATCACTTGGAATTACGCTTATAGTCCCTAATATTTCAAATTATGTGTTTATTAGGGAGTAAGTGATGCTGCGTACATGTTCTGCCATAAATTCAACGGATCCAGGCGATTATGATTTTCTACATATTTAGCGAATAATGTTTCTAAATGCGAGCTTTAAGGCGCAACTTCTGCTAAAATAATATTAGGTATGAGACTATATTGACGTCTTTATTGGCTTCAATTGCGTCTTCAGATTATTATATTCAACAAGTGTGTGAGGCCGTCATCAAATTTTATTTTGGTCACCTTGGATCTGTAGAAAACCATTTTCTTGTAGATTATATATTCCTCTCCGGAATAAACTAAATTGCCTGAATGTAGTGTCAGCTACTAGTGTCCTTCTCTTCACGGTTCAACAGAAACTGATGGAAATATTAGAAAACAAGCAGGACAGCTCAAGATAATTATGATGTGTAATGTGCATGTTTACAATGTATCGTTATTTAATAAATATTTAATGCTTTTTAGAAATTGAGTTCATGTATCAAGGTTTCAGTTAAAATGAAACAAAATGGTTGAAACGGATAAGATGATAACATGCGTGACTCTCCTGCATGGAAAAGATCTTGACTCTCTGATCGGCAGCGACAAGACGCTTGTTCGTGTACAGGAGCTGACGCAGGAGGAATCACTTGACAAACTCTTGCTTGTAAAACTCATTGCCACAAAAGTATATACATATCCAAATGGAAAGACGCTCACTAGATGTGAAGTTAAGGTAAGACTGGGTTCAGTATCAAACAATGCAACCTAGTTCTTCTGAAAATGACAATTCCAAATGAAACGGTTTTTTATTTTGAAATCGGTTTCTATAATTTTTTAATCGGCTATATAAAAAAACTTAATAGAACTATAAACTGTAAATAGTTTGTGAACTCCTGAGATCATGAACCCTTATCTGCATATTGGATATATCAGGAGATTATGAACTCTTCTCTGTATATTTATACATCAGGAGATCATGAACCCTGATCTGTATATTGTATACATATATCAGGAGATCATGAACTCTTATCTGTATATTTATACATAAGGAGATCAAGAACCCTGATCTGTATGCTTATATAGCAGGAGATCATGAACCCTGATCTGTATGTTTATATAGCAGATCATTTTATGAATCCCTTCATATAATTTCTTTGTCGATTCATCTAATGAATTCCACTCCCAATATAATTTTAAATTTATCATATAATCTATACTTTGTATTTCAGGTATGTAGAAAACGATCGATTCATTTTATGAATCCCTTCATATAATTTCTTTGTCGATTCATTTTATGAATCCCTTCATAGAATTTCTTTGTCGATTCATTTTATGAATCCCTTCACATATTTTCTTTGTCGATTCATTTTATGAATCCCTTCATATAATTTCTTTGTCGATCCATTTTATGAATCCCTTCATAGAATTTCTTTGTCGATTCATTTTATGAATCCCTTCACATATTTTCTTTGTCGATTCATTTTATGAATCCCTTCTTATAATTTCTTTGTCGATTCATCTAATGAATCCCACTCTCTATATAATTTTAAATTTATCATATAATCTATTTGTCGGTCCATTTTATGAATCACTTCTCTATAACTCAATAACTTATTATAAGCTTATTTATCAATTCATTTTAAAATTATTCGTTTCAACTCATGAATACCCTTTTTAAACACTCAGTTAACCGGGAGGGAGATTCTCTCTGTCAGCATTTAAATATGTATTTAATACAACTGTTTGGCAACTAGCTGACAAAAGGAATCAGACCGGTGACACGGCTCAAATTTGGTCGTGTGTCCGACGTTAGGATTTAAACTATGTCAGGCTGAAAAGCCTTCACCTATAGGGGATTGTGATGGCATACCCCTTGTAGGTCAAGGAGCTGTTGGACGCATCCCTAGCTGTATGATATGATATGATATGATAGCAGGAGATCATGCACCCTGATCTGTATATTCATTTATCAAGAGATCATGAACCCTTATCTGTATATTATATATATCAGGAGATCTAAAACCCTGATCTGTATATTGTATATATCAGGAGATCATGAACCCTTACCTGCATGTTATATATATTAGGAGATAATGAACCCTGATATGTATATTGTATATATCAGGAGATTATGAACCTTTATCTGTATGTTTATATATCAGGAGGACATAAACCCTGATCTGTATAATGTGTGTGTGTATATATATATATCAGGAGATCATAAACCCAGATGAACCAGATGTACTTCCTGAAACTTTTACTCGTCTAGTTCTACATGGAGCTTACAGTGATCAGTTCATTTCACACAAGGAATACTTGATATTTATGGAATATTTGAGCAATGAAAAAGGTATTTTGGGTGAATCTATTCTAGTATTAGGATGCGTTAGAATTTGAGAATCCAATTAAACCTTGATTCACAGTTCAAAATTCTATTTTTAAATATCTGGATGAAAAGGTTGAGATCGGTTGGTTAATGCTGATCCAGTATCCTAAGATCGAAGAATATTCACCACTACCTCACGAAGTTCTATCTGAAGCTAGATCTCCTTGGACTATCCGGATAGTTGCACGGAGAAACAAACTCCTGCCCGTAGTAAAATTCATCCTTCTCCATTCTCCTCGACTCCAACCTATACCTGAACCTCTAGTTTCTCAACCAAGCTCATCCCAAACTCGTCCATTCCTCTCCGAGACTCTAATCATTGAAAATCTTTTTAAGAGCGGGAATGATTTTACTCCGTCCTTCCCTGGTAGTGTTGAACCTCCAGCTCCGTCGGTTGAGCCTGGTAACAATCTAGTAGAGAAGGGAACCTCGGGGGAACCAAGTGTAAGAGAATTAAAATCTCCTGTTCCCTCAACCTCCACTCAGGTATTAGTTTTTATCATTAGGATTGCAATTTTAACCAGTACTAACTAGTATAAATCACTCCCTCCCAAGAGGCAATTTTACGAATGAATAGAACGATCAAATAATCTTACATATGGACTGCGTGTTTCATCCGCAGTGCAGAACACTATTTATTTAACACTAACATATCAAACAACCATTTACCAAACTGATTATAACCTATAGAATTATCCTTAGAACACAAGTGCCCTACATTTAGCCTGAGACCTTTTAAAAATATTTATTGAGCTTAAGGTTAATATTAAAAATATTTATTGAGCTTAAGGTTAATATTAAAAATATTTATTGAGCTTAAGGTTAATATTAAAAATATTAGGGGGAAACTATCTATATTAATTTATGTAGAATAAAACTAGCATTGTGCGTTTTCCTTGTGAATTTTACGATTTGGTCTAAAGAATATTTGAGCTTTAAATAATTTATTATAGGAAACAAATCCTCCAGCTGCTTCAGCTACGTCTACTGCTGATACTGCTAGTGTTGCTCCTCATGCAGCGGCTATTGCTTGCGTTGCTCCTGGAGTTGCTACTGCTCTTGTAGGTCCTGTAGGTCCTGATCCTGTATTCCGTAGGATGCGTCCTCTCATCTACTTCCGGGATGAAGGGCGGAAATATTCAACTCTCAAGGAGTGCCGGGTCAAGAAAACTAAATATAACGTATTTGCAGTGGTCAGGTTAGTTTCTATTATTATTATTTTATCTGTATATAAATATTTTATTTTCAAATATTTAGTTGAAATGAGAATGTTTTGTAGGTTTTGACAACAAAACTTGAACTGTAAAGTACAGAAAGTGCTTTTGTTTCCAATCTAAATAAATGAGTCTAAAACAATCCCTGTGTAACAGGATCGGGATGGGAATGGGAATGGGAATGGGAATGGGAATGGGAATGGGAATGGGGATGGGGATGGAGATGGAGATGGGTATGGGTATGTGAATAGGGAAGGGGATGGAGGGAATGGGAATGGATTGGATTTGATGTCGAATGATTTTGACATTATTTCAGTGAGATACTAGAACTCCCGCAAAAGAGGAAAGATAAGCTTGTAATGAAAATGCGGATCCAAGATGAGAGTTTAGATCATTCTGGTGTACGGTGAGTTTTCATTGATCTGTTTATTGATTTTTAGTATATTGCCAGTGCAATGTTTATAAAAAGTTGTTTCCTTTTCACTTGACACATAACATTGTTGATCTTTAATTTTTCTTTGTTTTAGTGGAAGCTTCAAGTTTGATATCTTGACATCGTATATGAACGAAATCCCTGTGATACAGGCTGGTTCCATCCTCCGCATACATAATCTTGTCGTAGAGGTCAGTTCAGGGAATATATTCTCCATATACATAATCTAGTCATGGAGGTCAGTTCAGGGAATATATCCTCCGCATACATAATCTTGTCGTAGAGGTCAGTTCAGGGAATATATCCTCCGCATACATAATCTTGTAGTAGAGGTCAGTTCAGGGAATATATTCTCCACATACATAATCTAGTCATGGAGGTCAGTTCAGGGAATATATTCTCCACATACACAACCTAGTCTTAGAGAAGGTCAGTTCATGGAATATATTCTCCACATACATAATCTAGTCGTATAGGTCAGTTCATGGAATATATTCTCCACATACATAATCTAGTCTTAGAGAAGGTCAGTTCATGGAATATATTCTCCACATACATAATCTAGTCGTATGGGTCAGTTCATGGAATATATTCTCCACATACATAATCTAGTCTTAGAGGTTAGTTTAGGGAATATATTCTCCACGTACATAATCTAGTCTTAGAGGTCAGTTCAGGGAATATATTCTCCACATACACAATCTAGTCTTAGAGGAGGTCAGTTCAGGGAATATATCCTCCACATACATAATCTAGTCGTAGAGGTCAACTTGTATTCTAAATAATAAAACAATATATTGGTATGTATGTTCCCTATAGCCGGCCAAACGGCTGGACCGAATGGGCTGTCAGTTTTTGAGAGAACCCATGGGTGCCCCGGGGGTAACAAAAGCTAATTGAAAGTCGAAATATTTTTTTCAATTAAAATTTATTCTTCCACGGGCAAGGCTGGGCACATCAGCTATTATTGTATTTGAAGAAAAAGTGTTTTTATGCAATAAAAAAAATTACATAAAAGGTTTGTTTTTTTGAAAATAAATTTAAAGGAATTGAGTCTTTGTCACAAACTTAAATTTTATCATCCCTATATCTTTGGAACTTGATGGTGTAAACCTTTAATATTTCGAACTTAGATTATTTGATCTAACAGACTTCATGCTTTGAAATATCTAAGGTTTACGACATTGGGTTGTAAAGATAAGAGATTAGAAAATCACCGTTTTTGGCAAAGACTCAATTCCTTTATTATCAAATTGCACAGTGAAATGTTCGAACATGTACGTACAATTTAAATATTCTTTTCTTTTTTTTAGGTTTTCATGGGTATTCCAGACGGCAGAGTTTTCAATGCGCTCAGTGTTACTTCTGTAAACGGTATTGAAACCAATTCTTAAGATTGAAAACTTTGAAATGGAGATTTTAATGATTTTCAAAAAAATATACATCCCTGAAAAAATTCGGTAGGAGGTGTTGATGATCCTGTTATCACTGAGAGTGGCAAACCTGAAGGAGAATTAATCTGGAAACCAACTGATACAACGAGGGTTGAACAACTCAGACTCTGGTACTCAAACAGAAACAAGGTATAGAACACTTTGTTGTTAATCGTTGTGGATCGTTAATGAAAAAATGTTAATAGAACTTCCAAGATTTCAAAACTTTATTAGGGTAAAGTTTTCTTTTATTAAACTTTGCAATATCAACCCCAAAAAAATGGAAACCCGATCCAAATAAAATCGTTATAACACGTTTGTTCTTGTATCCTCAAGGAAGCAGGGGTGGTGGCGGCGGTCTGGGGGTTCATAACGGGGCCTCTTTTTCAGATTTCATTTCAAATTAGTTCAAATTAACTGTCAAGGGTGATATTCTCGACAATGCTCATTTGCTTGTAGGGAAACCTGACCCTTGTAGCAAAATCAATATCAACCCTGATCTCACATAGCAACAGCGTAAGGAGGAGCGGGAGCTATATAACAATACTGAACAACTCAACAACGATCTCTCTGAAACTATTGAAAAAAAGAAAATGTTCAGAGTAAAAATTTTTAAAAACATTTGCTATTGTTACGCTTTTCCAAATTTTGACCCTGAAAGAAATGACCCAAAGACGAACCCGACTGAACGCACAAAAAAATATAGTTGGAGTAAAAAGGATATTAACCAACCATATTTATATTGAAATAATATTTTCAAATTTATAAAATTCCCTAAAGGTTTTCTTTGTCTAGGGAAAATGTGTGGATAGACTGCTGGAGGATATAAAGGAACAATGTATATTCAATCTCTACTGTAGAGTATCAAGTATCCGGGATATAAGTGAGGATACTAGAGTATATAGGTATACTTCCTCAACTGTAGTGTAGTCAGTATCCATGATATAAGTGAGGATACAAGAGTATAGAGGTATAGTACCTCTAATGTAGAATAATCAGTATCCAGGATATAAGTGAGGATACTAGAGTATATATGTATACTACCTCTACTGTAGAATATCCAATATTCAGGATATAAGTGAGGATACTAGAGTATATAGGTATACTACCTCTACTGTAGTGTATTCAGTATCCAGGATATAAGTGAGGATACTAGAGTATATATGTATACTACCTCTACTGTAGAATATCCAATATTCAGGATATAAGTGAGGATACTAGAGTATATAGGTGTACTACCTCTACTGTAGAGTATCCAGTATCCATGATATAAGTGAGAATACTAGATTATATAGGTATACTACCTCTACTGTAGAATATCCAGTATCCAGGATATAAATGAGGATACTAGAGTATATAGTTATACTACCTCTACTGTAGTGTATTCAGTATCCATGATTTAAGTGAGGATACTAGAGTATATAGGTATAGTACCTCTACTGTAGAATATACAGTATCCAGGATATAAGTGAGGATACTAGAGTATATTGGTATTCTACCTCTACTTTAGTGTATTCAGTAACCATGATATAAGCGAGGATACTAGAGTATAGAGGTATACTTCCTCTACTGTAGAATATCCAATATTCAGGATATAAGTGAGGATACTAGAGTATATAGGTATACTACCTCTACTGTAGTGTATTCAGTATCCAGGATATGAGTGAGGATACTAGAGTATAAAGGTATACTACCTCAACTGTGGAGTATCCAGGATATAAGTGAGGATACTAGAGTATAAAGGTATAGTACCTCAACTGTAGAATATCCAGTATCCATGATATAAGTGAGGATACTAGAGTATAGAGGTATAGTACCTCTACTGTAGAGTATACAGTATCCAGGATATAATTGAGGATACTAGAGTATATAGGTATACTACCTCTACTGTAGAATATCCAGTATCCAGGATATAAGTGAGGATACTAGAGTATAAAGGTATACTACCTCAACTGTAGAATATCCAGTATCCAGGATATAATTGAGGACACAGTTGACTTTCCAGTCGGCTTGACCGATTGGGCTGAATTTTTTGTGGAAACTCATGGGTGGCGCGGGAATGTCATAGGCTAAAAATCGATTTAAAAAAAATGTTTTTTCAAATTTTGTTTTAATTTTTTTCTGTCCACGGGCAACGCCGCGCCCATCAGCTAGTATCTAGTAAAGGAAAAATCTCTGTTTGACTATTTGTATTTGTCCAATCACAGATCATAAACCTCTTGTCCATTTTGCCTAAAGTTTTGGTTGGGAAACCAGCTAGAATCACGGGAATGCTTTTGTAGGATTATTAATTCGAAGTTAAGTCACCTGTGGCCGAATTTAATGAATTTGAGCGGCGGTTTAAATTTAAGCCGCGGCTTAAATATGGTTGGTTCCACTTTAAATTGTATCAAATGTTTCAAGATTTAAGCCGGCGCTAAATTTAAACCGGGTTTTGGCGGATTTTGGCGGATTTAAACCGCGGCTCAAATTCTTTAAATTCCATCTCTGACTTAAGTAGTGAAAGTATAGATTTTTAGGCCACGCTGGTTTCTATGCATTTTATATTTATTAAAAAAAATACACGAAACTAAATTTAATTGAAATTATGGAATTTTAAATACTATTTATAAATTATTATCTAGGGTTGAGGACGGTACCATATCTTCTCTGCTCTCTCTAGAGATAACTGATTCACAAACTCAGGAATTCAGAGCTCAATATTTTTGAAAATTATTACGGAAAACTTGATGCTTTAGATAGCTGGTTAATTGTAATTGGTTGGTTGGTTGGTTGGTTGATTATTTCTCGTTTGGTTGGATTGATTTTTCTCGTTTGTGTGGTTTGCTGGTTACATGGTTAGTTGTTAGTATTTTGATTGTTTAATTAGTCTGTTGGTTGGTTACTTTGTTAAGTAGTTGATCAATTGGTTAGTTGGTTAGTTAATTGGTTGGTTGGTTTTTATGTTATTTTGCTGCTTTTTTGGTTATTTTGTTTGAAATGATAGTTTAGAGCTCTGATAGTATTCAGGATTTTGATTTCGGTGTCGGAGAAGACAAACCCTTCATAGATATCTTTGTAAAGAATCCAGAGCAAATTAAAGGTATCAGTAAGGCAAACCCCTGAATTACCAATCTTTCGTAGATTTGGGAGAATTTGATTTTGATGGAATTTAACATTTTTAAGAAAATCTTAATTTGAATTAAGATCCTTGACGTATATCTGTTCTTTTCAGGGTTGGATGTTGCTGCTGGTCAGTATGTATACCTAGAGAAGGTTCAGTGTGGAGTAGACGAGGTGGATCAGAGTCAAAACCTGGAATCTTTAAACCAGTATTTTAAGTAGGTTTCATTCAATCTACTCGCGTCTTTAAACCAGTATTTTAAGTAGGTTTCTTATAAACATTAAACATACTCCCGTCTTTAAACCAGTATTTTAAGTAGGTTTCATTAAAACATTAAACATACTCCCATCTTTTAATCAGTATTTTAAGTATGTTTCACATAAACATTAAACATACTCACGTCTTTAAACCAGTATATCAAGTAGGTTTTATATAAACATTAAATATACTCCCGTCTTTAAACCAGTATTTTAAGTAGGCTTCTATACAACATACTCGCGTCTTTAAACCAGTATATCAAGTAGGTTTTATATAAACATTAAATATACTCCCGTCTTTTAATCAGTATTTTAATTATGTTTCACATAAACATTAAACATACTCCCGTCTTTTAATCAGTATTTTAATTATGTTTCACATAAACATTAAACATACTCACGTCTTTAAACCAGTATATCAAGTAGGTTTTATATAAACATTAAATATACTCCTGTCTTTAAACTAGTTTTTTAATTAGGTTTCATACAAATATACTCGCGTCTTTAAGCCAGTATTTTAAGTAGGTTCCTTATAAACATTCTTCCGTCGTTGAACCAGTATTTTAATTGGGTTCCATACATACAAACATACTTCCGTCGTTAAACCAGTATTCATGTAGGTTCCATACAAACATACTCCCGTCTTTAAACCAGTATATCAAGTAGGTTTCATACAAACATACTCCCGTCTTCAAACTAGTTTATCAAGTAGGTTTCATACAAACGTACTCTGGTCTTAAAACCAGTTTATCAAGGAGTTTTATACAAATATACTCCCGTCTTAAAATCAGTATATCAAGTAGGTTCCAAACTAACTTACTCCCGTTTTTATAATGCAATCAGTATGTAAATTATAAATATCTTCATTACAATAAAAAAAATTTTTGCATAACCATTATCCATAATTGTTTTGTAAATAAATAAAACGTTGTCGTGATATAATAGAATGTAGTTATGATGAAGTAAGATGTGGTTGTGATAAAATTGAATGTATTTCCGATAAAATAGAAAGAAGTTGGGATAAAATAAGTATTCATTGTAATGGAATAAGCTGTATTTATTATAAAATAGTATGTAATTGTAATAGAATAAGATGTAGTTGTGATAAAATTGAATGTATTTCCGATAAAATAGAAAGAAGTTGCGATAAAATAGTATTTGATTGTAATGGAATAAGCTGTATTTGTTATGAAATAGTATGTAATTGTAATAGAATAAGATGTAGTTCTGATAAAATACTATCCAGAACTTAACACAATGTACATTGAATATTATTGTTGTTTTAATTCCAATATTTATAATTGAATATTATTGTTGTTTTAATTCCAATATTTATACATTGAATATTATTGTTGTTTTAATTCCAATATTTATACATTGAATATTATTGTTGTTTTAATTCCAATATTTATATATTGAATATTATTGTTGTTTTGATTCCCATATTTATACATTGAATATTATTGTTGTTTTAATTCCAATATTTATACATTGAATATTATTGTTGTTTTAATTCCAATATTTATACATTGAATATTATTGTTGTTTTAATTCCAATACTTGACCTCCCATGTTTTTTTTATTTTAGATTTAGTTTAAACAGTCAAGGAGGAAGTAGGGTGAACATATTAGATTCAGACTCTACGCAGGTTTTTTTTTCAGTTTTAGATTGATTTGGTTTTTATTTTGATTGGGTTTGGATTCGATTTCGATTTCGATTTCGATTTCGATTTCGATTTCGATTTCGATTTCGATTTCGATTTCGATTTTTAGGAAGCCCAGCTCCGGAATAGACTCGGAGACAGACGAGATGATTCATCCCTGGTGGACAGCTACCTTGAGGACATAATAAACTTTGCCAATAACGGAACTCCAATGCCAAGTCCGAAGAAAAGAACTGGGAACTTTCAAGATGGCTGTTTGAGACCTAACAGCGTTTTTTATACTTTCGACAAAACCAAACGTAATTTAGGAAATACAAACTCTAAGATTTCTCCGGAAGTTCCTATTCAGAGGGATATTTCATCTCCGGGTCGGAAAGATGTAGGAGAAGAGCAGAATAGATTCTCTGAAGAAGTTTCAACTCAAAGTACACCCTTGAGAACCTCTCTGAGTGACACAGTCTGGAGTATTGAGAGGCCTAGTGTTGAGGATAAAGGTTGCCAGACACCTGAACCTGCTAATCACGGACCAAAGAGATCCCTGTTTACAAACCCTTCAACGTCCAACTCTATCAGTCCTAGTTCAATCTCAAGTCCAGAGAAACGGAAGGGAACCTTTAAACGATCTAGAGAGGAAGAAGACTCGAGTGAAAATATTTCTAAACCACATAAAAAAATCAAATTAAAACATCCTAGCAACAAAGGTAGTGCTGAAAAACAGAAAAATGGCGCAATTACCAAAACTAAAGATGATGATGATGATGAACATCCCAACAACAAAGGTAGTGCTGAAAGACAAGAAACTGCTGAAGATACCATGGACAACGAGGAACAGTCTGGCAACGAAGTTACTGCTGAAGAACAAGACAATGATGTAAACACTAAGGATAAAGAGGATTTGGAGGAAATTATTAATGAAAGAAGGTCGTCTCGTAGTAGCTTATCCCTGACTAACTTCCAGAACGGACAGAAGCTAGTTGAATCAAGCACTTCCGGTTCCATCAACTCATCCAGATATCGGGTAAATTTATTTATAAAGGGATTGTATACATATTTTTAAGTCATCCTCCATTTATTGGGTGACAATTCCAGGACTCAGAGGTACCCTTTAAAGCGTCACATGAACAACAATGATGAGACCGGGTATCGTGTTTTATCTTAAAATGTGATAAATTCTGTCATTTTTCTCCGCTGCAAGTCATGAGAGCTCACAATTGAAAACTGACAATTTTCAGAGAGAAAACCAAGGAAATCTCTATCACCTTTGATCGTGAAAGATTTAAAGGATATCGGACATACTTCTCCATATATGGAGAGTCACTTAAAATATAAGTAGTAAAACTATTTGATTTATAAGACCCTATCTTAGGTTGTTGGCGTAGTTTTAAATATCTTGTAGGGAAGTAACATTTCCATTCCATATATTCTTATTCTTTGCATAATGGGGGGGGGCANTTTAAAAGGTCACGTGTCAGTTAATAAAAATGAATGTTCTGAAAACGACAAGACTGTTGTGGGATGTCGGAGTTTTAGCACCCCTCCTTTTATCGTTTTTTTAACACGAATTAAATTTTCCTTTAAGGTGCATGTAGCAGTATTTAACGAAGGAGAAGAAGGCTTCCAGGAAAAGCAAGATTTATTAGAAGAATTAAAGATTAAAGAGGATGAAAAGAAAAGGGAGGATAAAAAGATGAAGGAGGCTAAACAAATGGCAGAAAAGAAAGCAGAGGCTGAAAAGAAAAGGGAGGCTAAAAAGATGAAGGAGGCTAAAAAGATGGCTAAAAAGATGGCAGAAAAGAAAGCAGAGGCTGAAAAGAACCTGATAAGATTTTCACAGGTCAGCTTTGATTTTTGATGGCTGAAAATTCATTATTTTGTTGTTCATTATTCAAAACATTATCCCCATGGGATGTTTAATCGTATCTTGTCTTTCCTAGAAACAAAGAAGTTTGAGGTCTGATGACGTTAGGATGAAAGCTCTCCGTAGTTCAGCTTCCTTTTCAGATATTCCACTGGGTGAACTTTTATTTTTTTTTTCTGTTTATTTTAAGCTAAATTCAACATCTGTATAGTAGAAACTAAAATTATATATTCATAGCCTCACTAATGATATAGTTCACAAGAGTTATTTCATTTCACCAATTCTGCAATTTTATTAATAATTTTAATAATATCAAAACACAGCTAACTAAATATTTATTTGTAAGAAAATTTTCTCTGTTTAGGTCAAGCTCGGAGTGGATCAAATCAAAGTGATTCTTCCTATAGTTACGCGTGTGTCTCTTCTTTGAGCTCTTCTCCCAAAAGTCAAGATAAAAGGGTTGAAACTGAACATGAAGAGATAGACGATAATCAGCTGGAGATTGATGATCAAACTGAAAAGAAGGAAGACGACCAATTAAATGGTGATGAAACAATATCTTTATTAAGGTACAATAAAGAATTTAGAAAAGTTTCCATAAGTAAATATAATCTTCGTTTAACGGAACCAGATTTAAACTACCCACCATGTGGTCAACGTAGTTCAACTACTTCTTACATTTATTAAATCTGGTCCTAGAACTGTCGTTATTTCAATTAAAAGGGGAATGCTCAGTGCGCAATGATACCTTTTAAATTTATTGTAGAAAATACCGTCGTTTTTCTAGCTTAATTTGTTTTAACCTGTCAACAATTTGTTTTACCCTGTCAACAATGTGTTTTACCCTTTCAACAATTTGTTTTAACCTGTCGACAATTTGTTTTACCCTGTCAACAATTTGTTTTAACCTGTCAACAATTTGTTCTAACCTGTCAACATTTTGTTTCAACCTGTCAACAAATTGTTTTACCCTGTTAACATTTTGTTTTATTGTTTCTGAAGTATTAATCCATCATTTACCAACACGGTTATAATCTTCTTTGAAAACTTAAAACTGGATATTGCTTGTATTTCCGGATTTTTTTTCGGGTAGCGTTTTGATTCGTGAATGCCATTATATTATAAGTTACTTGAAATTACGTCTACCAAATCAATTTTTAGTGGTAAAAAGATCCGGATCTCAGATATTAAAAGTTTTGATGAAATTGAACCTCCAAAGGGAAGGAAACCGTCGCTAGAAGGATCAGTATCTCATCCCAGATCTCCAGGTTTTCAGTCTCAACCCGGATCATCCAAATCCGTTTATTTGTCCCAGTGTCCAGCTGAGAATAATACCCAGCTCGGATCCAGCTCACAAGCCTCTGTTTACGGAACTCCCAACACCTCGCCTGAAATTAAATTAGTCACAAGGATTGACGACATGTAAGTATTATTCAAGACTTAAGAGTAAGAATGTTATGGTATGGAATATTCCAATAAACATGAGAAAAAAATCATCTGTAAAGGCTCGTCTTATTTTTAATTTTATCCACCGATAAAACTTAAAAATTTTATTATATTTGCTCAAATATACTTTTACAATTTCACAGTTTTCTGGGTCCTAATGTATTATACTAGGCTTTTAGGGCGCTTCGCGCCCATCTTCTCTTTAAATTGTGAACACGTTTTTTTTGTTTACATTTTAAAACAAAGAAGAAGAAAAAATTTGCGGATTTAAAAAAAAAATCGTGGATTTTCAAGAATTTAAATTTTTTACAAAATTAACCTTTAAAACACATTTTTTTAAAATTTTTATCATTCATAAACCTTCCCTGTGGTTACGTGATGTTCCACAACAAATTTGGGCCCAATCGGTTCAGCCGTTTTGACGTTTAATGGACACAAACAAACAAACAGACAGACAGACAAGCCAAATTTATATATAGATAATGTTTTGCCTGTATGTATGTCGCACTATCGTGTGTCCTCTTTATATCAGTAAACCCTCATTACTGCGTCCTCTGCAACAGAAAATGTTGATAAAGTTTGTTGGCTATAACTAGTTTTACATAATAATTTTAATTAATAATATTTTTAGAGTGTTTTCCCAAAGCCTTGGAACCACGAGATCAGGAACATTTTCTGGAAATCATTATTCTAAATCCCCGCTCGGAACAACATATTCTAAATCTGCAGTTCCCATGAAGCGAACTGAGCGAGGAAGAAGAGTTATGGATACGCGTGCTAAAATCGTGGAGGCAAGCGTCAAATCTGCTTCAAAAACTGTAATTCCTTCCCCTAGAGTCAGTATAAGTCATCCTCCTGCTAGAAACTCGTCAAGTGAGTCGGAAAGTTCTAGATCAAATATTAATTCCGATCCAAGAGATGCTACTCCTGAAGCAACAAGAAACGCGCTAAATCGCAAGAGTTCACAGAAAATCTATTCAAGCCAGGACTGTGATCGGGACTCTCCTGAAACCTCTAAAACTGGAAATGCAGATTCAAGTTTTTTTACTAAAGATGGATTAAACTCCTCTGATAAAGATATGTTTGAGATTTCACCAAGCTCAAGTGTAAAGCCTGCTGAGGGGCAAGGTCTTGGGAAATCATTTATTGAAACTTTGAAAGGATGGTTAACAAGTAGTTTGAAAAAAAGAGGTAACGCATTTTTTATTGCTAACATTCTTAAGATGACATATTTTTGGGTTAGTTTTAAGGACTTAAAACTTGTAGTTGAGTAAGAATGAGGATAGTTATTGTACAGCTGATACTCTTTCTAATTTTTAAGTAGTAAGAGCTAAATCGGAATAAATCATTAAAACGCAGCAGGGTTTATAAAAAGCTTATTTTTAACTTGGATGATATTTTTTTTAATAAAATTGCTTTTAAAGATATTTTTCATTCCAGTTGTCGAGGAAAGGGTAAATTCTAGCTCTAGTTTACCGACACTGAGGACTAGAAAATTATCAAACCTTTTAGACCCAGAGTTGAGAAAATCATCAGTGCCTCCAGAAGCCGAGTTTAAAGATTCATCGAACCAATCAGGTCCAGAGCTTAGAAAATCGTCAAAACTCGTAGATACAGAGGTTAGGAAAAGCTCAAGCCCTCGAGAATTAAGTCAGAGAAAAAGTTTAAGCTCCCCAGATGAGAAATCTGACCAAGATTCTGAGAGTAATTTAAATTTTGTCCAGTTTAGAAAGACGCGTAGTGAAACTTCAGTTGTGACTGAACCCAAGCTAAGAGATGTGTTCGAAGTGTCGGACAATCAGAACTGTCCAGGCACTGAAGATAAAGTTAACCTCAATAAAACAGAGTCTAAAGGTAGAGCTGACCTTATCGATTCTGAGATGAGAAGAGTACTTAGATTGCAGGTTCTAGTTGACAATTCAGATTCCTTCCTTACGGACGATTTAGATATAACTGACGACCTGTCGAGCCATTCGTTTAATGTACTGGACGGACTTCACGGACCAACTGACATAATTGATCATGCGGACTGTAGGGATGAACCAGGAGATTTTACCCTTCATGTCCTTGGTTCAAGACAGAAATATTTCTCCAGTGTTTTCAGTCCTATGGATAACTTACATCAGATCAGGTTAGCTTTGTGATATTAGATATTTGGAGTTTTAGTGGTTAAAGAATTAAGAATAAGTTCAAATAGAAAAAATAAAAAAGGAATATACGGATTGATCTTATCTGATTTTAAGTTATAAGCTAAAGGGTTTTGTTCTGAGATGTTGGATGGGTCAATCTGCTGAACAATCCAGAGATATTTTCAAGGATGTACGGGGGGAGGAAGACTTAAGCCGCCCAAATTACCAGATTAAGTTCTGAGTTGAAGCATTTTTCGAAGTGTCTTCTTAATAAATAAAATCGCAAAAAGCCTTAAATACTAATTGACTGAAATCTGTTAAGTCGTCCCTTAATTACATCACAAAACTTACATGATGATAGCATTTGCCAAAAACAAAGATATTCTAGAAATTACTGGGGATTCCTTAATAAATGCGCTCTGGACCCTCAACCCCGCCCATCCTAATGAAAAACAGCAACCTCCCGTTACTAAATATCTGTTCGACCATAATGAAATTATATGATTAAAATGCTTAGGAGGTTGGTAGAGTTTGTCCCTGAGTTAGTTACTGAGGAGGATGTTAGACTGAATGTAAGTGATCTGAAGAAAGCTGAACCTGGCGATTATCTTCTACTCTGCCAGGTATATTGATTGGTACTGAGAGGTCGAAACTTTTGTATCAAATGGCGCTAATCTAGACCACCCGAACTTGATAACCATAGTGGAAACTTTTGAGAAGACATGACTTGTATTCCTCAAACTCCCATTGAACTTTTATGATATAAAGATATAAAGAGTAAAATTAATAGGTCAACCTCTAAAGTTATAGATTACTACTTTCTGTGGGGATTAACAATTCAAAAGTTATGACCTTAGAGGTTTACGCTTTCTACAAATAATTAAATTATTCTTTTTAATTTGATAGGTTTAGTTTGGGAGGGGTTATGGCCAGTGCTTAGGATCTGGATTCGTTGGATCCACAAGATGTTGGCTTCCTGGATCCCGATTCCGCAAAAATATGCGAATCCGGTTTCAAGAGACCATCAACCAAAAGTTGAAAAAAAACTTTTTTACTCTCAAGGCCCAAATTCGAACTGTTGAAAAAGGAGAGATTTTAAAAATTTCCCGATCTCTGCATGGTCCCATCAAGCTTTAGCATAAAAATAAGCGAAAAAAAATAATTTTACAATTTTTCTTCGTTGAAAAAAGCAGTAAATCTTAAAGAAATGTTCATGCCCTGGATCCGGATCCATTATTTCCAGTGCGGATCCAGGATCCGGATCCACATCCAAATTAAATGGATCTTAAGCACTGTTTTTGTGTATTGTTTGATGAATAACAAAAAAGAAAAGAAAAACTTGATAATCGATCAATAATGATATAAATAGATGTTCCCCCCCTAATTTTCCCATGTATTTGTTCTCTAGATTCTGGAGTATAGTTTTCCTAAATGTACTCCGTTGTGTGGCTACTGTACTAGATGTAGGAGACTAGATCCCTTGAATATGTTCCTTAAAGAGAAGAGCGGATTGGTTTGTGGCTGCTCCGGTAGGGCCGGTGGTGTAGAGAAAATCTTCTTTTTTCTCCTCAAGGTAGTTATTAAATACAGGGTGTCCCAATAAACATGAGATTGGAATTTTTTAAATCCTTTGCGCCATTTATAAGACAACCTTACTACAAGAAGTAAGATTTTGATCAAAAGATGTGTTTTTTAATTCTGCTTTACCTGAGGTTTTCAATCCGATTGAGACAATATTGGTTTTAAATCAATTAAAATCTGAACGAAACTCTTTTTATCTCCGGCTATTCTGAAAGCAGACCAAATTTTGGAAATGTCGGAACTAGTGGAAGATGTAATTATTTATAATTATACATGAAAAAGTAAGTTGACGAATGAATGCTGCAAATGTTTTCTAATGTCTAAGACGATCTTTAAGACGTCTCTTAACTGTCATGCTTCGTAAAAAACTCGATGTATACTAACCAAATATCATGTTTCCTGGTCAGGTTCGTGATCAGACAGGACATGAACTAGAAGTAGAAGTACGAGGACAGGAGGCCGTAGCGCTCATGGGACATCATTTTAGGAATGAGCAGCAAAGCTAACAAAATCTATTTCCTTCTTCAAATCAGATTTTATAATTATTTTAGTTTCAAACAAAAATTATATTTCGGTATCCAAAAGAAATTTTCGGAATGAAAATCGATTAAATTTTGAGAACTAAAACTTTGAAATGCTCTTGTTCTAGTGAAAATCGAAGAGATGCTGAAAGACGAGAATCCTGGTTTAATTTTCTCCGAAAATGTTTAGCGACTTTTAAGATCAGAAAGAAGGATCACAAAACCTACTCAGTCATTGAGTCAATACCTAATCCAGCAGAATAAACTTTATGTATTTCATTAATCATCTGGAAACCTCAATTGGAACAAATTTATTTTTCAGAATTACATATTTTCATTTTTGCAGAGTTTTAAAATGCCTGGTTTGACGGAATCTACATCCGGAACCAGAGTTCTGATACTTCCTCAATCAGCTCTAGAGGTTTTAAATACTCTTTAGTTTCTAAACGTCTGGATTATTTTCTGTTTTCTACCTAGAAAAATTTGAACCAATGGAAATTTTAATTCTTTTAAGGTAAACTTTAAAGGTAGGGGGCGTTGCAAACGAAAATGTAAATTATTTTCCTTCTGCAGACTTTTTACAAATTAAAAAGATGTATGAGTCCACGAAAGTTTGCAACAAGAAAAACACTTTTGAAATATCGAAACATTCCGCCACAGCATTTTTAGTAAAGAAATTAATTTACCAAGTCGAAAATTACAAATTGTAAACCCAAAACTAAGACTCAATATAGTATAGTCATCTTGAAACTTGAGTATGGACATACATAAGACATCAGTAAATGTCTGATTTGATTTTTCGTTTGTCAACAATAAAAAAAGTTATTTTATAGTTTGGTGATAGTTCTGATCCTGTGAAACTACTCCGCCTGGAGCATCCAAGAACTGGTGAACCAGCACAGTATCTTCTTAATACACAGATAAACAAAATCTATCAAATTCTCACATTCACTGAGGAACACAGAGCATGGTTTATAGGTCAGTTACATCAGATTTTCGATTAGTCGTAGATAAGAGATCTTTCCGGAAACATTCTGACTTGGCGTACGAAGTTCTAATTCAAGAAAGTATGATTATACTTCTTGTAAATTAATAATGTGTTTTTATCTTCCTTTTTTCAAGCTTTGAGCTAAGATAGTTAAGGATGGATCTCTTCTTCTTTCTTCTTCTTCTAATCCAATATTTCTAGGAGAGAAGATTGTTAAGGATGGTTTCTTCTCCTGTTAAGCCAATATTTCAAGGAGAGAAGATAGTTGAGTATGGATCTCTTCTCCTCTCTTCTCATGTTAATCCAATATTTCTAGGAGAGAAGATTGTTAAGGATGGTTTCTTCTCCTGTTAAGCCAATATTTCAAGGAGAGAAGATAGTTGAGTATGGATCTCTTCTCCTCTCTTCTCATGTTAATCCAATATTTCTAGGAGAGAAGATTGTTAAGGATGAATGTCTTCTCCTGTTAAGCCAATATTTCTAGGAGAGAAGATAGTTGAGGATGGATCTCTTCTCCTCTCTTCTCATGTTAATCCAATATTTCTAGGAGAGAAGATAGTTGAGGATGGATCTCTTCTCCTATCTTCTCATGTTAATCCAATATTTCTAGGAGAGAAGATTGTGAAGTATGGTTTCTTCTCCTCTCTACTCATGTTAATCCAATATTTCAAGGAGATAAGACTGTTAAGGATGGATCTCTTCTCATCTCTACTCCTGTTAATCCAATATTTCTAGGAGAGAAGATAGTTGAGGATGGATCTCTTCTCCTCTCTACTCCTGTTAATCTAATATTTCTAGTAGAGAAGATAGTTGAGGATGGATCTCTTCTCCTCTCTACTCCTGTTAATCCAATATTTCTAGGAGAGAAGATAGTTGAGTATGAATCTCTTCTCCTCTCTACTCCTGTTAATCCAATATTTCAAGGAGAGAAGATAGTTGAGTATGAATCTCTTCTCCTCTCTTCTCATGTTAATCCAATATTTCTAGGAGAGAAGATAGTTGAGGATGGATCTCTTCTCCTCTCTACTCCTGTTAATCTAATATTTCTAGTAGAGAAGATAGTTGAGGATGGTTTCTTCTCCTCTCTACTCATGTTAATCCAATATTTCTAGTAGAGAAGATAGTTGAGGATGGATCTCTTCTCCTCTCTTCTCCTGTTAATCCAATATTTCTAGGAGAGAAGATAGTTGAGGATGGATCTCTTCTCCTCTCTACTCCTATAAATCCAATATTTCTCATCCTTCCTCATCTGATTAAAGCGGAAAGAAATGTACCTCTTGAAGATCTTCTTGACGATCCTAACTTCCCTCATCTTCACATGATCGCCAAGTAAGTATTTCATAATTGCCACCTGATTTTAACAGTTTGCCTGGCGTCTTACAATATTGTTTCTTCATTGTTCTGAAAAAAATGGCTAATAAATAAAAAGCAACCTAAACCTCATATTATTTGACTATGTTAAAGGAAGGTTTAGCTTTTGGTATTTTATTTCCTTAAAAATAGGTTTGGGTTTCTGGATATTCTTATAGATTTCTGAACATTTCGGTTTTACTTTTATGATTTTGATTTTTTACATGATTAAATAATTCAAAGGTTTAAATGGAATTTTTTTATTAGATCACAATCATAAGATTCAGTTTTAATTTAGTAAAGTCACTTCGAGATACGATCTAATTCATTTTTATTTTTATAATTTGATACATCTTTAATTGTGCTACGTAAAGAAATAAAGTTAAATGGATTGTTTAAGCGTAATTTCATATGATCCTCCATTCAAAGATGGCATTGCCGATTCGCAAGGGAACCCTTAAAAGCGTTGTCTGATTGAGTATGATTTAAATGTTTGTTTTTTCACTTTTATTTTATTTGTGGTTTCTCTGCACAAGTATTTTGTGCAGTTCTTGGCGAATGACAAAGTTATCAAAACCGATCACTTTTCGCGTCAGAAAAACGACGTTATCTTCCACGTTTTTAGTCAGATTAAGGGTTCAATGGTTCCGTTGTAAACCGGGCATTGCAATCTTTGCATGAAAGATCACTCGAAATTACGCATACGCTATACAGTCCCTTTGAATAATATTTTTCATATTAAGTTTACCCTGCTGCTTAGAGAAGGTTGCTAAGCAAATAGGAGATAAGGTAAAAATATTCAATAAATATTGAAACTTCAATCAAACATTTCCTTTTCTTTAACCCATTAGCGTGATTGTGATAGATTATTCCATTACTTTTATCTGAAATTGACAACTCGCGGCCCTGACTTTTTTAAAGGTTACTCGCGGATTTGACCTCAAAAGAAAACTTTGAAAATGGTTTGATGGTTGCTGATTGATTGATTTATTAAATAGGACCTGAATGTATGGAAGTATGATGAGGATAAATGTGTGTCCTGGTTGGAGAACAAGGTTCTCTCTGTATCCAAGGTGTTAAAGGAGCAGCAGATAGATCTTAGTGGAGGAGCTGCAGCTCTTTCATACAAACAAGAGAGCAGTGCTGCTCCTAAACTTTGTAAGCTTTTATTTTGAGAATTATATTTATATTTTCTATTCTTTTTATTCTTTAATAATTTATTTGTTAATTATTTTTGTTGTTGGCGTTGGACTAAGTGTTGGTAACTGTTGTGTTGAACTTCTTTTGATTGTGCGTTTGAGTTGTTTTCATTGTCATTGGCATTGGCATTGGCATTGGCATTGGCATTGGCATTGGCATTGGCATTGGCATTGGCATTGGCATTGGCTTTTGCATTGGCATTGGAATGGTCATCGTCATGGTAATTTTTATGCTCAATGCTCATGCTTGTTGTCACTCTCATTATCATTATTATTTATACAGCGGAGTATACTCGGCATAGTTTCGGAATAGTAAGTGAGTATTTGTCTCCGGATCTAGCGGAGAAACTGAGAGAGAAATTAAACCTACCTGAACCGGAGAAACCTTCAGGAAACCCATCCTTGTTAACTAAACCAGTAAACCGTATTTAAAACATCACCTGTATATGGATATTTCAACGGTCGTATGATGCTGTGTACAGGGAGACCCATGAAACTGTGGAATATGAAGACGACATTAAAGCAATCTTTTTATAAAGCTAAGCAAATAGTCTTACCAGTTTCTTGATAATCAATTAATTTTGTTGAAGGGTCTGGGGGCACTGCGCAATTTCTGTTCTTTGGATGATTTTAAATCCTTTCTTCAGCCAACCGTCGTCTTCTTTTTCCATAGTATTATGGGTCCCACTATAGTTTAGATTTTTCATGCATCAAGCTTACAGAGCTTTTTAGTACGATACGATATTTTGATCGCTTCAGATGAACTTGGATTCTTTCAAAAGAAATTGATTCTTAATTCTTGAGGATTCTTGATAAGATGGATCGAAGACGACTTTTTATCATAATGTTAAATGGATCTCCCCTTATTATGTGCTTACAATTAAATTTGATAGATTTAAAATTAGTAAAATCATTCATTAAAAGGATAAAATATTCTTATTAGACTTAAATTATGGTTGGTTCTTAGTTAAGAGGCAACCTGAAGGAACTGGAAATACAGGTCCTCCAGCTAAGAAACAGAAGCAGACTAAAGAAGGTAGATATACGCACTTTAATTGTCAAATGAATTTTATCATACATTTATGTAAAGTACTTAATTATGCTGAGATAAATTTTATCATACATTTATGTAAAGTACTTAATTATGCTGAGATGAATTTTATCATACATTTATGTAAAGTACTTAATTATGCTGAGATGAATTTTATCATACATTTATGTAAAGTACTTAATTATGCTGAGATGAATTTTATCATACATTTATGTAAAGTACTTACTTATGCTGGGATGAATTTTATCATACATTTATGTAAAGTACTTAATTATGCTGAGATGAATTTTATCATACATTTATGTAAAGTACTTAATTATGCTGGGGGGCTTAATTGGTTTGTGTTGTAAACAAATAAATAAGGATATTCCTGTAGGGATTACTAAAATTGAGGAAAGTAGTAGTTGCCCATCCAATTTAAAGGTTGTCAGCCTTTTAAAAGTCCTGAAATGCAAAAATTGTGAACAAATATTTCTTAAAGAACAATTAGATAAGATTCTTTTCAGAACCTCTCGAGGACTACTCTAAAGACTACAAGAAGGGACCTGGCAAAGAGGCGGATAAAACCGCTAAACAGAAAGCTCTCGCCAAATCCGCCGAAGGAACCAAAAACATCATGTCGTTCTTCAAGAAGAAATAATTCTTATAATTTCTGCTCCATACTTCAGTACAAACCACGCTCAATATATAATTTGTAATAATAAGATCATTAAAACAAAAAATGTGATTAAACCGCCGCCATTTCTAATTGTTTCAGATGAATGTTCCAGGTGGTTCTCCGAGGTTGGTTCCAGGCTCATCACCAGTTCTAGATGAGGCTCTCAGGTAAAATACAACTTTTGTTCTCTCNCCTCCCTTTGATATTATTTCTCCAGAAAGTAATAAACCATTTGAATTTGAATGTTTATTACATAATCGCCAATAAAGCTAACAATTTGTCAGAGTAGTTCTACGTTTCTGTTTTTAGGAGACGACAGCAGTACTTTGAATCCAAATCTGTTTTACACAGAGTCATATTTCTCCTTCTACTCTGCTCTGGAACTATTTTGGATCTGAAGTACTCCGTTCTGGTTAGGTTTCTTAATCTTCAGCAGTCCTTCTCTGTCCTTCTCTTCCTGTTGGAGACAATACTTTCTGTTTTCTCCTTCACAAACCTTCTCTGCCTGGGATGGAGATGGATGTCTCCGCTCTACTCAACCCCTCTCCAACTCTCAGATAAACAGTTCAGACTGTTAAGACTCCAACAAGAAACTCCAGGGTTTGCTCGGAGCCCGGAGAAAGAAGAGAAGTATCCGAACCCGTTTACTCCTCTGCCAGGTTCTCTGATCTCTTCTCCTAAACCGTCTAAACCGTCCCCTGCATCTCCAGCCCATAGTTCTACCCCGATCAATACATCTGTGACGAGCTGGTTATCCTCCAGTGGTAATTCACCCAGCTCACCGGTAAACACGAGTTTCTAATCATCATCTAAGCGCCCATATTGGGTCGTCTTGTTCTGATATCTTAGAAAAAAAGCAAATATTGAGAATTTACAATAGAATCCAAATAAATCTAAACTTAACATTGAATTGCTAAAATTCTGAAAAGAATTGATCCTCTGTGTTCCAGAACGGGCAACCAGCAATCCCTAACTCTTGCTTTGCCTTTGACTTTGCCTTTGCCTTTGCCTTTGCCTTTGCCTTTGCCTTTGCCTTTGCCTTTGCCTTTGCCTTTGCCTTTGCCTTTGCCTTTGCCTTTGCCTTTGCCTTTGCCTTCGACTTTGCCTTTGCCTTTGCCTTTGCCTTCGACTTTGCCTTTGACTTTGCCTTTGCCTTCGACTTTGACTTTGACTTTGCCTTTGCCTTTGACTTTGCCTTTGACTTTGCCTTTGACTTTGCCTTTGCCTTTGCCTTTGACTTTGTCTTTGCCTTTGCCTTTGACTTTGACTTTGACTTTGACTTTGACTTTGACTTTGACTTTGACTTTGACTTTGACTTTGACTTTGACTTTGACTTTGACTTTGACTTTGATCTGATCTGATCTGATCTGATCTGATCTGATCTGATTTGATTTGACGACAGCCCCAATAAGCCTACTTGTAATCAAACAGAGTTGACTTTAAAAGATTTTCTGTATTTTTTCAATCTTTCTTAATCAATAAAGTTTTGATTTACTTTTATTTTTAAATTGCCTAGGTTTCTCCGAGTAACACGTCCTTGAACACTTCTAATCTAAGACGAGATCATTACTCCGGGTATGATTCTCCGATCACGGATGAGAACCAGCTTTCTGAGTATCTAAGTGACTACTCTGCCTGGGAGACAAGTATGACGGATCGGTTGGACGACAGCGGGAGCGTAGCAAGTCAAAGTATTTTCTTCTGGCGGGCCGGAACTAGAACTGAACCACAGCCTTGCAGGTAGAAAACATCTGTAAAGTTCGGGTGAATTTTAGGTAATTTTTGGGTGCAAGGATGTCAAATGTTTTTGTTTACGTACAGGGAACAAACCGAGAAAAAGGAAAAAATTAAAGAATGTGTTTTATAAAATTGATGGATCAACATGATGATCATACAGCCGAAATATTTAATTGTTCATCAGCTATAGTTGAATTCAATATGTTCATGTCAATGCTCATTATCATTGGTAATTTGTAACTGTTCTTTGGTCATGGTCATCTTCATGGTCATGCGATTGGTCATGTTCATGTTCATGTTCATGGTCATGCGATTGGTCATGTTCATTTTTACGTTCACGTTCACGTTCACGTTCACGTTCACGTTCACGTTCACGTTCATGGTCATGGTCATGGTCATGATCATGATCATGTAATTGTTAATGGTTATGTACATGGTCATGGTCATGCTCATGCTCATGGTCATGGTCATGGTCATGGTCATGGTCATGTTATTGTACATGGTCGTGTTATTGTTCAGGGTAATATGTTCATGGTCATATGTTCATGGTCATGATCATGTCAATGCTCATGCTGATATTTTCAATGATCTCCAGGAGAACGGTTTATCAGCTCTCTAGTCCCCCGACTAAGCTGACCAGTGCTGGCCACGACTCCCCAGCTGACAAGGCCCAGACGGAGATCCTTTCCCAGAGGTTAGGTGTGGACCCAATGAGGTTGGTTGCGTGGAATGAGAACCTCAGGATCTGGATCACGCAGACTATCCTTAAACCTCTGGTATCTGAGCTGGAGACGGTCAATTTGTCTCTTCCTAAGAATGGAGTATCAGATTGTAAGATCGGAGAATCTCCTCTAGACAGGTGACTATTATACTTAGGTTGGGGCTATTTCTTTCTTTTTACTTTTCATGACTGACTGAGAAAAGGACAAAAGAACATAACTCAATTATGTTTGAAAATACAGCTTTCTACAAGTCATTGGCAAATCAACGCTTCATGCGATTAACAAAAATCATATTATTAACCAAACCAAATAGTTAAGCCTAAGGAAAAAAAGGAATCAAGATCAGCCCGCGTAAAATAAGTGTTCATTATGGTTTACAGGGTTACCCATAGTCAACTTTTTAAGACAATGGCGCAACACAAAACGTTGGGGTGTATGACTTTTAACTAATATTGAGCAGAACAAAATAATAGAAAGACTTTGATAACAAACTGAAAATAGATTTATTGATATTTCGTTTTTATTTGTATGCGTGAGCTGTGCCCACAACCCTTATCCAAAAATAAATTATTAAAGTTAAAAATACTTAGGTTGGGGTTATTCTCCGGACCCCACTTCAGAATATCATGAAAATTCTGAGAATTGTCATGATATTTACTTTTTTGATTTGATATATAATTAAAGAAACATTCTACATATATCTGATTAATAGATTTCCTGGGAGTTTAGTTTTCAAATTTTACTTAATGCTTTTCAAAATTTACAAAAATAAAACTATAAGTGTGGTTTTCAAAATTTGATGAATTCACAGTTATAAGCTTAAACCAGAATCTGACCCCGGTTCAAATTGTACACCTTATTTACAAGGTTTACGGTTTGATAGGTTGCACACCTTTGACTATTCTTTTTATTGTATTAGACTGCGTAATGTTGCAACCCTTGGACTATCCTTAACTCCTGAATTTATTGTATTAGATTGCGTAATGTTGCACCCTTTGGACTATCCTTAATTCTTTAATTTATTGTATTAGATTCAGGGTGGCCAAAATGTACGGATTGTACGGATTTTTTTAAATTTTCGCTCATTTCAGCAAATTTTTCATGAAAATTTCAAAAAAAAATTCTCGTCAAAATGAAGTTAGTTTAACTTATTTTCTGCATTCTAAATAATATTAGATTGATTAATGTTTCAATTGACAATCAAAATTCATTCATAATTTTCGAGATATGTCCCAGAAGTGTTCATTTGAGAATATGTTCCATAAGTGTTCATTTGAGAATATGTTTATCTTTCTGTCTATCTGTCTAGCTATCTGTCTATCTGTCTAGCTATCTGTCTATCTGTCTAGCTATCTGTCTAGCCATCTGTCTAGCTATCTGTCTAGCTATATGTCTAGCTATCTGTCTATCCATCTGTATATCTATCTGCATGTCAGTTTATCTATCTTTTTATCTATCTGTTTATATATCGTATCTGTCTCTCTGTTCATCTATATGTGTATGTGTCTATCTGTTTCTCTGTCTATTTACCAGTCTATCTATCTGTCTGTCTGTTTATCTATCTATCCATCTGTCTCTTTATCAGATCTGAGAACATCCTCTCAGGTTTCTTCCGTTTATCTGTATATCTTTTCATTTTTAGTTTAATATTAACTTTACACTTCACTCTTTCTAATTATAACTTTATCGTTTGTTTGTTAAATGGCCTAATTCACACCGATCTAAACAGTTATAAAAATTAGAATTAACGCTCTTTAGTTCTCTAGTTCTCTAGTTCTCTCGTTCTCTCGTTCTCTCGTTCTCTCGTTCTCTGCTTCTCTGGTTCTGTGGTCCTCTGGTTCTCTGGTTCTCTAGTTCTCTAGTTCTCTAGATCTCTAGATCTCTAGTTCTCTAGTTCTCTAGTTTATGTGGTAGACTTGTGTTATTATAAGCTGTGAATTCTGCCAGATTAATTAGGCTTTGTTTCAAAAACCAAAGGTTTTTAGGTTGCAAAGATAAATGGATTTTAAAATTGAGTTTAATTTGAGTTTCTTCAGTTGATCTCATTTTTTCATTATTTCCGGGTTCTCATCCAAGCATTCAAATACCTACAGTAGTTTTTACTACCAGGAATATAGGTTGTTAGAGGGAACATCATTGGTTGCTGGGTGGGGGGAGAAAGAGGTGGTTGGGAATGGAGGGAGGGGGTGAGACAGTGTTGAATGATATTTTCAAAAATGGTTTTATTTTTCTTAAATGTACGGATAGCAGGGATTTTTTTTTCGAAAATTGTACTGATTGTACGGATTTAAAAAAAATATACAGATTTTTTTTAAAATGTACGGATTTTTTTTCGAAAATTGTACGGATTGCACGGATTTTTTTTTCGAAAATTGTACGGATTGTACGGATTTTTTCTGAAAATGTACGGATTTTCGTACGAATTTTTTCGCACAAAAATTTGGCCACCCTGTAGATTGCGTAATGTTGCACCCCTTGGACTATCCTTCTTGAATTTATTGTATTAGACTGCGTAATGTTGCACCACTTGGACTATCCTTCTTGAATTTATTGTATTAGATTGCGTAATGTTGCACCTCTTGCACTATCCTTCTTGAATTTATTGTATTAGATTGCGTAATGTTGCACCCCTTGTACTATCCTTCTTGAATTTATTGTATTAGATTGCGTAATGTTGCACCCCTTGGACTATCCTTCTTGAATTTATTGTATTAGATTGCGTAAGGTTGCAGCTCTCCCCCAGGTTTCCTCGAATCTACCAACTCTGTGTTCTCTGCTACCCTTCCTAGAGGTTTCAGCAGACCAGGAGTATCTTGTCTCAAGGATCAAGGTTCAAACCTCCCATAATAATTAGAACTGATAATGCGCCTTATAATCTAGTTTTCTAATAGTTGTATCTTTGCAACCTGGTGTTGTAGACCTTAGTTTTTTGAAACTATAAAATCTACTATTTTGCATGTTAAATGTGTACACCACCATGGTTGCAAAGTATAGGGATTAGTAAATTGCAGTTTGATTCGAGTAATCAGTTCCTTTGAAAAAGAAATGTTATTTAAAAAGTTACGTTTCTTTCAGAATGTGAAATGAAACTCTTTTAAATCCTGTAATTTTATTTTTAACCTTCCTTTAAGTTTTTAACCCCTTCATATCCTTATTACTTTTGTGTATTTTGTTTTGTTTTAACTTTTTAAACATAAAATTTATTTCACTCCTGGATGTAATCCTGATATCATGATTATTAACCATTCCAGGAGTTGAGTGGGACTGGAGCTCTCTCTAGGTACCGTTGGAACTCTGGAGGTACGCATAAGGGACAACAATGGACGGAAAAGCTACCGACCGATAGTGAGCTGTTGGTTCATCTGCTGGCTTCCTACCTGGATAGTAGACTGGTCGCATCAAGTAGAACCAGACTAGCGGACACTCAGGAGTCAATGCCATTCTCACATTCACATTTCTTCAAGTAGGCATTTCTTAAAATTTTATTTAAAAATTTTTTTATTGAATAAGAGGTTGATGGAGAAAGGAATTAATGGTTCTTTTTTAAAAAGGTTTGGAGAGAAGGTTGAAAGCTGTGAAAAAGATCTGTTGGCGATTGTTCAGATTCAAGCTAGGCCTCCTCATTATGTAGTTCAGGTAACCTTCAACATATTGCAGATTCATGTCCTCATTACATGGTTCATGTTGATTGTTGAATAAGAACCTCCTCCTCATTAGAAAGATCAGTGGTTAAAGCTTTTGGTCTGGGAATAGTCGAAAATGGTAAAAACACTTGATTATCATATTTAACCAGAGGTTGGAACTAAAATGTAGAGTATCGTTAATTTGAAACGTTTGATCTCTACATCAAATGTGGACACATTAAATTTAAGGTTTAAGGCATACTTAATGATTAAGAAAAATATATGAAGTAAATAGTGAGAAGAAATGGAACCGTCGGAGATTTAAAGAATTTAAAAAATAATAAATACTAGGCTTTTAGGGCGCTTCGCGCCCATCTTTTATTTTAAATTGTGAACATGTTCTTTTGTTTACATTTTAAAACAAAGAAGAAATAAAATTTGGCGGATTTTTTAAAAAAAATTCGCGGATTTTCAAGAATTTAAATTTTTTACAAAATTAAGAACCTTTAAAACACATTTTTTTAAAATTTTTATCATTCATAAACCTTCCCTGTGGTATGTCCCACAAAAAATTTGGGCCCGATCGGTTCAGACGTTTTGACGTTTGTTGGATACAAACAAACAGACAAACAGACAGACAAGCCAAATTTATATATAGATAGATATTAGGTGCATGGTTTCTAAATGTCATTAATAATGATAAATTGTGTCAGGTTGGAGATAAGCAGCTGGATGTTGGATCTGGAAGAAATAATATGCTCCATACTCTTCTCCTCTTCTTGCACAAGATCAGAGAAGAGAGAGGAGGAATGTTAGGCCAGGTCAATCTTGGTCTATCAGGGCTTAATATACTCTGGGTATTAGACTAAACTAGACCGAAGGCCGGACCCTGGAGGATCAAATCATTAAATTCTGGTTAACCTCCGTCATAGGACTAGATTTACCCTAGGTACTAGACTGAACTAGACCAATGGGGCCCTGGATCATGCATAATGCATGGAACCAAGCATTATTTTGAGTTATGGTTAACCTCAAGCATAAGACTATCTTCATACTAAGTACTGGATTAACCCAGATCGAAGGGGCCCTGGACTATATAATCATAGAACCTAGTAGTATTAGAGTAAACAAGGCTATGGGTCCTGAACCTACCAAAAATAAATCCTTTTATTTTTTGACCCGAGGTCTAAATGTACATTATTATAATGGATTCTTGTGATCCTGAGTCACGAAATTGTCTAAAGTCTAAATGTGTTTTGTACAGTGTACATAGAAATGTACATAAAAATGTACATAGAAATGTACATAGAAACGTACATAGAAATGTACATAGAAATGTACATAGAAATGTACATAGAAATGTACATAGAAACGTACATAGAAATGACTAGTTGACACTTTTTTGAAAATTATTTTCTCATGAACATTTTTCAATATCTTTTCATCAATAAACAGACCCTTATCTAAAATTTGGAGCCTTTGCTCATTTTGATCTTTGTCAATTATAGAACGGACTCTAATCTAATAGTACTTGGTTCTACATTATTTGGGGCCATTTATAGAAGATGTTGCTTAGTTTATAAAGGGGCAATGGCATTATTACGTAATAAACGGTCCCTTGTCTACTAGACATTGGTCTGTTAGATATCTGGCACTGCAGCATAGCACCCAAGTGTATTACAATTTCAGTGACCCTAAAATTAAAACTACTTGTTTATAATTAAGTAAATTGTCTTAAAATTCCAACAGATTTACGGCTGTGTATAATCCTAGTATTTTCAGTATAAACAGTTCATTCAATGTTGGCATTATTGTTAATCATTGCTTGGTTGCTGATCAGCAACCAAAAAATTGAATGCAAAAATAAATATATTTTTTTCTCCAAAAATTTTTTTTATTTGAATTAAAATGAAATGTGTATATGATTTTATATTTTGTAAGCTATGTGGATTGAGGGGAAAATTGGGACTGCCCCCCCCCCCCCATCTCCTCACTTCTCTGTTGCAACTCAGATGTTAGAATTTTGTGAATTCTAAATCCTTAGCTGTTGATTAAAACTAATAACATGATTTGACAAAGATTTTCAGTAAGTTTAAACAACTTATAGATCCCCTGGAAAGCGCGTTCCCTCATTTTCTATTATTTTTTCGAGAAACATTGTGTGTAATGTAATAAAGAAAGGGAAAGGAATTTGAGTTTTTGCCACACACTTAAATTTTCTAATCTCTATAACTTTGCAAAATATTGGCGTAAGCCTTTGGTATTTTAAACTTTGATAACTTTGAGAATTCATAGTTTGAAATATCTAAGATTTACGACATTGGGTCACAAAGATATTGGGATTTGAAAATCAGAGTTTGTGGCAAAGACTCAATTCCTTTAAACTTTTTTTATGGTTAGAAATGTTATCTATATTAATAACATTCTTTTATGATGAGTGAATGCACTTTGTAAATACTTTTGGATGACACCCCTCCCCCCCCCCCCCTTAGGTCTTTAAAACAAGAACTTCGAACGAACAACCTCCTATTCTAAACATGTAGACTGTAGCCTGGACTAATTTTCTTATACCGTAATGTTAATGCATAATTTCTTAGCTCTCTCTTCGCCTAGTTTTTATATGTAGTATTACCCCAGGCAGTTTCTCATGCATTCCTGGGCCTTTATTTTCCGCGCGTTACAAGGAATAGGTTTGCAATGCGAATCTATGTAAAATTGGTTTTTATTGCATTTAAAACCACACTTATGAAATCCGACTTAGTTCTACAGCTCGCAAAGATTTTATAATAATTGTGTGTTGAAAATATTAAAAACTGAAGGAAAATAAGTTTTAAGAAATTTAGAAATATTTGGATAGTGGGTTTAGTGTTAAAAATCTTATTTTAGGAATCAACAGTTTTAAAAACATTTGCTTTTGTCACACTATGCCAACTTTTATATATATATATATAATACACTGTATATTTAGAAACTGTCCCAATGAACCGCTAAAACCTAAGAAATGTGCAAAGTCAGCTAATAAATATCATCATCTAAGACCCGTTAAAATTGCAGAAATGGATGAAATCATGACTCTGTGAGTTTTGCACTAGAAGTCTGGAAATAACTGTGTAAACTGCAACTAGAAAGATTTTCAGAAACAAATTGGTATCATCGGCGTTTCTTAGGACTCAAAATTCAACAGAGGCGTATTCAGGGGGGTTAGTGACATCTATGGTTTTCAGGGGGTTTTTGGGACTCTGCGAGTGCTGAATAAATTCCTGAATAGGCCCCTGCATATTAAATAAAGAATGATGAATGCTAAGATATGAAATTTATTAAAAATAATATGAAAAGTTTCACCAAAATGTAGAGCCGCGAATAAGTAAGCTATAAGTTTCATTTAAATGGACTGTAAGCGTAATTTAGGTGACCCAGGCCACCATTCCTTGAATTGTGAACCCGATTCACAATGGTACTAATGGTACTGTTTGACAAGTAATTAGTTTTGATAAATATGGATATCTACTTCATACTTGTTTAGACAAAGCTTTGAATGGTACCGTTGTGAATCTTACAAACCTGTCGCGGTCGATAAATGAGGGTCACTAGAGGAAACGACTACAGACATTTAATATGAGAGAGTTGGTTCATTTGTCTTAACTCCGCTAAAGCTCTGAAGATGGAGAATATCCATAAATAGAAAAATATCTTGAGCTCCCGTGAATTATTTGATCAATTCATAGTAAAATTCCAGAGTTGTCCTTTTTACGACTTAATCTNGTTTTATCTGATACTGGTCACTGTAACAGTAGTACCGAGGGAAAGTAAGATTTATTAAATCTATTGTCAACCTTTAAATCTCTTCTTTTCTTATGTAATTCTTATCTCAGGCCTTCCTTGTACTCTTCATAATGTTTTCTTTTACTTTCTGTTATCCTTGATTCCCTTGGCCTCATTCTTTTCCTTCTTTCTTCATCTTTTCATCCTTCTCATTCTTAGCTTATCCTTCTCAATAAATGTATTTTATTTTTAATCATGATTCATCCATTCTTATTATCTGTCATTTATGCATAAAAAAAAAACAAGTTTTAATTAGATTTTCGCAGGGGGAGGGACAAGTTCCTTATGTTTGATCCTTAGGTTTGCATTCTTATTTTTACTTTTATCGTTTCCATTTAAATTAATCTTTTATTTATCACCCCTCTTTCTTTCATATATGTCCTGTCCTGTTCTGAATCTATAGTTCACAATGCAAATCATGAACATAGTACATAATACATACATTTCTGAACCTGAAGTACATAGTACAGACAGAAATAAATCAATCTATTTATTTAATCTGACCTTTCGAATTCCCTATATATTGAGCGAATGGAAAGTTTCGAGATTTTCCACGAAATCTGGGATTTTGCCTCCAAATCCTGAACCTGTTCCTGATTCTACGCATGACAAAGAATTGTTAACCTTAACAATAAAAATGAAATCTTTAGAAACTATAGATCAAATCCGTCATGTGGTTTACATTAAACTTTTTAGTAGTTGTTGCTTAGCGCTCAAAGCTAGGGGAGAAAGGAGATTATAGACTTTTAAATTAGGGCCACAAATGTCACAAAATTTGTTTGTTGGAAGTGCTGAAATTTTTTCAATTTTTTAATTTCAAAACCCCGATAGTTTACATTTTTATGTTTCTTTATTATGGAAACAAAGAAAGAACGGTTTCAACCTAAGGATACGAGACTTAATAGGTAGATGTTAAACCCCTGATATTGTTACTTAACAGATTTAGGTCTGTGATGTAATAATCCTTGAATACGTAACCAGCAGTGTATTCTGTAATATTAGAATGGGTTCAATAAACCATGAGTGCACGGACGAATAAAATTATAACTGCACCCCAGATAGATAAAATTTTAAGAACGAAGGGGATAACCCTGCCTTTTTTATTTGATCCCTGTTTTCTCATATTTCGTTAAAGTCTCTTTGTTTTCTCCTTTAAATATATATATACAACTTTAGTAGGTCGGATGCACAATTCTTTAGTTATGGGTCGGATGCACAAATTTGGTAGGTCGGATGCACAAAAAAAGTTAAGTGTATCCGACCTACTGTAGGTCAGTTGCACAGCTTTCTTCAGTTGGTTGCACTCAATTCTGTAGGTCGGACGCACAATAAATGTCTTAACCTAACACCCCACATATCGGCTATTCCTTAAGGTCAATTTGATAAATGTGGCCGCAGCGATCGGTTCAGAAATTGTCTTAACCTTACCTTGTGCATCCGACCTACAGAAGTCGTGCATCCGTCCTACAAAATCTGTGCATCCGACCTACAAAATTTGTACATCCTATAACCTACGAAAGTTGGTCATCGACCTACAAAATCTGCGCATCCGATCTACGTAGAACAGAAGTAACATTACCGAATAATGTGTATTTAGTTTCTGTAATTTCTCCATGTAATTTTTCCTTTTTTGGGCTATCCAATTTTTTTTTAATTTGTCAATCTTTTTAAATTTTCTGTTCTGTCCCAGTTGAGGCCTGTCCGATCGAATATGATGTATCTGCTCCCTGTATTTCATCCTAAGGAAATATTTTCATGCTTTAAATTTATTTTTCTCTATGATCGAGCATTGTTAAACATGTACAGACCGTCCAATTCTTACGCTCTAAAGTTTATTTATGATAAGAAATTTAATTTTTCTAGTATATTTACATAAATTGAGAATGAGAAATAATTGCATGCAGTTATTTAAAAACTTACATTACATAAACATCAGATTACCTAATGTTTTGTGTTATCCCCGGATAGTAAACTACAAAAACGATGCGATCTTTCAGATAACTTACTGGACCATTTATATCTAGATTTCACCACTTTATCATTTCTACATCGATAAGAAAAAGTGGAAAATATACTCTTCAAAAATGTCTAAAATAAATATTTTTTGTATATTCCCTATTTTATAATTCCTTTTCTGTATCTATCCCTTTTTCTGCTTATTCTTTCCTAAGGTTTTTTACAATTATTCCCCCCCCCCCTCCTGCTTCCTTTATTCAGCCTTCACTTCTGTAGATATCTCTTCTTTAGTAACCCTTTCTATAGGTATATATTCTACAGTTATTCTTTCTGTAGATATCTCTGCTACAGTTATCCTTTCTGTAGATATCTTTTCTAAAGTAATCCTTTCTGTAGATATCTCTTCTACAGTTATCCTTTCCGTAAATATCTCTTCTACAGTTATCTTCTACAGTAATACTTTCTGTAGATATCTCTTCTACAGTTATCCTTTCTGTAGATATCTCTTCTACAGTTATCCTTTCTGTAGATATCTCTTCTTCAGTTATACTTTATATATATATCACTTCTACAGTAATACTTTCTGTAGATATCTATTCTACAATTTTCCTTTCTTTAGATATCTCTTCCTTAGTAATCTTTTCTGTAGATATCTCTTCTTCAGTAAGCCTTTCTGTAGATACCTCTTCTTTAGTTATCTTTTCTCATTTGCAGTTATCCCTTCCGTAGATATCTCTTTCTTCTTCAGTTATCCTTTCTGTAGATATATCTTCTACAGTCTACAGTTATCCTTTCTGCGTATATCTTTTTTACAGATCCTTTCTGTAGATATATATACTTTTTTCTTCTGCAGATATTTCTTCTAGAGTTATCCTTCCTGTGGATATCTCTTTTACAGTTATCCTTTCTGTAGTTATCTCTCATTCAGATAACCTTTCTGCAGATATCTCTTCATATCTATCCTTTCGATAGATATCTAAGGTACAGCTATATTTTCTGTAGATATCTTTTCTACAGTTATCCTTTCTGTTGATATCTATTTTATAGTTATCCTTTCCGTATCTACAGATATTTTCCTTCTATTAGTTTGTTCCCTCCCCTCTGCTCCCTGAGTCCCCTGTTAAGGATCGGATCGTGGAGAAAAGAGAAATTGAACCAGAGAAAATCACGAATAAAGAATATAAACTGCGTGCTGTGAGTNTGTAAAAGTATCTGATATTAATTTTAAATCAACGAATTCTCTGAATTTAAAGCATTGGGCATCCATTTATCTAGGTTCATGAACGGTTTATAGTGCTAGTTTTATTTTCATAAGCAAGTGTTGTTTTAATAGGTGGAAAAATCTTTACGACATACTTTAATAACAAATTTTACTATCCCTGATAATTTGGCTTTTAATCGCCCTTTAATTTAAATCTCATTTTTTAAGCATTTGAACCAAATCGATCAGAAATGAAGAATTTATCGTCTTAAAAGATAGAAATGTTAAAAAAATCTTCGTGTAAAAACTCAGAAGTACATTATTTATACGCTACTAGTGGAGATATAAAATTTTGAATTCTAAACTTTTGTAAATAATTTTTAAAGTTTGAATCTTTGCTGGGACACTAATTACCCCTGCTGCGCTGCGCACTGGTGCGTTCAGATTTTTACGTAGATTTGTTTTGATAAATACAATCCATCCAACTTTGGCTTAGTTCAGTTCCAGCTCTACCTTTGGAGGAGGGGTACATAGATCTTCACAAGGAACTTTTCGGACTTTGTATAGGGATAAAAATTGGTAATTTCCAAATATACGATTTTTGGACTCCCCCCTGGCCCCCCCCCTTCCTTATATGGATCTTATATATAAGCCATGGATAAAATTGACCATGTGGCCGTAGCGCCCGGCCTATCTAGCCTGTCCTAGCCGCTGCACTCGGCCCCCTATCCTAGCCGCAGCGCTCGGCCCAGAAATTTTCTAAACCTAATCTAACCTAAAATAACAATAAAAAAAATTTGCTGAAAAATAAGTGGTCATGTACAAAATTGATAGAAGGGGAGGACGGACCCTAAAAATTGTAGGTTTATTCTTTATTTATAAACATTTTTTTCATTTCAGAAACTATGTTTAAGTTTGGTCTGCTGCTCTTAGCAGGAGTAGCTGTAGGTCATCCCTATGGAGTTTACAACAACTACAACCAACCTGGAGGACAACGTCATGGAGTGCCAGCTTATAATCATGGAGGATATGGATACGGAGCCCCTGTAGTTCAACAGCAACAAGGATATTTTGGAGCAGGGTTCAATCCATCTCAGCAAGCTCAGTACTCTCCTTATAATCCGTCCCTGAGAGCTCAACCAATTCCTTACAATCAGTTCTCACAGAATACAGTTGGAGCTAACTTTTATCAACAAGGTAATCACCTTTTAATCTTAATGAGAAATAATAAACAATATTAGGTATGATTTAAAATTTCTAAAAAAAACTTTCTTTTTTGACGATCTGGGATGAAAAACCCAAATGCATGACGAATTGAAACCCCGTCTTCCACAAGTGAGCCTCAAGCAATCAATAAACCTTATGAATTGATTTGATGATTAAAATATCTATATGAAAATTTCAAACAAGGCTTATAAGTGATGTTTTATCTAATCAATTTTTGCATTTTTTCAGAAATCATTTCAATAAGATTATTTTTAGAAAATACTGGAAATGCCTTAGAAGAAGATACGTACGAAAGCGTTCCATACACCGTCATAGAAAATTTTGGGGTAACATTTTAACATTAAAAGGGAGTGTTCGCCAAAAATAAGAACAGGAAAGTGAAAGCTGAGTTTTTTAAATAAACGGGAAAGCTAGTCTTTTTTTGATGTCCTTGGAAGCCGGATGGTTTAACCAAAATTCTCTTTACCATTCAAAAAGATTGATTCCTAATTTTAAATTGTTTCGTTCAGTATAAACTTCTCTTTATTGATGAATCGATTAGAAACTTGCTTAACTTCATTTCGTTTGTTTCTTGCGACTTTCTCCTGTGCTGCAAATATCATTAAGAACAAATTATTTTTAAATTCTAAGATTTCACATTTTATACATTTGTTGTTGTCTTGATAATTCCAGAAAATGTTGTCCTTTATTTAATGTCACACATACGGTGATAACCAGAAAACTCTGAAAAAGGAAGACAACTTTTAGAATCAAGTTATAACTTTAAGAAGTCCAATCAGCATGAGAAACAGCAATTGTGGTTTGAACACAGACCCATTTCACTAAATTAGTAAATAAATAAGTGTAATAAAACTGTTTGCTTTGTCACAACCTCAAATACACTTAGTATTGCTATAATGACGTCTTCCTATTCCATTTTTTTTTGGTTATCACTGTACAAAAAATTATTTTCTAAATTAGATAATTTATAGAGTTATTCTAGACTTATGAGCTGAGAGAATATCCTGCAGCTAAGTTTGCCTGTGTCAAGTCTGAAGTGGATAACTCAGAGGATCCTCTTGCTGGTAAAATCACTATTCTAAAACTCACATTATTGGTGTTATTGTTATTCAGTCGGAACTTATGTATGTAGTATCGTTATTCTTGAAACACTTTATCTCGATATCTAATTTAAGTACTTTTAATTTTGCCGATAAATGTTTGACCCCTTAACCCTGCTGGTTATGACAACTACGGAATATCGAAGAGGACAGAAATTAATCCAATGGTCAGCATGAGATGGACATCAATCAATCAATACTTGATCCCAAGATTTACATTCACATTAGTTATCTTATTTTTCAAACTTCAGGTTCAGAAAATATGAATCCTTTCGAGGTGATGAAGTCTAAACAATGGAAGAAGGCTCCAACTTCTTTAATGTTCATCGAGCTTTTCAAATACATCTCTGGAGTAAACAAGGTTAAACCACAATCTTAAAGATAGTTAATATAACTTAACCGATAAAACTTTGGACAAGGAAGACGACATTTAGAAAATCTTGTGTTTTATATGTTGGTTGTTGAATTACAAAGCTTTTGTCAGTAGCTTTAGTGAAATGAATTTGTGCATTTTTTTTGTTTATTGGACTGTTTCAAGCCGTAAATTGAGTCTAACGGTCGTCTTTCTACCGTTCCCTTTGGTATTCGAGAAATATCTTTCTTTCTTCTAAGCTTAAATTCGGGTAACCACTTAGTTAAAGATAAGATGGAGATATATTCTTAGACTTACATTACCACTGCAAATACTTGATGCCACTAATACAATTTATTTTTCAAAATTCTGTGAAAATGTTCCTTTATCAGTTATAAATGTATAATATTTCCTCCAGGAAGGACAAGAGATTGAAATGACTATCCCCGCCCCCACCCACCACTCCATCAAGAAGAAACAGGTTGGAGGAGATGTCGAGGTTCAGGAGATGTGCTTCTATATCACTTCAGAATTCCAGGTTGACTTTTTAAAGTCTTATTTTAATGGTGGTTTTAGTAATTTTGGCTTAAAGGGACTGTTAGTGTAATTTCAACCCTCCATGCAAAGATGGCAATACCGTATTTACAACGGTATCCTTAAAAGCTTTGTCTGATCTGTTGATCCAAAAATCGTTCTTGCAGTAAAAATAGATATTTTTTTCATTTTTTTTTTAATTTTAAATCTTTTGTTATTTTGTTCGTTTTTTAAAAACGATATTTTTTTCAACTATCCATTTCGTTCGTCCATCGTTCTTTTTTTCTGAACGAAACCACTTTTCACAAAAAAATTTCGTTCGTTCTCAAAAGTTGCGTTCGTTAAAACAAACGATGCCCATTTTTAGTCTGATCATGTATGAATTAAATATCCAAGTTTTTGTTACTTCAAACTGTTCATTTTCATTTGCGGTTTTTCTGCATTGTCATCTTTGTTTGTATGGAGGGTCACTTACGCTTACACTCATACAGTCCCTTTAAATAATAAAAAACAATTATTATTTTGTTTAACTTTTGTTTTTTAGGCAAACCCACCTCAGCCCTTGGACAACTCTCCAGTCTTCATTTTTGAAAGGTAAAAATTTTTTAAACTTTCAAAATGTTTGACTTTCTAAAATATGCATATTTCAGGCCTGCTATGAAACTGTACGCTAGACAATTTGGAGGATTTCCTTTGACCTCAGCATCGTGGATTCATGAGAAACAAATTCTAGAAAACGCCCTTGTCGGTAAGTGGAGCCCAGGACTGGGGTTTTTCATTGATAATCACATACTGTATCCTTTAATCTATCACAAGAAGGGGTGAAACTGTATTGAAAAGGGCTGATGGCTTTTTTATAAACATTTGATGAAGATTTGTTTAGGAAAATATTATCATGATAGTGAGTACTACACTGCCGGATACAGTTCTCCATGGGATACTAACAGGTATATTATTATTATTATTATTATTATTATTATTATTATTATTATTATTATCATTAACAATCAACCTAGACTCGGTTCAAACAGCTATTAAGTGTTATGAAATTAGAGCCTGCGCTAAATTGGAATCGGATATTCCCTGTTCAAATTCTTTAAATTCGACCTCAGGTCTATATGGGATCTAAATTATTTTGTATAAATATTGATGATAGAATGAGAAATTATACTTTTTACCAAAAAGACATCAATTGATTGACTGATCTATTCAGGAGAAATGAAGTATGGATTCAGTGCTTAGAGCCTGCTGCACCTGTAGTTGCTGCAGTTGTTGCTGAAGTAGAAGATATTGATAACAAGAAGGCCGAAGTTGATAAGTCTGAAGCGGAACTAGCAGAAGCTGAGGAAGAAGAAGAATTAGCTACAGAGGAGCTAGATGCAAATGCAGTTATAAATACTAGAACTGAGGAAAGTGAAGATGTCGAAGAGGCTGAAGATGAAGATAATGAAGATGACGAAGATGAAGAAGTTGTCGAAGAGGATGAAGATGATGAAGCGGATGCTGATACTAAAGCTGCCAATACTGATGCTGAAGAGTCTGTTGAAGCTGATGAGGCGGTTGTAGCTGATGCTGATGCTGCTGTAGCTGATGCTGATGCATAAGATTAAATAATTTAGTATTCAACAGTAAAACAAAAAAGATATTTCTAATGTGTAATCCCCTTGAAATGTGATGTATAAATTGACCCCTGATCTCTTTAAAGAATGTTTATCAGTTATATCATTTGAGATTCAATATTATTTCGTTATCAAGATTGAAATAAATTTAGAACCTACGAGACATTTTTTATGTTATTTTTCGACAGTTCCCTTGATTTAATGCGTCTTCATAGTCCTTAGTATTCAGATAGACTTTCGTCGCCCAATCATATAATGCCCAGTTAGAAGAGTTGTTTTATCTGTCACATTTATCTTTAAAATCAGATTCATCGAAAGAATTTATAAATTGTCGTTTTCTTAACCTACTGATAATGGAATGCTGCAGAGATTGAATTTTTAATTGAATAATTATATGAAACTCATCTGTAAAACTGTTCTCGCATATTTAAAGGAAATGGGTTTAGGCTGAAACCTAAACACTTAAGGAATTGATCGCAACCTAAGTTCTATCTGATATTTCTGTCTTGACAAATTGATACAAAACTCTGTAAACGTAATACCAAAACTTATATATAAACTCGCCCCTCTCCCTTCTTTGGAAAATTCATATCTATGGGCCGAATGGGCCTGCTTAAGTCCTTCGCATGGGGGAAAAAGAGAAATTTAATTAAAGACCGGGATTTCTGAACGACAATTGATTAAATGACCCACCAGAGCCCGAAATTTAAAAGAGTATTATTGAATGAAACTTCCGAGTTTCCATTTGTGGTCTTAACATTTAAGTAGATTTTAATTTAAAAGATTCGAAAAAAGAGAATATGAAGAAGCTAAACAATATAATATTTCATAACAAAAATATTGATATCTAAAAAACTGCCTAACCACATTCGTGAAACCCGGGTTTAAAACTGGTTTTTATAACGATACCCTGTCTTTAAGTTTTGGGCTCAGAGATATCTTTGAGTGTAAAGATATGCTCAGTCATATTAGCATGTTACATTCATGTGTATTTTCAAGTAGTTGAGCGCAATATCTTTAACAGATCAGCATTTACTGCAGGATTCAGCAAGGAAGAAGTTACCGAAGTGTGTTATCTGATGTACACGTTCACCCCTTTTCTTGTCAAACTTGTTTTAGCCGAGCTGTAATGAAACTCTTTAAATAAGACGATCCGAAAGTCGAATTAAGTCTTTTGCCTAAATGTAGTATTTTAATTGCTTATTTAATGATTTAGAAAAGAAAGAAACAAGTTTATAAATGACAGGAATATTGAATATAAGGACACAGACAGTTTAAATTCCGCTAAATTGTTTCTGAATCATCTAAAGTCTCATTCTTTGTGGGTAACCCTGTAGTTTCATTCATTGTTCATCCTTGTATTTAATAAAACCTTTCTCCAATAATATGAATATTGTCTAAATGTTCATTTCGTAGTTTTTTTTTCATATATGGTTTTCACGAAACGATGAGATTTAAAATGGCCACAAAAATCGTATTTAAAGGTCTCATGAAATTATCTAGAATGGAGAATATTTTCTTACTCTTCTTGTCAACTACTTATCCTATTCTGAATTGAATACTTTAAGCACAGAGATTGTCTTTAAGAGACTAAATACATAACTAACATATCCTTTAAATCTGTATCTTAGTAACAATCCTGAAGACATAGTCGTTTTCATCTTAAAATCTATGTTGAATTTTGAAATCTTCCTTCATTGTTACTGCAACATCGATACGTAAATAACTTTTTAGAGAAGCCACTCTTGAAAATAGTTGTTTTTAGTTCGAAAAATAAAGATATCTCATGCCCCATTGCTCAGGTAAAGGTTTAAATGTTACCGTTGTGAATTGGACTTTAATTCTATAAATGTAGAGTCACTTTGAGATACGTCAACAGTTCTTCTTCTGTTGGTTTAGATACAAAGTAAGTATCGCATATTAGAAAGCTTCAAAATATCAAGTTTTTTATTTTTAAGATCCAATAAAAGTAGCTTCTTTGTTTCCATGTATTTGTGTGGACTTCCTGTTTGATCTCATGAGAAAGATAGAGAAGGGAAAGTGGTTCCCAACCCTCCTCTTCACTCCTGCTACACAATAAAATACCGCTTCTCCGGCTCGCCGAGCCATTTTTAATGACAAAGATTTGTATTGTTAAATCCAACCCTCTTCCCAGTTCAGTTCATTCCTGACTCTCATCTTGGACGGTTTCAATACAGGCACTGAGGCAGGGTTTATAGTATATATATATATACTTCTATTTATTCAAGACTTTCCCTTGTATCTCTTGAGGGAATGATTTTCAGAGATTAAGTTGAAAAAAATACCATGATCAGATTTTCAAATATTTCTTCACAAACTCGCAATTTTCCCCAAAATTTGTATTTGAGATAAAAAAATAGAAAAAGAATATGCATAGATTTCATAGATTTCAATTATTATTGTTTGTTGAATAAATCGTGGTTCATTGCAAAGAAATAAGGCCTGATACAATGTTCTCAATAATAAACGGGAATTTTTTTTCAATTTTTAACCTTACAAATGTTAAATCTTAGTTTATGAGGTTTGTGGACTTAAAAATATTTCGCAAAAATTTTATTTTATAAATTTCAAAATTAATAATTCTAACACTACACAAAAATCTGAATCTGAGAGAAAATAATGCTGAAAAATAAAATGATGGTTTTAAAACCAACATTTTCCCCATATTTTCACTTGAATAGTTTAGTTCTATTCAGGCTGACGGCTGGTTCACCCAAAATAGTCAGGAGGGGGGGTCCCGGTCCCAGGGCCCCCCCTCTTTTTCCTTAATGTGATACAAATCTATCACATTTGTTACACTTTTTGAAGACCTTGGGCTATACTTTAATAATCTACCAAAAATGTGCAAATTTCAAATGTTCATTGCAATTTCAAGTTATTAAGCAACAAATTTTCAAAAACAAAAAGTGCTCGAAATATGATTTTTCAAAAGTCCTTACTATGACAAATTTAAATATTCAAAAATATTTGCAAAATTTACAAAAACTAAATTTGTATTCAAAGAAAACTGATAATATGCAAATTCTCTTTAAAGGCATCTGTGCAAAAGAAACTGAAAAATTTCTTCGCAAAAGTTTTGCAGTTTGCTTCCTTTTGAATAAGGTTTTCCAAAGAGCTATAAAAAGTCAAAATCCAATGACTGAAAGTAAATACAGATTTAGTCGGGTAAAGGTAAAATAAGGCATTGAGGCAGTATGCCTGAGGACTCATGCAGTAGGTATAAGAGCCCCGCTTTGAGCCTAAAGTAAAGGGCATGTGCTAGTTAGAAAAGTAACAAATTTGATCAGCCTCAGACCAATACTTTTCGAGTTATCTCCAAAAAANTTAATGATAGAAAACTTTTTCGAATACAATTTTGAAATGTTAGTCTTCGCAAGTTCACATTATTTGTGTGAAGGTGCCTTTTCTAGAGAATCGAACCAAGTCTTTGGCTAACACTCGTAGGGATATGTTTGCAATTTTAAATTATCTTTTGGATATGATTTTCAGAAATTATGTTTAACTTCGGTCTGCTCCTCTTAGCAGGAGTAACTATGGGTCATCCCTACGGAGTTTACAACAACTACAACCAACATGGAGTGCCAGCTTATAATCATGGAGGATACGGATATGGAGCCCCTGTAGTTCAACAGCAACAAGGATATTTTGGAGCAGGGTTCAATCCATCTCAGCAAGCTCAGTTCTCTCCTTACCATCATCAATTCTCAAAAGACCATGCTGGTTCAAACTTTTTTAAACAAGGTGCGAATTTAGCTCGTCAGTCGTCAAATAAAATTAAATATATTCTTGTTCAATTTGTTTTTATCATATTTATTTTAAACATAGTTCTACAATGATAACCTGAAAACAATGGAATAGGAAGACGACATTATTACAATACTTAAATGTCATGTATTTGATGTTGTTACAAAGCAAATAATTTTACTAAAAACTTATCAATTCACTAATTTAGTGAAATAGGTCTGTTTACACCGTGACTCATACTCATGGAACTTTTTAAAGTTAAAACTTGATTCTAAAGTCGTCTTATTATTTCAGAGTTTTTCGGCTATCACTGTACTATTTTTTGACATATTGACAACTAACATTTTTTGTTTTTAGAAGATGAAGAGAAGTCTATAGAGTTCGAGGAGGAAGAACTTGAACAAGTGCCTTACACCGTTATCGAGGATTTTGGGGTAAATTGATTTCAAGAAAAAATATCTTAATATTACATAATTGATGAGCACATAAGTGCTTTGAGCTTGTTAAACCACAATTTTCAGAAATATTTTTTGTTTCTTGACTTTTAACTTTGCGGATTTTTTTATTTAAAACTTTTAATTTTACCATCCATAAATCTCTTCTGGCGTCATGTGAGTAACTGCAAATTCCATTCAGCCATGTTTATTTCATACATGCAAACAGACAGACAAACAGCCTAATATACGTAGTACGTACGTTAATGCTTATAAAATATCTTTCCGTAGACTTATGAGCTGAGAGAATATCCTGAAGCTAAGTTTGCCTGTGTCAAGTCTGAAGTGGATAACTCAGAGGATCCTCTTGCTGGTAAAATCATTATTTTATTATCAAGCGGATTTCTACCAACTAAGACGATGGGAGAAAATTGTCAGAATTTAACACTTCTACAGAACTGTAATTGACAACATCTTTATAATGTTACTTTGATAAAAATTTGAAGGGTACCGTTGTGAATAAAATATGCTACTCTGTACATGGAGAATAACATGAAATTACATCTTTACAGTCCAGATAAGTATTTTCTTATTTTACTCATTCTAATCTCAGGTTTAGAGAAAATGAATCCATTTGAAATCATGAGGTCCAAGCGATGGAAGAAGAACCCTAACGGAATCATGTTCAAAGAGCTCTTCAAATACATCGCTGGAGTTAATAAGGTTTCTTCATTTTTTAATTGAAAAAAGGGCTCTTCACCAAGGACGTAAACAGGGGGGGGGCAGTGCCCCCCCTACCCTCCTAGAACTCAGAGCTATCACACTTTTCAAATCTGAAACGGAAGAGTAAAGAACATAACGAATTAGTTTGCTGTTTTTTTTCTGCTAGTTTTTTTGAAGGAGAGATAAAGTAGTACTTTTAAGGTAATTTGACTGTATTTGTACCTTTAAAGTATCCAAAAAGACAAATGTTTTGAATTTAGAGTTATAATTTCGCGCATATTTGCCCCCCCCCCCACATATATTTCTGTATATGCCCTTGCTCTTATAGCTCATATATATTTGTAAATGTTTGATAAAGCTGGCAAACGGCTGAACCAACTTGGCTGATTATTTTAGGGAACCCATGGCTACCCTGGGCCTGGGGTGAATTGACATAAGCTAAATTTTGTTTGAAATTGTTGAAATTCCACAATCAAGGCCGGGCACTTCAGCTGATATCATAATTAATGCAAAGCGCGGGTAAACGACGGGAGTAACAATAACTTTGAATGTAAACCTAGGCAGCACCGGATACTCCAGATAGTTTCCAATATAAGGGAAGGATATAAATTCATTTTTAGTTTATCTACAAAAAAAATCATTTCCTCCAGGACGGACAAGAGATTGAAATGACTCGTCCTGTCTCAACCCACCACTCCATCAAGAAGAAGCAGGTTGGAGGAGATGTCGAGGTTCAAGAGATGTGCTTCTACATCACTTCAGAATTCCAGGTATAATCTATTCTATATATAAAGTAGTAATCTCTGTTTGTCTATATGTTTGGATGTTTGATCATAACTCTTGAACCCCTCGACCGATTTGCCTCAAATTTTGAATGAGGAACTCGGTAGAACCCTGGGAATGTTCTTAGCTTAAAATTAAGTGGGTTGACTCTTATAGAGAAAGTTTATTTTAGATAAATCTTTTAATTACTTCTCAATTAATGCTCAATCAGAAGCACTTTTAGAAAAATTTAATTAATAATAAAATGTATTATGATTTAGGCAAATCCACCCCAACCCCTGGACAACTCTCCAGTTTTCATTTTTGAAAGGTAATCTCGATTTTTATCTTAAAATAAATAATTTTTTGTTTATTTTTTTTCCATGTAGACCCGCTATGAAAGTGTACTCCAGACAATTTGGAGGATTTCCTTTAACCTCAGCCACGTGGATTCAAGAGAAACAAGTTCTAGAAAAGTTTCTGGCCGGTAAGTTTCTATATATCTATATGCAGTAGTAACGTACCAAAGGAGTGTGTGTAAGGTTTACCGAACTGTCTGAAAAGCAGTGCGAATGGCTTTCTCATGCCAGACCAGCGCCATTTCCTTTCCCTTTATTCCTATTCCCTGAGTAGTAATCTCTGTTTGTCTGTGTGTTTGTACGTCTGATAATTACTTTGAAACCCCTTGAACCGATTTGTCTAAATTGTTTATCGGGGAACTTGTTAAAACTACGGAAATGTTTTTACCAGGGTTAAATAATTTCGAAGTGAGAGGGGTTGACTTTCAAAGGGAAAATTAATTAACATTTTCTTCCAAAGATAAAGTTTGTTTTTCCCAGTTTTGAAAAGTTTTTGAGTAAAATGTATTCTTATTTAGGTAAACCTCATCATTATAGTGAGTATTATACCCTTGGCTACAACTCTCCTTGGGACAAAAACAGGTATTTTGAAATACTTACTTGTTTTAATGATTACTTAATTTTGAATTAATAATTCTATAGTTTATAACTATATATGTATTCGCTTCAGGAGGAATGAAGTATGGATTCAGTGCTTAGATTCTGCTGCACCTGTAATTGCTGCTAAAGTAGAAAATGAAAATGATATCGATAACAAGAAGGCCGAAGTTGCTGAACTAGAAAAAGAAAATGATAATGACAAGAAGGCTGAGGAAGTAGAAAAAGAGGTTTCGGAAGAAGTAGCAGAAGCTGATACTGAAGCTGTAGCTGAAGAGGAAGCTGATGCTGAAGTAGACGCAGAGGCTGATACCAAAGCAGCTGAAACTGAACCTGAAACTGATGCTGAAGTGGCTGCTGAAACTGAAGAAAAAGTTGTAGAAGAAGCTGAAAATGAAGATGCATAAGATAGTCATCAAGATTGAAGACTCGTTTTATATAAAAATTTCAAAAATTTTATCTATAAATTATTGTGTCCTGTTGAATAAAGCAAAAGAATCTCAAGCTTAAAAAGTGTATGTTGAATTTAACTTAAGTGACACGAAGTAAATTTTATTCACACACGAATTTAAATGATAACAGATTATCTAAAAAAGAAATTCAAAATATGTATCTACAAATTTAACAATACAAGCAAAGTATATATATATGGTTGGATAATTACTTTTTTTAAGTGATTAATTTTCTAATCCTTACAACTTTGCAATCTGATGTTGTAGAACTACAGCGATATCCAGAAAACTCTGGAATATTTTGTCGACTTTTAGACCAAGGTTATAACTTAAAATAGTCCAATGAACATGAGGCACATATAAATTGATATTAATTATTGATTATGATAATAAAATTTAATAACTTACTAGTAAAGCTATTTGCTTAAAAAAAACATCAAATAAACTTCAGTATTGTTTGATGTCGTCTTCCTATACTCTACAGTTTTCTGGTTATTACTGTATGAATTCTTCAAGATAAAATAGTCAAAGTTTAAAATATAGCAATGGTTTTTACCACATCAGGTAATATTATACACGTATTCAAGTTGTTGAGTTGAGTTTTTGCGACAAACTCTGATTTTCTAGTCTCTATATCTTTGTAACCCAATGTCGTAGACCTTAGATATTTCAAACTATTAATACTTATAGATAAAATAATCTAAGTTTGAAATATCAAAGGTTTTCACCATCAGGTTGCAAAGATATTGGGATCAGAAGATTTGAGTTTGTGGCAAAAACTCAATTCCTTTGTGGCAAGTGGTCAGTTTCTTCGTGCGATGCAAACATCATTGTATTTATATATCTAAAGTTGAAATATCTGTTTGTCCGTCTGTCTGTCTGTTTGTACGATCATAACTCTGGAAACCCTGGACCGATTTGCCTCAAATTTTGATAGGGGAATTCAGGAGACCCACGGGAATGTTGTGAGATTTAAGTTTAGTGGGTCGACTTTAATAGAGATAATTTAGTTTGCCGGTAAAATCGTTTTAAGTGAAGGTAAACGGCGGGAGTAACTTTTAGTAACCTGGGCAGAGCTGGGTTCCCAAGCTAGTAGTTTATTATCTTCGTCATTATATGATTATAGAATAAGTACTTGTTCTCAAAATATTTTTATATTATGTACATTGTACAGTTTACACTGTGCTTTATAATTTATCTTTTTCTATAGCTATCTATCCCGCGTCCTGTTTTTGGCATTTGTCCAGTCCTGGGAGTCCTGGCTTGTCCTTTCTATAGTCAGTCCAGTCTTTATTATAGTATAAGTGATACACAACATTTACTATACACAAACACACACATTAGAAAGTCGTTCATACACTTTTGAGACCGGGACGGTTTTCCTGGTTTCACCTTGCCGATCCACTCATACTTTTTCCAGCCTTTGGATGGGGAAATTTCAAAACTTCAAGTTTAGGCTTTAAACGCGTAGCTGGTAAAATACTTAAATGCTTTTGAGTAATGCGGAGCTATGCACTATACACACTATTGTTTTCACACGATTTAATATTTTAGAATGATATGTAATAAAAAAGACAAAATTAATGAAATCATGTCACGCGTGGTCTTATTTTTATAAAAGATGTAAGTTATAAGATGATGCAGAACATATGTGAAGTGTTTATTTACTGCTAGACATATAGGGCCAGTAATCTGATATAATCAAGCATATAGTTCTTCTCAGCTATAGTGTCTATAGTCAGATCTTTTAGTACTTTATACTATTCATTATCCATACAGTAGATAGTATATGACAGCTGGCTCTTAGGAATGACAGCGTGTAGATCTAATAGACACCTTGTAGAACAGATATAACAACTCTTGACCTAATAGACACCTTGTAGAACAGATATGACAACTCTTGGCCTAACAGACACTTTGAAGAACAGATATGACAACTCTTGACCTAGCAGACACCTTGTAGAACAGATATGGCAACTCTTGACCTAATACCCACCTTGTAGAAAGGATATGACAACTCTTCGACCTAATAATGGACACCTTGTAGAACAGATATGACAACTCTTGACCTAACAGACAACTTGTAGAACAGATATGACAACTCTTGACCTAATAATAGACACCTTGTAGAACAGATAAGAGAACTCTTGACCTAACAGACAACTTGTAGAACAGATATGACAACTCTCTTGAACTAATAGACATCTTGTAGAACAGATATGACAACTCTTGACCTAATAGACACCTTGTAGAACAGATTTGACATTGACCTAATAATAGACACCTTGTAGAACAGATATGACAACTCTTGACCTAATAATAGACACCTTGTAGAACAGATATGACAACTCTACCTAACAGACACCTTGTAGAACAGATATGAGAACTCTTGACCTAACAGACAACTTGTAGAACAGATGTGACAACTCTTGACCTAATAGACACCTTGTAGAAAGGATATGACAACTCTTTGACCTAATGATAGACACCTTGTTGAATAGATATGACAACTCTGGACCTAACAGACACCTTGTAGAACAGATTTGACAGTTGTCCTTTAAGTTTCCTCCTGTGAGGCCAGGCAACCCTGTGTAAAAGATAAAAGACACACTGTAGAGCTAAGAGACAAAATTATGCTATAATGGTAAATGTGAGACAATAATTTTTATGAAAAAATATTTAGAAAGATGACGATGTGAAATAAATGAAGACAACATGCTTGCTACAGCAGAACCTGGTATAGTACTGGTCAGGTACAGGATTAATTAATTTCTCAACTAATTAAATCGGTTCTTTAACAAGTTCAACTTGTAGAACTATTTTTTGTTTGTTCTCTATGTGTTTGATGATTTAACAAAGTGTATATTCTTTATATAATTTTTCAATTATTTTGTGAAATATATAAATATAACTTAACAGTTCAAAATATAAAGGGAATGGCTGAACTGCGTTAAATCTGAAGAATTTGATCTTTTGGAAATATTTTCCGACAAAAAACAAGATATCTCCGATAATGCGCAAGATATCTGCGATAAAAAGCAAGAAAACTGTGACAACGGTGTGTTCCAAGGAGAAGTTTTGGACCCCGGGTTTCCCTTAGTGTCTGTAACCACAGCATCAAAAATAAGGAACAGAAGCTAACCAAAAATATAAACCGGCATTATTTGAACCGCAAAAACACTGTTTCTCCTTATAAATAAATTTTATCCAAAAAAAAACCTTGAAAATCTCCAATCTAAAGGTTAAGTTTTTACAAACAGAAATGAATTAGGGCTCGAGTCACTGAAACTCCGTGACCGTACCAACTTAAAAAAGCTATTAAAAAAGTATATGCAGTATAAATACAGACTATAATAAACGACAACAATGGTTTGATTAAAGTTTCTGTTCCTGACAGAGAAGAAGATGGATATTATGAACTAGAACTTAAAGACGGAGTTAAATACATTGGTAGGACCATTCTTGAAATAAAAATTAAAAATAAAAGAACATTCATATTATGATAGGAGCGCCTCTCAGACTTCTAGGATACTTAACGATTTCGTAATTTTCAGATTCGATCCACAAAAGCTTAATATTATCTGTCTAAACTTTGATTGAAATACCGTGTCACTTATATTGTAAGTATGTCTTATAACTCGGACACAGTTTTATATGATTTTCACGAGACAGACATCAGATAGAAATATTATTGGTCGCGCTCAACTATATTTTCTATAGGCTTTAGCCTATACACCTTTTTATTTTACCTCGACAGTCCTTAAAAGTAATGAATATTTACAAATGATTTTTCTATCATATTGTAAGTTTTTTTTTTTTTATTTATTTTTTGGATATTGTATCGCAAAAACTGAACAAACAATCCTAACCAAAAGACTTTTTTTAAACATGTGAAAAAAAATCTGCAATTTATTTACATTGATAAAGAAATTGAGTCGAATTTTCTAATCCTTATATTTTTACATCCTAATTGTGGAAACCTTTGGTAAACTTAGATTATTTAGTTGCAACTAATGGGAAAGACTCAATTCCTTTACAAATTAAGTTATTATAGAAAAAGATGTATTTATCCACTGTACACTCTACAGGATGTATAAAAGAAGAGTTGGGAGATGGGGAAGGAGAACTACAGATACCCGCAGATTGGACTGGTCATTGGACCACAGGCAAGATATTATATTTACCCAAATTATAAACACGATCTTTAAACACTTATCTTAATTCCGGTTTTAATCAAAATCATGGACGGACTAAACCATTATCTCAGGGACGGACTAAACCATTACCTCAGGGACGGACTAAACCATTATCTCAGGGACGGACTAAACCATTATCTCAGGGACGGACTAAACCCTTATCTCAGGGACGGACTAAACCATTATCTCAGGGACGGACTAAACCATTATCTCAGGGACGGGGCCCATAATTTGGTGCGTAAGCGGTAAAACAAAATTCGGCCCCCCCCCCTAAAAATTGAACAAAAAGCAGTAAATTCCTATTTCTTATTTGATCAAAAAATATAAGTTTACAAACTCTAGTTCTCGTACTTTCTATTTGTAAACTCCAGTTCTCCTACTTTCTATCTGTAAACTCCAGTTCTCATACTTTCTATCTGTAAACTCCAGTTCTCATACTTTCTATCTGTAAACTCCAGTTCTCACACTTTCTATCTGTGAACCTTAGTTATCACACTTTCTAACTGTGAACTTTAGTTCTTTAACTTTCCATGTGTAAAATCTAGTTCTATCCTACTTTCTGTCTGTGAACTCTAGTTCTCCCTCTTTCTATCTGTAAACTCCAGTTCTCCCACTTTCTATCTGTAAACTCCAGTTCTCATACTTTATATCTGTAAACTCCAGTTCTCACGCTTTCTATCTGTAAACTCCAGTTCTCCCACTTTCTATCTGTAAACTCCAGTTCTCATACTTTATATCTGTAAACTCCAGTTCTTCAACTTTCCATCTGTAAAATCTAGCGTAAAATCTAACCTACTTTCTATCTGTAAACTCCAGTTCTCCCACTTTCTATCTGTAAACTCCAGTTCTCCCACTTTCTATCTGTAAACTTTAGTTCTTCTACTTTCTATCTGTAAACTCCAGTTCTCACACTTTCTATCTGTAAACTCCAGTTCTCCCACTTTCTATCTGTAAACTTTAGTTCTTCTACTTTCTATCTGTAAACTCCAGTTCTTCTACTTTCTATCTGTAAACTCCAGTTCTTCTACTTTCTATCTGTAAACTCCAGTTCTTCTACTTTCTATCTGTAAACTCCAGTTCTCCCACTCCCTATCTGTAAACTCCAGTTCTCACTCTTTCTATCTGTAATTTTACAGGCATATTAGTATAAATAATCAGATGAGAAAATAATTTTAACAGGTATTTCAGGTCATTTATTTTATTTTTTTTCCGTTGTGTCTTTCATTCCTTGATGTTTTATTTCCTTGGGGGGGCGCCCCCCTCCAGAAGCTTAGGGTGGGGCCTGTGTACCCAGGCCCCCTCCCCTGTAGTCCGCCCCTGATCAAAGTGCCATTAAAAATTTTAAAATATTATTTTTGGGTCTGTCATTGTCATTAGCATGATTTATAAAGGGACTGTCAACGTAATTTGATGTGTTTATAAAATGTTGTTTAACGTAACTTAAATGTGGGTTACAGAGACCTGATTAAAAAATCTTTATGTGAATATCATCGTAGTTGATATGGGTTTAAAGAAAATATCAACACAGATTTGATGGCTTACGTCATACAACCTTAAATTATCTTTCCTTAGATAGACTAAGGAATTGAGTCTTTGCCACAAACTCTGATTTTCTAATCACTATATCTTTGAAACCAAATGTTGTAGACCTTAGATATTTCAAATTATGAATTCTGTTAAATCAAATAATCAGAGTTTGAAATATCAAAGGTTTACAACATCGGGTTCTAAAAATATTGGGGTTTAAATATTTGATTTTGTTACAAAGATTCAATTCCTTTATTGATATGTTACCTACTTTAACCTTTCTCCGTATGTTATGTTGCCACCCTGAAGTCACTAGTTTACTAAAGTCGTCGAACAATATAGACTTTCTACTTTCATTTCATTTCTACCAATCTTTCAAACAGCAGAGACACATATGCATGTAAACAAAGATAAGTTTGTAAAATTATAGGCGGGGCGTCGATACTTGGAGGTTGGCTAGTTGGTTAATTGGTTAGGTTGAATCATTGGTTAGTTGGTTCATTGGTTAGGTTGAATCATTGGTTAGTTGGTTTTCGTTGATTAATTGGTTTGTTGGTTAGGCTCCTCATCTTAGACACTAAGTTACAAATAATCATGTAAATGGATATGTTTCAAACCTGCAGTAAAAATAAATGACAATGTATTATTGCAGTTGAATATTTAATAATGTATCTTACTAGTTTGTGTCCGAGTGAAAAGAAGTAATTAAGGGTCTGAATGTTTGATGGTATAGTTTAAAACATTTGTAAATACTTCTGAAAATATAAAACCCGATTGTTAAAGTGGAATTTACTATGGATTACAAAGTTATTTATGGATTTGATCTTTCAGTAAAATGTTTCAATGTTTGTTGTTCCTTTTGTCGGAGAGTTAGTTTGGAGTTTCTCCGAGAGAGGCTTTGGTATAGACGACTTACGGGATGGGGGGGGGGGGCTTAGAAGTTGTATTTATAGGAAAAAAAGTTGTCAATTAAAAGTTTCTCTTTGTATACTTGTAAAATTGTTACATGAGAAATGCTTATAACGGATCAAATAATTATTAATTAAAAGTCGACCTCAGTGTATTGATATAATTGCCGACCACTGTATTTGTATTTCACAAAAACATATTCTTTATCAGCACTGATACACTTCTTTTGTTTAAAAGAATTGTTCGCTTAATTTTAGTGCTGATTCTTAGCTTTCATGAACTCTCTCTTTACTCCAGGAGAAAGTATATTACGAGGTTGGTTTAAGAAAGGAAGGTTGGAGGGAAGAGTGCGAGCTGAAAGCTTTCAGGATTGTACAACAACAGAACTACTATTCAGGTAAACAACTATATAGTGTACTGCACTGTTTACATTTCAGTTTCACCCGGGTAAACAAAAAATTAACTTGGCGAATCTGCATAAACTTTAATCACATGAATTTTGCCAGAATGGGATGATTCATTTGTCCTGTTTTCAGTTGATTACTGCCCTCAGAAGAAAACAGACATCTCTCATTGCAGTCCTGGCTTTACTGTTTTGGGGAGCGCTGAGTTTAGTTGCAAACATGTTGTAAGCTACAGGGGAGTAGCAAATGTATTATAGAATAAAACAAGACTCCATCTTTAGCCTGGTTCAGCATTAACAAACATTACACCATTCAGCTGAAAAAATGAGTATAATCTCTGATGAGTATGCCATGTACAACTATACCAGTTTTTACTCGACCAGCCATGAGATCTGGACTGCTGTGGAAGATTCCTCTTGATGGGGCTTTAAGGCTTACAACTCTCCATTTGCATAGGGGGTGCAGTTATGAGTTTCCTTAAAATCCCCCTTAGTCTGAATAAGTATAACACTAAGGAAAACATGGAGCAATCCCTGATACCCTTCCTCCTACAAACCTCCCCTTATCTCTCTCCTACCTGTTCCACAACTCGATGTCAAAAGAACTATTTGGAGAGGCCTCAAAGTGTAGAAATAATAAGCAAGAAGAAAAAAGAAAATTGAACAGGAAAGATTGGAAGAAAAAAACCAAGATCCTCTAAAATAGTTCTTTCTTGTAAAGTGGCGTGTTACAAGGATATCCAAAAACATCTTTTTTTCAAAATTAGCCAAAATATGATTGGAAGATATATGAACAAGAAGAAAATGAAGGATAAGAAATATAGAAATCTCAAAATAAAGGAACAATTGAAAAAAAAACCGTTTTATTCGACCCTGCCCCTCTACCCTCCTCCTGCCTTAAAACCGCCTGATCAACTGTGTGCAAGGTCAGACATTCCTGGTTGCCCAACAAGAAAATTAAAGATTCAGCAATATTGCAAAACAGAATACATTTGCATCTGATATCATATAAATTTTCAAAAATATTGTAAAATTTAATTAAAATAAATTATTAAAGTTAAAAAATTTGTCTCATTTTGTCTTGTATATTCTGTACATGCACTGTAAAACTTGCCTAGTTACTCAAAAGTCGGCGTGATTCTTTATGTGAACAAATTTTGTTTATATTTTTCAACAATACCAATGCGTTTGTTTGAACTAATGTTGGTAGCTTTAAAATCAAGGAAACACCAAAAAATGTCTGTTTCTGGGAGGAATTTGAACTAAGTAGTCCAAGCATGAACTGTGTTGAAGTCAAAAAGCACAGAGATACAGGCAGCTATCAAAATTTTGCATGAGTTTTCAAGACGGGGTCGACTTTACAATATCACAATGCATTGGCTTTTGGTGTTATACCTTACTAACTCAGTCATACCTTTTTCAGGCCCTAGATTTAAATCATCAAAGATTCGTAATCAGCTTTTTCTAGCTTTAGTTTTTAAAAAAGTAATTGGCAAAATTAATTTTTGCTTGAGAACGTGTACATTTGGATCATTGTGAAAGGTAAAGCCAGCTTACTCAGAAACTTTATATTTGGAAACAGAAAGTTATCTTTCATAAATATACCCGACCTTTTGTATATTGGCGTCAAATGAATCGCATAAAATAGGATTAAAGAATTATAAATGAAAATTACTTCAGAAACGGTATTCCCCATGGACCATACCGCCGATTCCGCCGCGATGGTCAGCTGGTTCAATACGGGTTCCACAAGAACGGAATCAAGGTTGGAAAACATCTCAAGGTTGGAACAGGGAACAACTCCTACTACCTGGGTAACCTGGACTCGATGGAACGGTTGGTTGGTCAGGTTGTGTTCCTATATCCAAACCTCCAGAAAACTATTTTAGGTAACAACCAAACATTTCATAACTTTTAAAAAAAAAGTTACAACAATTCTGAGTAAAATAAAAACTAATTTTTAGTATTTTTATTCATATTCATATATATACCTAGACTCAGGGGCATACTCAGGGGGGGGGCTTTGGGGGCTCAGCCCCCCCCCCTAGAAAAATTCCTGAATACGCCCCTGTTTAGACTAATAAGTTCATTTTTAATTTTAAATACAGAATTACATATTGGGAAAAATACGGATTTAGATGAATAAACATATTCTTGAAGAATTGATATTTAGGAGAATATGTTGACGGGAAGATGATATCTGGAGTGTATTCTGATCTACAGGATGCATATTTACATATATTGATGTTTAGGAGAATATATTGACGGGAAGATGATATCTGGAGTGTATTCTGATCTACAGGATGCATATTTACATATATTGATGTTTAGGAGAATATTTTGACGGGAAGATGATATCTGGAGTGTATTCTGATCTGCGGGATGCATATTTACATATATTGATGTTTAGGAGAATATATTGACGGGAAGATGATATCTGGAGTGTATTCTGATCTACAGGATGCATATTTACATATATTAATGTTTAGGAGAATATATTGACGGGAAGATGATATCTGGAGTGTATTCTGATCGACAGGATGCATATTTACATATATTGATGTTTAGGAGAATATGTTGACGGGAAGATGATATCTGGAGTGTATTCTGATCTACAGGATGCATATTTACATACATATTGATGTTTAGGGGAATATGTTGACGGGAAGATGATATCTGGAGTGTATTCTGATCTACGGGATGCATATATGGGTGACGAAGTAAGTCCCTTTAAAATCAAAATAATTAGGAATTTTTTATTTTAACATTTTCGCTAAAATTTCCAACACATAGAATAGAATAGAATAGATTGAAAACTTAATAAAAAATTTTATTTAATGATTATAATTGCATTGGTTTAAAAGATGAACAAAGGGACATTTTTAATTGGCTTTTTAGCATTTAAATTTGAGTTTTCGTCATAATTTGTGATTTGTCTAATCTTATTCTTAAATGGGAATTTATTTTTTATAAACAATCAGAGATTTGAATAATGTAACTTTTCAAACATTTCAATCAGGGGGCGGGCATAACTCTCCTAATTTTGCCTGGCTAGGTTTATACTGTACAGTGAAATTTGTCGAAAAATGTTTCCTTATAGTAGAATTTCTGATCGGGTCATTGTGTACAGTGGCTGTACAACAAGAAGTCTAAAATTCCAGATGCCCCCTCTATTACTAATATCTCGATGATTTCAATATGCTCTGAGTAAATTGTTCAAATATTTTCAAGGATTTTGGTTCTGTTGGATTTTTAACTTTTAAATATTTTCCTAAGGTTGGGTTTCCTACCCTCGTATTCAGCTCAGAGAGAAGAGATAAGCTCAAGTTCGATCCTTCAACTTTTATGAGGATAAGTAGGTCATGAATACACTAATAATAATGAAAATAATTACACTAATAATAGTATGATGAAAATAATAATAATTATAATAATAATAATAATAATAAATAATAATAACAATGATAAAATAATAATAATAACAATAATAATAATAATAACAACAATTTCAATTAGCACAACAATAAATTAAAAATTAATGTTATAATTCATTTAAAAGTAATTGCCCATGGATAACTTAAATATTTTCAGAACCCCCCTGCAGAGAGATGAATATGAGTCGGGTACTGTTTATGTTAAACAATCCAGGTAATGAGAGTTTAACAGATTAAAATGTACAAAAATCTATTTTTCAACTTCTCAGAGGTTCGAACTTTTGGAATAGCCATAAAATACCAAACGTTAAAACATTATCCACAATGGAAATTTTTAACTGGAAGTGATTAGTTGCATTGGTTAAATCCTTGCAAGGATTTAACTTAATCTTCGGATTAGAAAGTAAGATTTAATGAATTCTGATGCAGAGATTAACAATATAATAGTCTTGGACTCAGAACTATTCTCTTTCTTTAGAATACATGATTTGCTGATGTTATTTTATTTTTAAACATATTTTTAATAAATTTAACTAAATCTTATTTTTAGAATTCCTTTTGCCGGAGAGGGTCTCTATGCTTCAAGGAAAACATAATATTATATTATAGATGTAAGAATTTTTTATTATATGCATCATAAAATCTAACAACGAAAAATATTGCTAATTTTTTTATTATGAAACATTTTACGGGGCACGAAAAGCTTAATTAGTTTTAATTATGAATTATTAGTTATTATTCAATTTTGATTTAATTTGTTTAAATATATGTTTGAAAGATATATTGAGGAAGGTCAGCTGGTTTGCTTATTTAATGGAAACAGAATAACAAAGGTGAACATATTTTAGTTTCTAAATATTAACATGGCGGTCTGTGTCTAGTGGGTGTATTTAGTGTCTGGATTAAAATTGTAGTTTGTGTATAAAGTTACCATATAGGAATCAAAACGCTTATCTATTGTATAGTTACCGTATGGGAATCAAAACGCTTGTCTATTGTATAGTTACCATATGGGAATTAAAACGCTTATCTATTGTATAGTTACCATATGGGAATTAAAACGCTTGTCTATTGTATAGTTACCATATGGGAATTAAAACGCTTATCTATTGTATAGTTACCATATGGGAATTAAAACGCTTATCTATTGTATAGTTACCATATGGGAATTAAAATGCCTGTCTACTGTAGAGTTACCATATGGGAATTAAAATGCCTCTCTACTGTATAGTTACCACATGGGAATTAAAATGCCTGTCTACTGTATAGTCACCATATAGGAATTAAAATGCCAGTCTAGTGTCTACTGTATAGTTACCATATGGGAATTAAAATGCCTGTCTACTGTATAATTACCATATAGGAATTAAAATGCCTGTCTACTGTATAGTTACCATATAGGAATTAAAATGCCTGTCTACTGTATGTTACCATATGGAAATAAAACAAAGCCTGTCTAGTGTCTTGTGTACAAATGTACCAAGTGGGAATTAAAATGACAGTTTAATATCTATAGATATAAAGTTGTAATCTGTTTGTTTGTCCGATCATAACTCAGGAACCCACGGACCGATTTGCCTAAAATTTTGCTTGGGGAACTCGGGAGACCCACGGAAATGTTCTTAGCTTGGTTTTGAGATTTTAAGCTGAGTAGGTCGACTTTAATAGCGAACTTTATAAAGTCCCATGTGCAAATGTATTTTGCTTTGTCTACGTACAGGAATTAAGTTTTTGACACAAACTAAAATTTCCTTTTGGTGTAAACCTTGGATATTTCAAACTTAGATTATTTGATCTAAAACAGAATTTATAGTTTGAAATGTTTGAAGGTCTCCGACATTGGGTTTCAAAGGTATAGGGATTAGAAAATCAGAGTTGTTGGCAATAACTCAATTCCTTTATTCTCGAACTGTAGATAGATATTTTATCTAACCAATCAAAAGCGAATACTAACATTATACAGCCAATGAAGAGAAATCACTGTTAATTAGCCAATTCTCAAAGATTGATGCGTATTAAATTTTCAAGTCATATCAAAGTATTCAATTGTTCTAACCGTTTTTGGTTTAGTTGCCATGGGTTAATCACAATAATAGGATTCATTTTAACAGTGCATTTTATAATTAAAGTGGCTGTTTATTGTTGAATCACGACGTGGGAATTTATCTTCATGTTTTATTTTTTAAACTTATTTTTTAGACTAGTAACAGAAAGTGTGTAAAGTGGGGGGATGAGGACTGGTCTGACTTCAGATTAACCCTAGATAAAAGCACAGATCTAGATATACCTGGAGAGTATCAAGAAACTCGAACCTACTCCGCAACCCTCGGACATAAGGTACCTCATACTAAATGAATATGTAGAATGAAAATTATGTTTGTCTGTTTCTCAGAATAAAGATAGAATCTAAATTGGCAGTGCAATTATATTGATTTTTATTGTCATTATTATTACAATCAATTAATTTGATTTTTAAGATCTTTTAGGGTTTTCTCCATGTTCTATCAGATTTTGTTGGTTAATTCTGAGTTTTACCATCTTGTGTGGTTTATTAATTTACACCCATCTTTTCTGCGGTCTGCTCCAGATTAATTGTTTTCGTCACGAGACATTTAAAGAGACAAAAACATTGAAATATGATTTATACTTCAATATTTCAAAGGACACCATTGTAAATCGAGCATTGCCATCTTTGCATAGAGGGCACTTGAAATTACACTTACAGTCCCATTAAGTATCTTACTGTTCAGGCATGTCACAGTTTTGGTAGAGAAAAGAACGCCATGTTTCATGAGTTTGAACATCCCAGATTTGGTTCAATTATGTCAGTTGTTGCTGTGAAACCTATTTATAAAGGTAACCTTTAGCAAAGGTCTTTTAAAGTAGTATATTAATTTATCAAAAATGTCCATGTAAAAATATTCAGTTCTTTTTTCAGATGAAGAAATTCTAGTTTCCTATAACTACAATATCTGCCATGCTCCACCCTGGTATCAGGAACAATGGGTTCAACATCTAGTCAACCGGTAGCCATTTTGTTTTAAAATCTTACTTGGAGACATTTTGTTTAAAAATTCAACTGGTATAGCCATGTTAAAAAAAATAATTAGGTAGCCATTTTGTTACATAAAATCTAAATTGTAGCCATGTTTTGTTTTATATTTAACTTTAATATCTACCGGTATCTATTTTGGTTTAACCGTCCATGTACGAAGCAGCCATTTTCTTCTAATTTGTTCAATCGTTAGCCATTAGTTTTCCTTCGACCATTAGACATTTGTTTTTCATTTCACACCAGTAGAAATTGTGTTTTAACATTCAACCAATAGCCATTTTTTTATACTTAACCGGTAGCGATTTTTTAAAAAATATTTAACCGTTAGCATATTTTTGAAAGTCCAGCCAATAGCTAACTGTTAGCTATTTTTAATTCTCAACTGGTAGCAATTTGACGTTATAATAAAAATCTAATAACCATGTACATTTTTTGAGGAAGCCCATGGGTACCCTTTGGGTTAATATAGGCCAAAAAAATTAAATTTTTTTCTTCTTCAAAATTTGAAATTTGTTTCCAAAGTGGTTTTAAACTCTACGGGCAACGCCGCTCACTTTAGCTAGTAATCTTATTAAGCAGTCAAACTTTTTTGAAAAATTATAGTATTATAAAGTGTCTGTACAAAAGTGCCCAGCGTTGCCCGTAGAATTTTAAAAGAAATCTATTAAAAAAAAATGTTGAAAAATTTTTTTTTGAAAAAATAAAATTATGTAACTTTGCCCTTAATTCTTTGTTATTCCCGGGATACCCCTGGGTTCCCTCAAAAAATGTCAGCCCATTCGGTCCAGCCGTTTGGCCGGCTATAGGGAACATATATATGAATGTCTTGTTTTATTATATAAATATATTTAGTGGTTTAACTCGAGAGCGAATCCTGGCAGCCAGAGAGAAAGAAGAACAGAAGAATAGTTTAATAATTCCTGATCATGTATTCAAAAATATTCCTTATTAAATCATATCAAATATATTTTAACTTCTTTCATCAACAAAAAAGCCGCATCATCGTGTTAAAAGTGGAAGACAACATTTGAAAAAAATACCATGCAAATGAACAAAGAGAAGAAAAAATACATCAATTTAGAGCTGAAACATTAGTTTTTTGGAGATTATTTTAGAAAAATAATTTATACCCTTTTTGTTTAATCGGCTATAGAACAGTAAACCTCCTATACAGAGGCGCAACTAGGACATTTGCTAGGGGGGGGCAATATATTATTTTGTTTGGGTTTTGGGGGGGGGTTAGGGGGGGGTTTCCCCCCTTTTTCGAAAATTTTTCAAAAACCAAAGTGCTTTTTTAAGGGTTTGAAGTCGAAATAAAGGATATTTTAAGTTGTTGCATGCAGATTTGACTGTGTTCAATTCAAATCGATTTTTTGTTCTTGTGTTTTTACAAAATTTATACTTCCAACAGCTGTAAAATGAATGATATGAGTCAATTCATTGAATATGTGTGCGAATCGCAAAAGAGTATTTTTTAAGTACCTGGTTTAATTACAGATTAAATTGCAAGAAATAATCATTTATAGTTTCTGGAAAAAAAGCATAAAAATACATAGGTAAATAATAATTTCAATCATCTACATTGAAAAAAGGACAGATAATGTTACCTTTTCTCTTGAAGTTATTGAATTAATGATTGATCTAACCAACATTAATAATCTAAATTAATTTTCGATTTTACAGAACTGCTGTCAAAGAAGATAAATCTTGTTAGTTATCAAATATGATAATCAGTTAGAAATTTGCCAGGTTCAGAATTTTCTCTAGATTTAGAACTGAGTTTTTGCCACAAACTCAAATATTCTAATCCCTAAATCTTTGTAAACATTTGATATTTCAAACTTGGAATATTTTACTATAAAAATTCAAAATTTTATATCTACGAGTACTCTATAAACTCAACACAAATAAAATACAGTTCAGAACTTTTCTTTACATTAAATGTTTACAATAGCCTTTAGCCTCTCAGGTGCTAGGGGAGGGCGCGCGCCCGGCCGTCCCCCCCCCTAGTTGCGCCTCTGCTCCTATAAACTGATTGAGAAGATAAATCAATTATATACAAGGACGAATTGAGAAGAAAAAACAAATCTTTTCTTGGACGGATTGAAAAGAGAAAACAAATCTATATTAGGATGGATTGAGAAGAAAAAAACAAATCTTTTCTTGGACGGATTGAAAAGAGAAAACAAATCTATATTAGGATGGATTGAGAAGTTAAAAAAATATACTTGGACGAAAAGAAAAAGAAATCTATTAAGACGCGACGGTTTGAAGAGAAAACAAATTCAAGGATGAATTGAGAAGAGAAAACAAATCTATACTCGGACGAATTGAGAGGTTAAAACAACTCTATACTAGGACGGATTGAGAAGAGAAATTAAATCTAAACTAGGACGGATTGAGAGAATTGAGAAGAGAAATCAAATCAATACTGGGATGGATTGAGAAGAAAATATTTATCTATATAAAAGGATGGATTGAGAAAGAAAAAAAAACTCTAAATGGAGTTCAAAGGTTTCATAAAACATTTCGTTGATTTGCAGCAATTACTCGATATTTCTTTTCAGGGTCGTGATACAGGAATTTGTCATCCGGGGGCTGAAATGTTCTCGATTCTTCCAGGATGGGCACAGTGGGGTATCAGGGAGGGGGGGGGGGTTCAGCATTATTGAGGTTACATCATAAACCTCTTAATTATTATTATAAATGGAAGAACATTCCCAGAAGACTTTTTGGGGAGGATCGGAAGCCCATGGGGGTGACTGAGTCCTTATAGCCCCCACCTATATACGCTTCTTTTAATCATAACATCAATTAAGTTCAATTATTTTTAAAGGCCGCAACTAGCACTTTTGATAGGGGGGGGGGGGGGCAAAATATTATTTTTTAATGGTTCTATGTCGAAAAAAAAGGAAATTTTCAGTTGTTGCATGCAGATTTGGCTGTGTTCAATTTCAACAATTGTAAAATTAACGATATCATATGAGTCAATCAATTCAAAAAAAATTTGTTAGTACCTTGTTTCATTACAACAAGAAATAATCATTTTTATATTCTGAAAAAAACACATTAAAATACATATAAAATGTTAATCATCTACATTGAAAAAGGACAGATAATGCCACAAACTCAAATATTCTAATCCCTAAATCTTTGCACCGAGTCGAGTGGTGTAAAGCTTTGATATTTCAAACTTAGAATATTTTACCAACATAATTCAAAGTTTGAATATAGTTCGGAACTTTTTTTTACATTAAATGTTTACAATAGCCTTGCCTTGATCGAATTCAGAAAGATAAACAAATTTTTTTTAAACTAACATAAGAATACAATTCCTACAATTTCTTTTGGTTTTATTATTCCTGACTCCAGTGATAATGATATTCGCCAATCTCTCTTTTCATTTTGCAGGGGGGCGCCCCCCCTCTCAGGTGCTAGGAGAGGGCTCGCGCCCGCCCCCCCCCCCCAGTTGCGCCTCTGTATTTTCGATTACCTTTAGATCGGTTATTCATCAGTAATCCACTAAAAGACGACATTTTCTCAAGTTAAGTCTGTAACGGGGAGATGCGCAAAACACCTTCCCAAAAACCGGTTTCTAGTTTCACAATGGCGGGATTATAGATAGCAGTGAGTGGGCGCGGAAACACGTTGTGTCGAATTATTTGAAAATTCTTGTTAAACCGTTTATTTACGATAAGTTTTGTAAAGTTCTTTTCAGATAAAAACGTTTGAGTCTAGCGCTAGCCATATTAATGTTAAAAACTAGGCCGTTTCATTATAAATCTCTGCAAAATTTAATTTTTAGTCAATAATTTTATTTATTATTCCAGAGAAGTTAAAATACAAGATGAACACCGAAGCGGTGGCTCAGCTTGTTCAGGTAAATTATAGCTTACGTTCACGGCCTTTTAATATAATTGAAATCCAAATAGTGATTTGGGGTCCGTAATAGAGAACGATTTTTGGACCCTCCCCCCCTTCCTATCAATTTTTTACATTTACTTTTTATTATTGAGGGTTAGGTGAGGTTAAATCAATTTCTGGGCTGAGCGCTGCGGCGGGTATGGGCTATCCATGAAAAAATTTATATGAGGGGGGGGGGCTCAAAAATGTTCTCCAGGAAATTACCTTTTTTAGTTCAAAAGATTGAATAGTCTTCTTGCCCTTGAACCATTGATTATATCACCCTTTGCTCGTCTTCGCTCCATATTTGATTAACTTTGGTAGTTGTGGTTTCTGATTTTTAGTTCGAGAAATTTAGTTGTCGGATGTTTACACCCTTCAATCCGAATAACAAGACGTATTGAAGCTTTTGTCTTCTTTTCGAGTGATCTCTCACGATTTGGGGGGGGGGGGGTCTTAAAATTATGTGTTTAACAGCACTTGTTTATTCGATAAACGTTACTATTTATTATTTAAACTCAAGTCGATTACAAGATCGAAGGTGCTGCGTATTTTTTAAGTTCCAAATTGTTAACTAACATTTTGCTTGTTTTATTAGGGGGAGGGGGGTCATTGTATGTGCTGAACAGTACATACAACATATATCAGCTTAATATATATTTTATCCTAATTATTCACGAGTCGAATAGTTCGAAAGTGGTGTGTAGTTTATTTTTTACTGAAAACTAAATTATAAGAATCTGTATTGTTTTTAGGTGCTGGAGAAGACCATCTCCCCCGACCAGGCGGAGCTCAAGGCCGCGCAACACTTCCTAGAATCTGCTGCTCAAACTAACCTACCGGAGCTCATTAAAACATTATCAGATGTGCTCTACCAGGTCAACAGAATTTAGATATAAGGGGCAAATGCTCATTGTTATCGGTGATTTTCAAATTGTCTGTAAACGTATTATTGCACAGTTTCACTTTCAAGGGCATGCACTTTCTTATTGGCGGGATCGTTTCTATAGAACCCCCTCCCCCGCTGATTTGATATTGTTTCAAAGTTATATATGTCGAATATGTATAATAATTGATTTTTATGGTTAAATGGTTTTACGTGTCGTGTTTAGGGAGGAAACAGTGCTGTTGTAAGACAGCAGGCTGGAGTCCAGCTGAAGAACTTCCTCTATACTAATGACGAGAGCTTGAGGGCTCACTACGAGGAGAGATGGCTCGCTATGCCGGAAGATATACGCAACTATACGAAGGTGATAAAAATTAACCCGCTGTACATTGTAACATTTTTTTAAAAATTATCAGGAAACTCGGAAGGTTGTACAAAACTTAATGGGTTGGCCATCTGTTTAAAATACTTTCCAATAAAAATGATTCCCAATTTTGGGATCCGGAAAATAACTAAGGCTTTCACTGCTCAAAGATGTTACTATAGTCCAGAATGATCCAAACTCTACCTTAAAACTTACATCATATTTTTTTAATGGAGCATCAAATGACTCGTATTCGTTGATTGATTTATTTTTTTAAATTAATTATCTAATGTATTTTTTCAATCTTTTATTAAGGCGAACGTTGTGAACACGCTTGGGACAGAAAGTTTTCGTCCGAGCGCTGCAGCTCAGTGTATCCAGCTGATTGCTATGGTAGAGCTGCCCAGAGGATTGTGGCCGGGTTTGATCAGTATCCTAGTACACAACGTGACAGATCCAGAGAGTACATCAGTTCTCAAGGAGTGTACTCTCCAGGCTATAGGATATATCTGCCAGGTTAGAAACGAACTGGATGAATAATTGACAATGAGGATGATATGAAAATTTTAGTGCTAGAAAAATTATGTCGATAATGTGAACCTTAAATGCCGAGACATATAAAAACTCAATCTACATTTAAACCGAATTATCGTCCAGTGAAAAGTTCTGAAACTAACTTCATGAATTTAGACCAATTTTTTAACAAAAAATAGTTTTTAAACTTTTTGTTTTATTTTTTTTCGCTTATGCTTTATCCTGAAACTTGATGAACCATTTAGAGATAAGGAAGCTTTATAATCTTCCTTTTTTAAAAAGTTCAGATTTAGGTTTTACAAGTAAAAAAGTTATTTTTGCAGTATGTTTGATATTTTACCCCTTGGATCCGTATCCGTTGATACCCTTTTTTTTCGCTTATTTTTGCGGAACCGGATCCAGGAAGCCAAAATCTTGTGGATCCAACGGATCCGGACCCTAAGCACTGAATTTATCATTTGTATATATTTTAATTCAAGATGCCGTTCATATGAATATTTTTTTAACATTTTATGTTCTCATTTTTGAACCAGATATAGATTTTAATAATTTGATAATGAATATAACTTGGTAATTTGTTTATATTGCAGGATGTCGACTCAAGATGTTTGGAGGAAGGATCCAATGAGATCCTGACCGCTATTGTCCATGGTATGCGCAGAGATGAACCCAGTAACCAGGTTAATTGTTTATTAATATGTTTGTTAATGTAAAATTTCTATTTAAACCTAGAGATCAAATAAAATATTTCCATTATGATCAGTGATCACCTATCCAAACATCTCGACCCCTTCAGAATCAATCACTTATTGATTTTCCAGAAAAAAAACCTTCTAAATTACCATTTTTAAAAAGTATAAAAGAATTAAACTGCGTGTTTGTGATTAAGTGTTTTATATATTTGAATTGATCCTAGGTTAAACTTGCTTCAACCAACGCTCTGCTCAACTCCCTCGAGTTCACCCGGGGCAACTTCGAGAAGGAGACTGAAAGACATTTCATCATGCAGGTCGTCTGTGAAGCCACACAGAACCTTGACGTACAGGTTAGTTGTTCAAAAACAACCATACTATATGTATCTAGATTTCCACTTGTGGTAAACCGGGATCCATTTAGTAAAAATGATAATAATAACTCTAATTTCTTTTTACAGGAAATCTTCCAAATTCGATTTCTTTTATTCTTTTATACGAATTAAGGTTGGTTTTCGGAGAGAAAAAATTATTTTAATCTGTTTACTTCAGGTTAAAGTTTCTGCTCTACAGTGTTTGGTGAAGATTATGTCCCTTTACTATCAGTATATGGAGGCATATATGGGCCAGGTTAGTTCTATTGTCCATAATGCATCTCATGGATATAGATTTTCCTCAATTTTAATTTTTCAAAGTACTTGGGGTAGGGTAATTATCTTCAAAATTAGTTTCTTCCAACTTGAGTATTTTTAACCTTACATTAGTGGGAACTGGGGCCTAAAGTGCATTTTTTAAGAAATAATAAATGATGTACGATGTTTGCCATTTTGTGTTCTGTTTTTATTTTTTAAGCTTTGAAAATCAGTAACCAGATTACATCCCTGCCTCTTCTCTAATATAATTGAAAATCAACTAATAATTTTCTTAATTTGAATCCACAAAATTTGTCGATTGTAATATATATACAGAATCTTTCATGTAGTTCCTAGACAAAGACTTAATTTAATGGATAAACTGACAGTCGACTTTTTGGGAACCCAGATTCGGAAAGTTATAAGACCTGGGATCCGAACTAGGTAGGCTTCAGAAATCACCAGAACTTTAGAAATAATTGTTCAGGCATTATTTGCGATAACCCTGGATGCCATGAGAGCTGAACAGGACGAGGTTGCTCTCCAGGGCATAGAGTTCTGGTCTAATGTTTGTGACGAGGAAGTTGATCTACAGATAGAGGCTAGCGAGGCTACAGAGGCTGGTCGACCTCCAGAACATGTTTCTAGGTTAGAACATAGATTTAGATTCATCTCCGATTCACAACGGTGCCTTTTATAGTTATACCTTTGTCTTATCCAATTGTTAATTAGAACAAGGTTCATTGTAAATCGGACACGCCACTTTTTTATATTTTAGTATATAAAGCTTTATTGTTTATAAGGGAGATTTTTGGCAGGTCTAATAATAATAATAATAATAATATATCTTATTTAGATTCTATGCTAAGGGAGCTCTTCAATTCCTAGTTCCTGCTCTTATGCAATCCCTCTGCAAACAGGTTACTCAAATTTTTATCTCTTGAACTGAACTGAACTGAACTGAACTGAACTGAACTGAACTGAACTGAACTGAACTGAACTGAACTGAACTGAACTGAACTGAACTTTCAGGAAGAGTTTGATGATGAGGATGACTGGAACCCGTACAAAGCTGCAGGAGTGTGTATGATGCTGCTGGCTACCTGCTGTGAGGATGATATAGTTCCTCATGTTCTACCCTTTGTCAAGGATAATATCAAGGACGCAGACTGGAGACACAGGTTTAGCCTTATCCAGTATTTACTTTTTCAGAGACCGCGATATAAATAATCCGGATCCGTTGGATCCGCAAGATTTCGGCTTCCTGGATCCGGATCCGCTAAAATATGCGGATCAGGATCCAAGGGGTAAAATATCAACCAAAAACTACAAAAAAAAACTTTTTACTCCTAAAACCCAAATCTGAACTTTTAAAAAAAGAGATATTATAAAAATTTCCTTATTTCTGAATGGTTCATCAAATTTTAGAATAAAATTATGCGTTTAAAAAACACACAAATTGAAAATTATTTTTTGAAAAAATTCAATAAATCAACGAAGAAATGACCTGGATCCGGATCCATTTTTTCCAGTGCGGATTCATGATTCGGATCCGCATCAAAATTAAATGGATCCTAAGCTCTGTAAATAACAAGGAAATTTAACATCTAGACCAAGATCCCATTGTATCTAAAATAAAGATATGTTGGACTGATTTTTCTTGGGAATTCAGTTTATTTAAGAACCAGGAAATCACGTCAAACCCAACTCAAGACTTAAAATGGAGTTAAAATAATATGTTTAAAATAGCGGGATTAAAAAAATAGTAAAAAAAAGAAAATCATAATTTAAACACTGATGTTCTTAGAAGTTATTAGATGAGATTTGAATCAATTTGTTGGTGTATAATTTCTTTCGATTCCATTCCTTGTCAACTGTTCCTAATCATATTTGAATATTACAGGGATGCTGCTCTTATGGCGTTTGGTTGTATCCTGGAAGGTCCTGATCCAGTCCAGCTCAAACCCCTAGTGGAGCAAGCTATGCCTATGCTCATTGAAACCATGAAGGACTCCTCTGTAGTAGTCAAGGTACTTATATCCTCGGGAAGCAACCTGAGGTCGTAATTAATAAATAGCGAGTAATAGTTTAACTAGGAAATTTAACCTTAAGTAGTTTATCTAGGAAATTTAACCTTAAGTGCGTTAGAAACGTAAATAACAATATTATTATTTAGGATACTGCTGCCTGGACTATTGGTAGAGTATGTGAACTTATTCCTGAGGCGGCTATCAATCCAACCACTCTCCAGCCACTTCTTGAAGCTCTGGTTACTGGCCTCTCTGCTGAGCCTCGTGTTGCCTCTAATGTCTGTTGGGCGTTCTCTTCCCTAGCGGAGGCTGCCTACGACTCTGCGGATAGGATGGAGGATGAGGAGACACCTAGAACCTATTGTCTCTCCCCCTTCTTCTCCCCAATTGTAGAGAAGTTGCTATGGGTGACAGACCGCGAGGATGCTGGATCTTCAAACCTCCGCGCAGCTGCGTATGAGGCTCTCATGGAAACTGTGAAGAACTCCCCGAAGGACTGCTACGACACTGTGCAAAAGACCACTGTGATTATCCTTCAACGTCTTCAGCAAGTTCTACAGATGGAAACCCATATTCAGAACCAGACTGACCGGGCGCAGTTCAACGACCTGCAGTCCCTGCTCTGCGCAACTCTGCAGTCTGTTCTGCGCAAGGTTGAGCCTGCGCACGCGCCCGCAATATCTGATACGATTATGACAGCTCTTCTGCAGATGTTCCAGTCTTCAACCCAAACACGCGCCGGAGGAGTACAGGAAGACGCGCTAATGGCAGTAGCAACTCTTGTTGAGGTTCTTGGAGAGTCTTTTATCAAGTATATGGAGGCGTTCAAACCCTTCCTTCTGATAGGGTTGAAAAATATTGCAGAATATCAGGTCTGTCATGCATCAGTTGGTTTAGTAGGAGATATCTGTAGAGCACTGGGAAACAAGATCACCCTCTTCAGTGACGAGATCATGGAGGTTCTCATGTCAAACCTCAGTGATAACTCAGTTCACAGAACAGTGAAACCGCAGATTCTCTCCGTATTCGGAGATATGGCGCTGGCCGTTGGACCCGAGTACGTCAAGTATCTTGATGTTGTCATGACAACCCTGATGCAGGCTAGTCAGTGTCAGGTGGATAGATCAGATTTCGATATGATTGACTATCTGAACGAGTTGAGAGAAGGATGCCTTGAAGCGTATACAGGAATTATCCAAGGACTGAAGGGAGATGAGAATACACCAACTGATGCTCTAGTCCGAGTACAACCTCATGTAGCGTACATAGTTCAGTTTATTACTGTAGTAGCACAGGATTCAGAGCACAGTGACGCTAGTGTAGCAGCATCAGCAGGTTTAATCGGAGATCTGTGTGCTGCCTTTGGAAAGGATATTGTGAGTATGCTTGATGTTGAACCCATCTCAGAGCTACTCACACAGGGTCGCAGGTCTAAGATGACCAAGACAAAAACCCTGTCGACCTGGGCAACCAAGGAGATCAGAAAACTTAAGAATGCGTCCAGTACTGGACCCTGAGATGTGTGTTGAAATGATATGAACTGTTAGTGACCTACTCCCAACTCTAGTCAAGGGTTGGAGAACTCTCCTGACTGGGAACTCTGCAGCATCGAGGTTGCAGAGTTCTAAACCTGAAGGCTGTGATATTCGTTGACTAGTGATTATGTGACTTGTGATGACGTTTGCGTGTGACAACATTTCATTCTAACCTTGTTGTCATTGTGTGTTCTATCCGCGATATTATTCTGATCCAACCCTGCTCCGTACTGGGCGTAATACAGGCAGCAGGAGCATACCAATCCTGTTATGTTAAACCTGGTGTATACAACTAGATAATTGATACGTTTGGAGCAATGGATTGGAGGAAACTGAGTTTGTGTACAAATTGTTGTTGACCAAGGATGCTATTTGAACCCTGAAACTTGAGGCTGTGCTAGTGTTTGACCGGTGTGATAAATGGGTGTCTTGAGACCCCGTCTAGGTCCAGTGTGGGTATCCATGGTAGAGTGTTGTGACCCTGGAGCCCGGTCTTGTATTCGTTATATTCATTCTGTTGAGAGAACCTGATGTGTGAACACTGATTTATTCATTTATATCTTCTTGTTTCTCTATTGTTTCCATTTCTCTAGAAGTATTCTTCACTACTGTACTCCTTATACTTCACATAGACACCAGAATGGCATAGTACGTGAACCTTTATTTAAAGGTTCGGGAAATCTAATGTTCGTTTATAATGAACCTCCGTTCAACCTTTGCATTACAATTCTAAGCGTTAATTATATCCTAGATTGTGTCTGTTAGGAATATTTGTTTTAAAGAATACTTCTGAATAATTTAGTGAAGATTACAAACTAAGAGTTTGTACAATCTTTAGTTTGTGATAATCACGAAATTAATTTTAAACATTTGAATCTATTGAAGTAGATATTATGTAAACGCATGTATGAGAATAAATTGTATTTTATTTCTTAACTCAAATCCGTGATCTTAAAGAATTATTTTGTTCGGTATGTAAGGACAATTCTTTAAAAAGAAGTTTGTCATGTTTATGTGTAGTTAATGATTTCAAGGGGTTTACTTCAAATGTAAAAAATTTAAAAAAATTAAACCAATTCTAAAAAATCAAGAAAACCTGAGAGGTCGTACAACTTTTAATTCTAAGATCTTCTTGGTAGGGAAGTAAGGAATCTGTCGGTGAGGGTGGGGAAAGGAAAGCCAGGAAACTTATGGGGGAAATAAGGGTAATGTTACTTCTGTTCTACGGCATTTCTGTCCTACAGTACTTCCGTCCGACAATACTTCCGACCTACGACAGCTGTATGTCGAATGTACATTATGTCTGTCGGACTCGTCGGACCCACGCTGGAAATGCAGATTTAGCTAGTAAGTAGTTGACAGTGCTACTATAAGAATTGATGTTCCCACGGTTATAATGCAGATGTTCCGGTTGCACATGTAGGTCGGATGCACAACTTTCGTAGGTCAGATGTACAGATTCTGTAGGTCAGATGTACAAGGTTAGTGTAAGACAAGTTCTGGGACGAGCACTGAGGTCACATTTTTCATAGTGGTTAAGTGATAAATAATATATGGGGATATCTGAATGGTTAAGACAATTTATAGAACGAGCGCTGCGGCCACATTTATCAAAGTGACTGGGGTTAGGTTAAGAAAAATTTTGGGATGAGCGCTCCGGCCACATATATCAAAATGCCAAAGTTATAGCTGATATGTGGATTAATGTAAGGTTAAGACTTCAACTGTGCGTCAGACCTACAGAATTGAGCGCAACCGACTAAAGAAAGCTGTGCTACCGACCTACAGTTAGGTCGGATACACCAACTTTTTTGTTGCATCCGACCTACCAAAGTTGTGCAACCGACCTACAGAAGAGTTAAACTAACTTAAGCAAGCTGTGCAACCGACCCACAGTAGGTCGGATGCACTAACTTTTTTTAAAAGTGCATATCCGACCTACAGCACATCGGACCAACAGCAGCTGCTGAAAACAAGGTGCGGGTAGTTCCGAAGTATTGTAGGACGGATTTAATAAAATCGACATAAGGACAGGAAGTGTTGGGGAAATGAGACAGGAAACATTGAGGTTACAGGAAATAAGAGAATGGAAAATTTGGGGGGAGAGGAAATAAGGGACAAGAAACCGTGAGGGTTGGGAAAGGGTGAGATAGGAAACCTTGAGGGTTGGAAACTAGGTGATAGGGAACCTGGAGGGATGGAAACCTGGCAGGGAATTAGGAGATATGAATCTTTGAAGGTGGAGAAATTATAGAAAGGAAATTGGGGAGAAATAAGAGATAGCAAAACCTTGAGGGTTGGGGGAGTTGGGGAGAGAGGAAACCTATGACAGGGAACATGGAGGGATGGATACTAGGTGTCAGGGAACCTGAAGGTATGTAACCTTGGTGACAGGGAACCTGTAGGTATTGTAACCTTGGTGACAGGGAACCTGGACGGATGAATACTAGGTGACAGGGAACCTGAAGGTATGTAACCTTGGTGACAGGGAACCTAGAAGTATGTAACCTTGGTGACTGGGAATCTGGAGGGATGGAAATTATGAGACAGGGAACCTGGAGGGTTGTAAACTTGGTGACAGGGAACCTGGAGGTATGTAACCTTGGTGACTGGGAATCTGGAGGGATGGAAATTATGGGACAGGGAACCTGGAGGGTTGTAAACTTGGAGAAATGGGAATCTTGAGGGATGGGAATTCGGTGAAATGGGAACGTGGAGAAATGGTAACTAGGTGACAGGGAACCTGGAGGGATGGGAACTAGAAAAGACAGGGCGTCTGAAGGGATGGAAAGAGAAGAGACAGGGAGCCTGGAGGAATGGAAACAGAAGAGACAGGGAGGGATAGAAACAGAACGGACCGGCCTGAAGGGATGGAAACAGAATAGACAGGAAGCCTAGAGGAATGGAAACAGAAGAGACCCGCCTGGAGGAATGGAAATAGAAGAGAAAGGGAGCCTGGAGGGATGGAAACAGAATAGACAGGGAGCCTGGAGGGATGGAAACAGAATAGACAGGAAGCCCAGAGGAATGGAAACATAATAGACACGGAGCCTGGAGGAATGGAAACAGAAACAAAGGGAGCCTGGAGGGATGGAAACAGAAGAGACAGGCAGCCTGGAGGGATGGAAACAGAAGAGACAGGGAGCCTGGAGGAATGGAAACAGAAGAGACAGGGAGCCTGGAGGGATGGAAAAAGAAGAGACAGGAAGCCTGGAGGGATGGAAACAGAAGAGACAGTGAGTCTTGAGGAATGGAAACAGAAGAGAAAGGGAGCCTGGAGGAATGTAAACAGAAGAGACCCGCCTGGAGGAATGGAAACAGAATAGACAGGAAGCCTAGAGGGATGGAAACAGAAGAGACAGGGAGGCTGCAGGGTTTGAAACTAAGGGAGACATGATGAGGAAAAAACAACGATATTTTTATTTTTTACTTTGCTCCCCATTTATAGGAACAAATTTAGTTTTAAAATGTTTGCTTTCCAAGTATTTATTTTTAGAAACCATTTTGATAAAATATTTATAATTGGATGCATTGCTTGGCAACAGAAGTCTACAACCAAGAGTATTTGACTGCAGTTCTTAAATCGCAGAATGCGCAGATAGGACAAAAGAGATATAGCAGTCAGAGACCTATACACTGATACAATTTTGAAGGGAGAGGGGAGGTAAAACTTGTTTATAATTTGGTTAATATAGTTAGCTATTCAACTTTAAAAGGGGTAAATTATCTACTCTTGTTGGGAATCCGGGCGTTGCCCTCCTTGTATTCCCCTCTAAAAAGTGCATTTACCCTTGCTCACTAACCCATAACAAAAGAAGGCCCTTGACTTAAACTGTTATAATATGCAGGGTGTGGGGGGTTACGTCCGAAGAAAACGGTTTCTAAAAAAGAGATTATCATATACCTAACGTTAGAGATCTGATGTTATGAACTAAATTGTTCTATCTTTATTATCTCTGAAAAGAGAAAACGTTAAATTTCTGTGCGATAATTTAAAACGCTTACATAAGCGAACCAAACGATGTCTAAAGCCGGGAGTATGAAAAAATTGACTTGAACGGTATGAAAAACGTACCAAACCCTCGTGCCCGCTCAACTTTTCTTTAGTTAAGCACATTTTTTTCTACAAAATCCATTTTGCACCCCCCTTGAAAGCAACCCCTGCTTCAACGCAATTTATTTAAAGGAAATTCACCCTCAAATCCCCCTAACAGCAGAATACCAGTGGATGAACATTTTCCACTTTTTAATTTTAATTTAATTGGGTTTTAGTAATATTTTTGAAAAACTTGATATTTCAAAAAAAAGTATTTAAAAAAAGGTGAAGAATGTATTAGCGCGATGGTTTAAGTGCAATCTTGTCAGTTGGAGGTCAGTGAACTAGAGTAATACTTCCTTATACAACCTTTACTTGGCTTGAACACACCAATTTAATTCCAAAACTAATTTTAAAAAAGAAATCGTCGGGTCTACTTAATAACGTAATCTAAGAAAAAGATGAAAGCATTCAATAATCAAGAAAGATATAAATATGGAATCCTCTAATAATCAAGGAATCTTTAAAAGAAGGAAACATCTAATTATCAAGGAAGATATAGATATGGAATCCTCTATTAATTAAGGAAGATATAAAGATGAAAACATATATTAATCAAGGAAGATATAAAGATGAAACCATCTATTAATCAAGGAAGATATAAAGATGAAACCATCTATTAATTAAGGAAGATATAAAGATGAAAACATCTATTAATCAAGGAAGATATAAAGATGAAAACATCTATTAATCAAGGAGGATATAAAGATGAAAACATCTATTAATCAAGAAAGATATAAAGATGAAAACATCTAATAATCAAGGAAGATATAAAGATGAAAACATCTATTAATCAAGGTGGATATAAATATGAAATCATCTAATAATCAAGGAAGATATAAATATGGAATCCTCTAATAATCAAGGAGGATATAAAGATGAAAACATCTATTAATCAAGTAAGATATAAATATGGAATACTCTAATAATCAAGGAGGATATAAAGATGAAAACATCTAATAATCAAGGAATAATAAAATAAGGCATTCAGACAGTATGCCTGAGGCCTCAGGCAGTAAGTATAAAAGCCCCGCTTTGAGCCTAAAGTGAGGGGCATGTGGTAGTAGAACAGTAAAAAAAAATTCGAACATCCTGAACCAATGCTTTTTGAGTTATGGTTAAGGTTTAAAGATGAAAATATCTAAAAATCAAGGAAGATATAAAGATGAAAAATTCGAAAACTAACGAATATATAAAAAGAACCCTTCTTTTAACCCAGAGGAAGATATAAAAATTATTCTTTAGAACAAGAAAATTTGAAGTTTTTTTACTTCTTGAAATTGTGATATTTTCATCAAATTAGTCAACTCTTAACCCTATAAAGGCTGGGGGTCTGAATCTATGTAGAGCCTGGGGGGCATGCCCCCCCCCCCCCTAGAAAAAGGCCTGAGAGTATAGGTATAGGATTGAAATGCATGTTCATAGTCCAATTTTTCAAGGCAAGATTATTGAAAAAAAAATTACTGCTAACTTTAATAGTTTGGGTGCTAAGGGAGGGTTTTAAAAAGGCCAAAAAACGGGTAAAAAATTGTAGAACTTTTTTGTTTTATGTTTTGAACAAATATCAAAATGTGACACATTTATCTACATCCATTTTTCACGGGCTTTTCAAAAATATAGTTTTAGATCTGTAGCTTTAGTCTCAAAAAAGTTATTGGCTATTTTAGATTTTTAAAACTTTTTACCGCCCTTCTACACATCAGACAAATAAGAGAAGCTAGAAAGTATATACAGGCTCTACGAACTGGATAAATTAGTTAAACATTAAGTCAAGTTGGACAAGTTTGCAATATTGTAGATTTCTAACCTGTTTCATGCAGAAAATAATGAACCAGCAAAAAAATAAATTACTGTGCTCTGTGCAGGGGGTAAAAATAGTTTACGTTCAGGGTTAGATATTTCTCCGATTAAAGACTATACAAACAAAAATGGACATCGCGTTCTGTTAAAACAGTAAGGTCAAATCAATCTTTGTTTTAAAGAAATTTTTAACAAAATATTAAGAAACCTTTAATTAATTGTTCTTACTTCCTCCCTTTGTATGGATTGTTTTTACTTCCTCCCTATGTATGAATTGTTTTAACTTCCTCCCTTTGTATGGATTGTTTTTACTTCCTCCCTTTGTATGGATTGTTTTTACTTCCTCCCTATGTATGGATTGTTTTTACTTCCTCCCTGTGTATGGATTGTTTTTACTTCCTCCCTATGTATGGATTGTTATTACTTCCTCCCTATGTATGGATTGTTTTTACTTCCTCCCTGTGTATGGATTGTTTTTACTTCCTCCCTATGTATGGATTGTTTTTACTTCCTCCCTGTGTATGGATTGTTTTTACTTCCTCCCTATGTATGGATTGGTCTTACTTCCTCCCTATGTATGGATTGTTTTTACTTCCTCACTATGTATGGATGGTTTTTACTTCCTCCCTATGTATGAATTGATTGTTTATACTTCCTTCCTATGTATTAATTGTTCTTACTTCCTCCCTATGTATGAATTGTTCTTACTTCCTCCCTTTGTATGGATTGTTTTTACTTCCTCCCTATGTATGGATTGTTATTACTTCCTCCATATGTATGGATTGTTTTTACTTCCTCCCTATGTATGGATTGTTTATACTTCCTCCCTATGTATGTATTGTTTATACTTCCTCCCTATGTATGGATTGTTTATACTTCCTCCCTATGTATGGATTGTTTTTACTTCCTCCCTATGTATGGATTGTTATTACTTCCTCCCTATGTATGGATTGTTTATACTTCCTCCCTTTGTATGGATTGTTCATACTTCCTCCCTATGTATGGATTGTTTTTACTTCCTCCCTATGTATGGATTGTTCTTATACTTCCTCCCTATGTATGGATTGTTCTTATACTTCCTACTTAAAAACTAATCTTATTAACTTGTTATAAATTATTTTCACTTCCTACGTCCCACGCATAGCTTTTTCAAAATTCCAAATAAATATAGATTATTCTTAATTTCGACTTACAGTTTGTTCTTTTATCTTACTTGTAAACTATTGTTTAAGACTATCCATGGTCCCTAATTGCCGATTAATCCTACAAATTTCTACGTCTGTTAATTCTTTGCTTCTAAGGGCAAAATTTCTCCGAGCCTAAAATCTAATTTCTGACCGGGGACTGGAGTCAAACCCAACTCTCGTACTTGAACCTGTCTGTATTCTCTGTATAAAGTGCAGACCATTAAAATACAGTTTTAGCCCGGAGCAGTTCTCCTACCTTTCAATCCCTCTTCCTCCTTTCTACACCAAGCTTCCCCGTAAGTACCAAGGGGGTGGGATGACGGGGGGGGGGGAGGGTGTTAGGGGTATAAAAGGTATCTTGGGTAAAGAGAAATCTGTAGTCTGCAGTAGATTTTCCATCAGTTCAAACATACAGGTAGGTCTTGAAGAAATATAAGAAAAAGTTCTGAGATAAAGTCCCGTATCATAAGAAAAAGTCCTAGACTATATTATGAGATAAAGTTCTGTATTATAAGAAATAGTCCTAGACTATATTATGAAATAAAGTCCTGTATTATAAGAAGTAGTCCTAGAATATAAGATAAGATATAAGATTAAGTCCTGTCCTGTATCAGAAGATAAAGTTTCTATAATAAGATTAAGTCTTCTATTTTAAGATTATAGTCTTGTATATTTAAAATAAGTCTTGTATTATGAGATGAAATCTTATATTATGAGATGAAGTCTTATGTTATGAGATGAAATCTTATATTATGAGATGAAATCTTATGTTATGAGATGAAATCTTATATTATGAGATGAAGTCTTATATTATGAGATGAAATCTTATATTATGAGATGAAATCTTATATTATGAGATGATAATATATATATATATATATGAAATCTTATATTATGAGATGAAATCTTATATTATGAGCATGAGGTCTTATGTTATGAGAAAAAAATCCTTTTTTTTTAAATATCGTGTACTGCTTCATATTCAACGTTGTATAGAATATATTACTCAACAGATAAAGTCCTGGTTAAGAGAAACAATTCTCCTTTTACAGAAAAATTCTTGGCCCTGCTCTTGTATAATTTGGTCTTTTACTCTCAAAAACTTTTTTTATTTATAATTCTTTTCTCAATCTTTACGGAACGAAATCAACTTTAAAGCTTTGACCAAAAGTATATTTTTTTAATAAAGCGTTCAATTAAAAATTCAATAAAACGGCTTGAATAAAAGTCAATACCGCGACTTTATTTCAAACTTTTCAAATTTTTATTTTTGTTTTTATTTTTATTTTTATTTTTATTTGTATTTGTATATTTATTTATATTTGTATGAGATGAAATCTTATATTATGAGATGAAATCTTATATTATGAGATGAAATCTTATATTATGAGATGAAATCTTATATTATGAGCATGAGGTCTTATATTATGAGATGAAATCTTATATTATGAGATGAAATCTTATATTATGAGCATGAGGTCTTATGTTATGAGATGAAATCTTATATTATGAGATGAAATCTTATATTATGAGTATGAGGTCTTATGTTATGAGATGATAGGTATAGGATTGAAATGCATGTTCATAGTCCATTTAATTTTTTAAAAAAATTAAAATTCTTGAAACTCCGCGAATGTTTTTTTTAAATCCGCAAATTCTTTTCTTCTTAGTTTTGAAATGTAAACAAAAAACATGTTCACAATTTAAATAGAAGATGGGCGCGAAGCGCCCTAAAAGACTAGAAAGAAGGGCGCGAAGCGCCTTGAATTTCTAGTCTATAAATAAATTTGGCTTGTCTGTCTGTCTGTTTGTTTGTTAGTACCCAATAAATGTCAAAACGGCTGAACCGATCGGGTCCAAATTTTTTGTGGGACATCATAAAAAAAATTCATGGAGTTCATAGAGTTCATAGAGTTCATAGAGTTAATGGAGTTTATGTAGATTATAGAATTCATGGAGTTCATGGAGTTCATGAAGTTCATAGAGTTCAAAGAGTTCAAAGAGTTCATGGAGTTCATGGAGTTCATAGAGTTTATGGAGTTCATAGAGTTCATGGAATAGAGTAGAGTTCATGGAGTTCATGGAATTCATATAGTTCATGGATGAAGTTCATGCAGTTCGTGCAATTCATGAAGTTCATGAAGTTCATAGAGTTCATAGAGTTCATAGAGTCATAGAGTTCATAGAGTTCATAAGTTCATAAAGTTCATAAGTTCATAAAGTTCATAAATTCATAAGTTCATGGAGTTTATGGATTTGATGTAGTGTACAAATATGTTCTATTAAATTATATTAATAAATTACATAATTTCTGTGTGCAGGTCAACCTACAGATTCATCAACACCCTCCTCACTAGCGCCGACAACATGGAGAAGGCCCAGGCCAACTTTGTGCTCCAGAGGCTGATGAGCTACTCCAACCAGGAGCCAAGCAACAACCAGTACAATCAGCACAGTTATGCCAACTTCAACAACGACAACTACAACAACAACAACTTCTTGCAGAAGATGATCAACACATTCTCTCAGCAGAACCCCGTCCCCTACAGCCTGGGAAACAACAACAAGATCTTCAAGTTCAGTGACTCCGAGGATGAGAACCTGGAGAAGAAGATCAGGGAGAGCATGATGGCCTTCAAGATGATGCAGTTGAACCAAGGATCCAGCAGATCCATCATCAACCCCTTCTCTGTTGAGAACGGATACAGGGAGAAGATTCAAGCTCTTCTTTCTCGTAACGTAAGTATAATTTCATAATTTAAGAATCGAATATTATTGATTTCTTATGACTTTATGGTATTTTTATGGCAATTTTGATTTTAGAGACGTCAAGCTGAGGCCGCCACTCTTCCCGACACTCTCGATATCGGAGACCGTCTGGCTGAGAAGATGAAACAGCAACAAGACAAGTTGACCTCCGAGGTCGGAAACATGACCTGTATTCTCCGTGAGGTTGGTATGCTGAATGAGGACAACGAGCTGGACTTCAACACCCAGAAGAAGACAATGGAGAAGCTGAACTTCGAGGACGACTGGTTCAAGAACAGGATCTTTAACGATATCGAAACCTGCAACAAGGTTGCCGATGCTCTCCCTACCGAGGTCCAGAACGAGTTTGTTTTCCCCGGCCTCGCGAACGTCCCTAAGGTCCAGGCCTTCATGAGGTGCACTAAGTACGCTAAGGCTAAGTCCTGCATGTACAAGGATATTAAGGCTAGGGTTGAGACCAACTTCGGTCCCCTGGACAAGATCCTGGAGCAGACCAAGCTTACTGAAGATGAACTCTTCCCCCTGGTGATCAGTCTCTACCACGAAGATGATGATGATTTCGCTGGATTCTAAACTTATCTGGGTTCGGAGACTTCGTCTTATGCCATCAAAATTATTTTTTTTTTCAAAAGTTGAACGAATTGAAGGCTTCAACCAAATAACTTGAACTTCGAGTATTGACCTCTTTTATTACCGCTGTCTTCCAATTATAGCATGTGATTCAATATTATTAAAAATCTAATGAAAAACAAAATAAAAATAAATATGAAAACATTTATAAAGTTTGTATTTGTAAGTTTGTACAGTAGTGTACAGTTTAGGAAAATTTCTAAATATAATATGTTCTGAATTAGTCCTTCCATGAAGATACAGGGTAAGCCCGGTAAACTACGAAGGATTAAGAATTCATGACGTCCTAACACTTGTGACTATCTCAAGTCTAGCTTTTGTCCTCGGTCTTGAAAAGTGTCTATAATGTGAAACCAAACAATTTAGCCATGCGGAAAAGAAGCTTAAGTTCAAAGTTGCAGAGAATCGTTGCTATGAGAAAGAAGGCTGAATAAATTTCGTACAGTTGTTTCTGAAGTCCCATTCTCTGTGGAAGACTGTGGTTCATCTTGTGTGATGAAATCAGGGCCGTATACCTGAATTTTTCCAGCTTGGGGGGAAGGCCAAAATTCGATTCAATTTTCCAAGCTCGTCTGAGTAACCTCAATGGTTTGAAACCATGTTTAATACTTATCAAGGGGGATCAATAAAGCGTAAATACAGGTGACCTTTCTTAATGAAAAGATTTTATAATGCCCGATTTACAACGGTACCCTAGAAAGCTTTGTCTGATCAAGTATGAATTACTAGCCTTAGAGGGCGCTTCGCGCCCATCTTCTAAATTAATTGTAAACATGTTCTCTTTGTGTACATCGTAAAACAAAACAAAAATAATTCGCGGATTTTCACAAAAATTTCGTGGATTTTCAAAATGTTCAAAAATTTAATGAAGATCGAATTTTGATTAAGACAATTATTTGAAATTTGATCATTCATAAACCTGCCCTGTGGTCACGTGATGTCTCACAACAAATCTGGGCCCGATCGGTTCAGCCGTTTTGACGTTTATTGGATACAAACAGACAGACAAGCCAAATTTATATATAGATAACTCCCTGTTTTTGTTTAAAATGTTTCTTTTTATTTGCGTGTTCTCTGCATAAGTCACTGTGCAATGCGCATATCTTGCTTATAAGAAGCAATGGAGAAATTATCAGAATTTGCACTTATTTCGAGTCAGGAAAACGACAATATCTTCCACATTTTTGATCAAGGGTACCGTTGTAAATGTAAATCGGGCATTGCAATGTTTGATTAGGGGGTCACTTGAAATTACGCTTATAACAGTCCAACCCTGAAAGCCCCCCCGGTGCTATCTCATTTGAACTACTGCCGTTTGAACTATTGTTCATTTGAACTATTGTTCATTTCAACTACTGCACGTGGGACCACGTGAGTAGTTGAAATGAACAATAGTTCAAACGAGTAAATATATTGCTCATTTGAACTATTTTTTAGTTCATTAAACTATTTTCATTTGAAATATTAAAATATTATTAATGAAATAAACAAAAAATAGTTCAAATGACCAAAAAAATAAATCAAATGAATAAAAATATAGTTCAAATGAACAAAAAAATAGTTCAAATGAACATAAAAATAGTTCAAATGAACATAAAAATAGTTCAAATGAACATAAAAATAGTTCAAATGAACATAAAAATAGTTCAAATGAACATAAAAATAGTTCAAATGAACATAAAAATAGTTCAAATGAACATAAAAATAGTTCAAATGAACATAAAAATAGTTCAAATGAACATAAAAATAGTTCAAATGAACATAAAAATAGTTCAAATGAACATAAAAATAGTTCAAATGAACATAAANTTATGTTCATTTGAACTATTTTTATGTTCATTCTGTGTAATATTATCTAATTAATTGTCATGAATATAACGTTTTATGGAGATTATAAAAAAAAAATTAAAACTGAATTGGGTAGAAAAATAGTTCAAATGAGCAAGAAATGCGTTGATTTAAACTACAGGATATGACGTCATGTCAGTAGTTCAAATAAACAATAGTTCAAACGAACAATAGTTCAAACGTACCATAGTTCAAACGGCAGTAGTTCAAATGCGGATCCACCGCCCCCCCCCCCTTTGTTTTGCCCTAGATAGATAGACGCCTAGAAAGATTTGAATTTCAGCTAAAATCGATTTTACATTTTACACATTTTAATCAATTTACAAAGAAAAGATTCGAAGCCAGGGCATCAAAAAAGCATTAAACGAGGCGAGTTTTAAGGAAAGGGTTAGTTATTTCACCCAATTTCTAATATGCTTAGGGCTTTTTAAAGGTCGTCTCTGAACACTGTTTTCGCGGGTTCAACTTAGTTTGAATTGTAAAACAGCTGATTCCAGTCCTTTTTCATTCAGTTGGCGCGAAACTTCCCTCAATCAAACGGTAAGTAGGAAGTTTTAAGTTGTAAACCATTTAACAATTATTACTTATTAACCGAATTAAGAAACAATTTCCATTAAAAAATTAATTTGTATATTTTATTTTGATAATCTAGAAATCATCATGTCTGGCCGAGGAAAAGGAGGAAAGGTGAAGGGGAAGGCAAAGTCTAGATCTAGTCGTGCCGGACTTCAGTTCCCAGTTGGAAGAATTCACAGGTTGGGGTTTTAGATCAATATAATAGAAACTGTTGGGTGAATTTATAGATAAAACGATTTTTGGACCCTCCACCCTCCCATCCCCCTTCTTGAGTCCGTCCTAGTTTACGATTTTTTGATGTTCCCCCTCCCCCCTCACATCAATTTTGTACATGTCCACTTTTTCAACAATTTTCAATAAAATCAGTATACATTTAGGGTTAGGTTAGGTTAAGAGGGTCTGTCCTATGTGAATGATTTTTGGACTTTTTTGGACCCCCCAGCCCCCCAGTTCAAATGGACAAGANACACTTTCTGGGCCGAGCGCTGCGGCCACGGGTTAGGTTAAGTTAAGACACTTTCTGTAAGATCCATGTACAACATTGATAGGAGGGGGGGGCTGGGGGGGTCCAAAAATCGTTTTCCAGGAATATACCAGAACAGGATAAGGGAGCCGAGCTCTGCGGCTATGTCAGGCTAGGGGACCGAGCGCCGCGGCTTGGACAGGCTAGGGGGCCGGACTCTGCGGCCTCATGTTCAATTATATTCATGCCATACATATGAGATCCATGTACAAAATTGATAGGAGGGGGAAAACCCTAAATATATATAATAATCTTGTATGTCAGACATGGATATAATTGACCATGTAACCAAAGCGCTAGGCCTTTCCTAGTTGCAGCGATCGGACCAGAAAGTGTCTTAACCTAACCTAACCCTAAATAAATACCAATTTTATTGAAAATTGTTGAAAAAGTGGTAATGTTTCTTATCATAACATAATGAAACTAATGCAATTTTTTTTAAAATTACTGGTTATGTACAAAATTGATAGGAGGGGGGGGGTCCAAAAGTGTACAATTGGAGCAACGTGAAATTTTGTTTAGGGTCATGGTATAAAGTGTTTAGAAGGAGGTAAGTTCCAAAATTGTAAATAATGACTGGACTACTTTTGTTTAAAAGTGCTTAATATCTGTTTTATTGACAAATTTATACTTAAATTTACAGCGAGTCGAGTAATCACGGAATTTTCTTTTCTGAACTTATGAATTTTATATTCTATAGTTTACACAAGTTCATCAAATAAATACACTTTTATATTTTGTGATCAGGTTATTGAGGAAAGGAAACTATGCTGAGAGAGTAGGGGCTGGAGCACCAGTTTATATGGCTGCTGTCATGGAGTACCTAGCCGCAGAGGTATGTCCACCCTCCCCTTGCCCCACTCACCCGTTCCAGAAATTACTATTCATATTCTTGTCGACCTTAAGCAAAACATTTCGAGTATAGACGGGCTGTATAAACGTGGAGCAATTGAAGTTAAAGTTTTCTTCTAAAATATACTCTATGCCCCCCCCCCCCCTCACTAATTTTTATGTGATGTCTTAATATTATCAGAAATGTCATTTAAATAATCCCTAAAATTTAGTTAGTTAAGTTTCTACCGCAATTAGATATTCGCTTAGACATAAGTTGAGGGAGTGGATTTAAAAAAAATGTAATTGTTTACCAATTTTTATTTTAAATAGAACATTGTCTTCAGAAGCCATCGAAATTATGAAATACATTTCCCCGGATTTAAATATATTTTCTAGGTTCTTGAGCTGGCCGGGAACGCGGCCCGTGACAACAAGAAGACTAGGATTATCCCTCGACACCTCCAGCTCGCCATCAGGAACGACGAGGAGTTAAACAAACTTCTCTCCGGCGTTACTATCGCCCAGGGCGGAGTTTTGCCGAATATCCAGTCCGTCCTTCTACCCAAGAAGAGCCAGGGTGCCGGGGGCAAGAGCACAACCCAGAGCCAAGAGTTCTAATTCTGACCCGTCCAGTGGTGATCTCAATTTGAAAGTACTTCAAATATAAGCTTTATACAAATATTATCAATACATTCTCTAATAGACAATTGTTTCAGTTTATCGAATATGGTCGGGTTTTCCACGAAAAAGTATTTAAGTGATTATTTGAGTTTTAATATTTACAAATATAATTCAAATTTTAATGTTAACGTGTGACCTCCTGGTCAAATATGATATTTTAGACGAGGTGTGTCCCACTCTGCAACATTAGATAAGATAAGATAAGATAAGATAAAGTTTATTGCTAAAATAAATGTATCTGTATACAGATAACAATCACAAAATTGATCGTTATATTAACAGTACAAGTATAAAGCAATTAGGTGGAAAATAGCTCTTGGCTGTTTTGATTATTTTTTCCACCTAATGTTAGTAATAATAACAAAATATTTCAATTAAATAGATTTAAGGAGAACGATTAGAGATCAGGGTGCGAATTTATCATATGCAAAATAGTTAATACATAAATTCGAATAACTAGAGTTTAAAGTAATTTTCAGACATGTACACAACAAATATCAAAGCATATCAAAACTATATCTAATTAGTTTTACTTGATTAGCAATTCGGTTTATAACACATTGTCATGTAATTTTCAAAAAGAGAATTTAAGGATGAAACATTTTATTTGTAAAGGTTTTCAAGAACCAAAATAGTAATTTTGAAACATGATTACAAAAGGTAGTTTTCATAAATTAGAAATGGCCGTCGCAAATGGTTTCTGATGATTATAAACAAGTAAAAATGGAAAATTTGAAAATCAAATTGATATGGGTATCAATAGTCTTTTATCGAGCTCAAATCAGTTTACAAAATTAACTAAGTTCTATTAAAAATGTGTGTTTACCTTTATTCTGTAATCTAATTCAGAAATTTAAGCCGGTTTCAGCAATGCCCGTATCAATATGCTCTACAAGATTTTAGTTTTCACCTTTGCTAGTGATTTTTAAAAACACTTCCATTATTTGGAGACGGCCATTTTTAATTTCTTGGATGGAGTTTGGTTAAATCAGCATCCTGGATGGTGTAACGTTAAATTAAAATGGATTAAAGTTTAATTAATATCTTAATTGGAGTTAGGTTTATTTAATTTCTTGGATGGATTAAGGTTTAATTAATATCTGAATTGGAGTTAGGTTTAATTAATATCTGAATTAGAGTTAGGTTTATTTAATATCTTGGATGGAGTAAGATTTAATTAATATCTTGGATGGAGTAAGGTTTAATTAATATCTTGGATGGAGTAAGGTTTAATTTATATCTTGGATGGCAGGGGCATTCGAGAGCTTTTGTGTAGGGGGGGGGGGGGACAATTTCCGTGCGTCAGCGCGCAAAAAAAAATTTTTGCCCCCCCCCCCCCTAGGCAACATTGAATGATACATAATACATATTGATTAAAGCTTTTTTAATGAAACTTTTTTAGTCAAAAGATTTTAAAGTATTTTTTTCTGTACGATGTAATCATACTTAAATGGAATACATGCGTAATTTCAAGTGACCCTCCATTTATATAGTGGCATGTCCGATGTACCTTTGAAACCTTCATTTCTCCATCGTTTCTGAAGTAAGAAATGCGCGAGTCACTTTTGTAGAGAAACCACAAATAAAAATATTCAGTTTTCAAAATGGGAAACATGGATGTTTAATGCAATACTTGATCAGACAAAGCTTTGAAGAATATTGTTGTGAATCAGAATATATTTAATTCTTTTCTTATTCTTTTAGTTTGGGGGAGTGCAATGCAATGCAATTTAGTATGTAGATTGCCTGAGGGAGGTGTAATATTAATGGAACCTCCCCCCCCTCAGAGGGGGCACGCGTAAGGGGGCCGGGGGCTCGCCCCCCCCCATCGTACGCTAAGTAGATTTGCCTGAGGAAGATGTAATCAGTGGCGTAAATAAGGGGGGTTATTTACCCCCCCTAGAATCCTGGGGGGTAATTACCCCCCCACCCATAGAATCTTGGAGGTACCTCTGAACTATTAAGGCCCTGAATAGCAGGGATTACTTCACTTACTGCCCTTACAATTGTTACAATTGCCAATTGCTCCCTCCAAAAAAAAACATTCCCTCAATGGCAGAAATAGGGGGGTTATTGGGATTATTGGGGTTATTTACCCCCCCCCCCCCTAGAATTTATTTTTAAAAAAAGGTTGAGTTTAAAATTGAATATCTTTAAAATTTGCACGAATAACTTAAATGTGCAGATACTTCAGACATTTCAGATTTTAAGTCAACATATTCTAAATGATTCTAAATTCTTAAGTAATAGTCTATGTCATTATAATTAGATGTTTTTTTAATAGAAAAAAGGGTATGGGCAATGAAGAATACATATTTACTTCTAAAAAATGCCATTTCCATGTTAGATTTATTTAAGATCTTAACAAACTACATTGACGACAAGAAAATTTTAGAAATTGAAATTAGAATATAAGCAAAGACATTATTTTTTCAAAGTTTTGCAGAGTAGCTTTTCTAAAGATTTAAAAAATTAACATCTTTTTACTCTAAGAGTAAAACTATATTTTATTTTGCTTAAAATAAATTCAGTTTTTTTACAGATCTTTGTAGTTAATGTAAAATGCATGACTATAATGAAGGATATAAAACAAGGTGAAAGATGAAAGGCATGAAATGAAGCCTTTCTTTGATGGAGTTTGTAAATGCCAGAAATGAGTGGAAAATTCAAATCAAACCCAATTAAAACCAATAATTTGATATACATCATGATATTTTTTTAGGGGGGGGGGGGTAAAAAAAATTTACCCCACTACAGAATCCTTATTTACGCCTCTGGATGTAATATTAATGGACCCCCCGTCAGAGGGGGCACGCGCAGGGGGGGGCGGGTGCTCGCCCCCCCCCCTTGTACGCCACTGCAGGATGGAGTTTGGTTTAATAGTTTGGATGGATAAACTGGTTTAATTAATACCTTGGATGGAGTTGGGATAATGTAAAACCTAACCCCTTAACCCAAGAGGTGATAAAGCGTGGGCCTGTAAAAAAGGCATCAAAAAACCATTTTTACTGATTTCTAAAGGACCAAAGTGATATCACAGCTTCTAAAAAGCTTAAAAAGTAAAAACTTAAAGAGTTGAGACAGTTATAGCAGAAAATTGTCGGAAATTGTATTTTTTTTATAAAATTTAATTACAAAATTATTTTAATAGTATTACAATATTTCAATTTTTCCCACTTTGGGATTCTTGGGGCCCATGGGACCCTCCCCGCCTGGGGGGGGGGAAGGGGGATCATAGGATCCCGAAATTTATTTTTGATATTTTTAAAATAATTGGTACTAGAAAATTCTTCTTGATCATTCACCAGTTCATAATTCCAATAATCTCTGCTTCTTTTAAAAATGTGTTTTTAGATCTGTGGCAATTTGATAACGTACGGGTCGAACGGGTCACGACTCACGGACCAGCCTGTACAGTGTACAATTATACCGTTTGCATAAAAAAGCAAGGTGTAACTGATAGTGTAAAGAATGCGAGTGCAAGGACAAAAAAATAGAGGGGGTGGGCATCGAACGCTCTCCCCAAAATCCTGTAATAGTTGCGATTATATTAATTGTCCAGGCCGGGGGCGGCGCGTTAACAGGAATTTGTCCGGTATGAGCTAAAGCTTTTTTGGACATTCAAGGGGGGGGAGGCTCCGTCATTCTTTTGGGGGCTGAATTATCTCATATTCATAGCTTTCACTCCCCCTGTCCTAGATGTCCTTAGAGATGGGAAGTTATGCGCCCCTGATCTTAAAATCCAAGTTGTGTTTTTTTGAGGAAAAAGATTTTATTAAATCATAAAATATTGAAACTTCTTCTGGGTTGGGGAAGATGGGGAGGGGGTTGAAGGGGTTAAAGTGGGTCGAGGGGGGATTATAATTGGGGAATACAAGGTTTATGGAAGGATAGAAGGGGAAAGACGACATCTCCGTTGTTATGAGAATGCGCCAACTCGACCGCGGTTTAGTAAAAGATGGCGGCTATGCCTGGCGTCTATCCCACTAAAGAACCTTTGTTTTCAGCGCTGAAATGTTTGAGTTAAAAAGGTTTTCTCGGATAATTTATCCAACCAAAATGTTGACCAATATGTAGTGCGTCTACAGGTATCATTTTATCCTAGTAGGGAACTTTTTTCAACGGAGAAATGGCGTAGCATCTTTCAGTTAATAGGGTATAATTGATTCAGTAGACATATTATTATTATTATTGTTTTTCAATTTGTATATTTATAGACTACATTTTGTCAAAATAATGACGTATTTCTTCCTAAAGCCTTGAATTCGATTATAATGATTTAATCCAATTTGTTAATGAAAACGAATAAATATGGCTTGGTCGGCACAATCTATTTATTTATAATTTTTGTTTGTTTTTTATTTATTTATTACTCTCTAGATAAACTTCAGTATCTTGTACATAGAGTACATACAATGTTTATCTTTTGTTTGCATTTGCCAATTGTTTTTTTTTTGTCTAATCGAAATGTATGAAATGTAAAGCAATTATTTGTCGCGAAGCCGTCATTTGACTCCTCTCTAGTTGTCATTTTCTAAATATATATAGTGTTTAAATGTCAACCGTTGAAAAAAAAAAATTTAGGAAATTTCCTGAGAAACGATTTTCGTGCCACCCCCCATCCTCCCCGGGCCCCTCTCCCTCCTTTCAATTTTGTACATTGTTATCATTGGTCATGTGGCCGCAGCGTCCGCCCCCTAGCCTTTCCTAGCTGCGGCGCTCGGCCCCCTAGCCTGTCCTAGCCGCAGCGCTCGGCTCAGAAATAGTCTTAACCTAACCGTAGAGTAATAAAAAATAACAATTTGCTGAAATCATGTACAAAATTGAAAGGAGGGGGGGTCCAAAAATCGTTCTCTGGGACAGACCCAAACCCTAAAGTTTGCTTTCAAGTTTAGAGTTATTTTTTTTTTTAAACGTCAGGCTCTTAACCATTATTTAAGAAATTTATAATGTTTCATTATCTTTATATTTTATTAGGTTTTCACATGTCAGACTTCTTAAACGCGTTTGAAGCCTTTCTGGCCAAGCCTGGGGGAACTGAATCCCCAGACCCACAAGCTCATTCGCCTCCAGCCTCTAAACCAATCCTGAAGGGGGGCGTGGTAGTATCGGCGCCCAGCCCAGAAGCAGAAATCCCGTCCACGCCGCTCAGGAAATCCACCCGCCGCCGACGAAAAAAGAAATTAGACAGTGAGAGCTCTCAAAGTTCTGAAAACGAATCCGTAAGTTAATAACCAAAAAAATCAAATAGATTATACATAAAAAGGATAAATAATACTTTAATTTTCTTTTTATCTCCAGGAGGTTGGATCTGAAGACACAATGCCCTCTCGGAGATCTAGCGCGGAGTCCCCTAAACCCCGCCGGGGACGACCTAGAGCTGAGACAGAAACCCCTCCTCCTCCTTCCAAACCCTCTAAGAAAGTGAACGGATCGGTGAAAGAGACGAAAGAAAAGAAAGATGATCCGAATGATACAATAAATTTGTCTCGAGAGGTTTCGTGTCGGCTGTGTGATAAAAAAGACTTTAACCCTGTAACTGAGGCCTTAGCTAAGCATTATGCAACCGCCCACTTTAAAGCACTGCTAGAGGCAGAGGTTAAAGAAAATAATTGCAACATTTGTAAAGCCAAAAAGTTGCGCAGTGTTTTTAATTCTAAGCGTGAGATGATTTTGCACCTTGCAACCGCGCACTCGCGCGCTGAGCACCTTCTCTCCGATGAACTCGGAATACCTGTGGAGGTTACCAAAAATTCAAGGTAGGGTTACACAGTAAACAGAACAAATTTTGGTTTTTGTTGAAGTGTTTAAGTTTTTATCATCCTACCAAATTGTAAGATTGCTATAGTAATACGCTTGTTTCCCCCTTTCCCATTTTAGTTCATTTACGATAAATAAGAGGGGGGTGGGGGGGAGAGAAAGATAATAAATACATTATGTTCTAGGTTTGTTTTTAAATTTTGGTTCTAACATGCAAGCTTTGTTAAAGCATAAGATTTGCTTATGATTTGGTTCTGAATAAATACGATTTTATTGATCTAAAATGAAGATAAAAAGGTCAAAATCTAAACTACGGATTACGGAAGCATGATTTGAAACTATGGTGGTTAATAAACGTTGCATATCATATTAATGGGAACCTTCATTTGTGTTTTAATTAGTGAAACTAACTTACTTTTCAATTTTGATTCGTGATCTGAAAATTAAGTTTTTTGTTTAGCTATGATGTATTTTATACCTTTAGGCCGCTCTCGATTTTACTATCTACCAATTGTTTTTCTGATAAATTTGAATATTTAAAAAAAAACATATTTCTTGATATATACTGAAATTTCATATTAGGCGGAAAAGTTCGCCTCCGCCTCGGAAAGGGCGAAGATCTCTCCGTAACAAAGACGAGGACGAGGAACAGGAGGCGGAGGTTATAGATCTTGACGAAAACAGTAAGACCAGTAAGGAAGAAGAGGAAACTGATACAAATGGAAAACAAGAAGATAAAAAGGAGATTGAGAAGAATGGAAGGAAGGAGAAGAATAATAAAAAGGAGGAAGAAGATGAAGGTAAAGATGAAGAAGAAGATGATATGGAAGAAGAAAAAGCTGAATCTGAAAGTGAATCTGTCGAGGTGAGATATAGAAATAATAATTCTTGTGTGATTTTCATTTTAATAGTTATAGTTCTGGCAACGGTAAATACTTCCCTTTTTGGATGCCCTGTGTGTTTGTGTGGGGGGGGGGGGTAATGAAAAACTGGGCATGAGTTAGCAATTTTCCCCCTTCTTATTCCAAAATCTCAGAAATATTTTCCTCTTAAGATATTTTCTTAAGTTCAGGGGACAAAACCCAAAGAAAATTAGGGGTTCCGTGCAAATGGGGCAAGTGGTTTCGTATTGCAGGGGAAAAAATTGGACTTCTCATTCTTTAGAATAAAATAAACAAATTAAAAAAACAAGGGTAAAAGTTATGTTTGAGGACCTAGATGTAAAATTAATTTGTTCTAATGTCTCAGGACGAGGAGGTGACAATTAAACCCCGGAAGAAGATGGATGAAGTACGAGGACCGTTTCAGTGTAAACTCTGCATTGCAAAGATACAAACTAGAACTCTAATGAAGAGGCACGGAGTAGAGAAACATTTCTTCAAGAAGATACAAGCCGAGGGGAATCTGTCTAATAAGAAACCTTTCAAGTGCAATCAAGATAAATGTGATTATGAAGGGGTCACAGCCATAGCTCTAGTTCGACATTATGGTATTAAACATAAAGGAGTGAACAAATATATGACTCAGTTGCTAGGAGAGAAGATAAATAATATCACCAAATCTCCGGTCAAAAACGAACCTCCAGATAAAGGAGAGAACCCGGAGAAGAAAAAGTCCGAGACTAAGGAGCTCTGGGTTGTCAAGAAGAACAAGAAATCTGAAGCTTGGGTTGTGAATCCTCCAGTCAGTAAACCAGAGGACGCATTGAGCGAGGAGGAGGCAGAGTCCGATGGGAAAACTGATCATGAAGATAATGCGAGCGTGGCGAGTGTTTCCAGCAATGCTAGTAAAGCTAGCAAGTCCAGTAAATCCAGCAATGAAGGAAAGCGCGGACGTCGTGGTGGTGGCCCGACCAATATGGAGGAATTCAGGAAAGCTCTCAAGGATAATCTCCGAACCAAGGATGGAAGTTACTGCATTGCGAAGGATAAATTTAATATTGAATGTGTTTGTGGGAAGATAGTCCGGATCTGTAACCCTTACTATTGGAAGTACCTGGTCCAGAAACCAAGGGTGGTCAACGGGAAGCTGTATGCCCGCGGTCATTGGTATATTTGTGAGGAGGTGAAGAGAAGAGGGTCCGAGTACCAACTCTCAGAACAGGAGAAGCTCGAGATTAAGAAGGAACTAGAATCTAGTAGAAAAGGTAAACAAATATTCTGCATTTTATGGAACTTATTATTTACTGAAAAGAAATTGTAGACGTTTATGGTGTAGCATGTCCGATTCACAACGGTACCATTTTTTGTCCTATTTAGAATTAACTTTATATCACAGATTTGAAGAAATTGGTATTTTCAATTGTAGTTTCTATCTACAGAAACAATTGAGGAAATCGTTAAAATTGAACACGTTTAATTAAGAACATCGACAATATCTTTCTCATTATTGATCAGATATAGGTTTAAATAGTAATCATTGTGGTTCGTGCAAAGCCCCTTTTAATAGAGGGTCACTTGAAATTACGGCCACAATCTCTTTTTCCTGCACCATATAAGATTTAACTCTTCAGAAAACTTAATTTCCATTTGTTTTGTTTAATATTTCAACCATGTATTGTTGCATTAATAACAAAAAAATAAATGAATCCATCTGAGATACCACAACATGCAATTCCAATTTTCTAAATAAATATAACCTACATTTATGAAGTATTATGCATAAAATAGCTTTTAAGGAAGTTAGTTTTAATTTTGTGACTTGATCAATAAAACTTCTTTGCAGAAAACATTCAGAAGTTTTAAAAAGTTTAATGTTTAAATTCGAATTTACTCCAGGCATGAAGAGAGTAGAACCCTCGGATAGAGAGGATTCAGATCGAAAGAAAATGAAGACTAGAGAGTTCAGAGTCAAGAAGGAGGAACCAGAGTTCGAGGACGATTTTATCGACGACGAGGAGGAGGAGGAGGAGGAGGAGAACGTCGAGGATCCTGAGGAGGTCAAACGTCAGGCGGACATCAAGAAGAATATCCAGGATCTTTTAAACTCACGCCAAGTCGGAGAGACCTTCCTGCAGGACGGACCCTGTTATCAGGTCGCATCGGAGCTAGCACTGTGTCGAGAGTGCAAACAGATCCCTCTTTACGAGCGGGAAGATCTCATCCTTAAAGGAAAATTTGCTGAAGAAAGTTCAAATATAACCTGCTCATTCTACGCTTTCCGTAAACTACGGATGACGCGGAACGGATATCTAATGGTGGACGGATATCTGGATCCGGTCAAAGATCCCAAAGAAACAGATATTGCTCTGTGGAGCTCCGACAAGGTGAACCCTCCCAAGGACGTGGATATTGTGAAGATCAAGTATATCCTGGGTCTGATCGGAGACCAGTTCTGCAACATGGTTCAACAGGAGAGGAAGTGCCTTAGCGTTCACATGAGCACCAACAAGAGTTTAACCTGGAAGCGTCCTGTGAAGGGGGTGCGGGAGATGTGTGATGTGTGCAAGACGACCCTGTTCAACTACCACTGGATCTGTGGGATGTGTGGCCTGTTCGTCTGCCTGGATTGTTATCAGTTCCGGCGCGGCGGACTAGTAAAGGATAAATCTGAAGTTGATAAAATGACAGATGATTATAAATGGCCGTACTGTACTACAGGTTAGATTATGCCATTTTTCTATTTCTCATGGTTAAATCAGAGTTAGAGCATATTTACTTTTATATTGGATAAGATTTTACCAGATTAACAACGTACTTATGGATCTGTTAATCTCTTAAAGATTATTTTAAGACAGGTTATTGTAACAGATATATTAATCTATATAATAAAACAAGACATTCGTATATTTATAATATGTTGTCTATAGCCGGCCAAACGACTGAACCGATTGGGCTGAATTTTTTTTGTGGACACTCAGAGGTGGCCGGAAGTTTTATAGGCCAAAAAAAAATCAAAATATTTTGTTAAAATTTTTTTTTACATTTAAAAAAAAAAAAAATTTACATTTTTTTTCCATGGGTAAAGCCGGGCCCTTCAGCTAGTATATAGAATAAAACAAGACATTCGTATATATATATATATATATATATGTTGCCTATAGCCGGTCCGACTGTTTGAGCTTTAAGTTTTTGTGGACACTCATGGGTGTTATAGGCTGAAAAAAAAAAAAAATTTCTCACGGGCCCTTCAGCTAGTTAAATATAAAATAAAAATATTTTTATTATTAAAAATTAAGGGGTAAAAGAAATTCGAAGTTTTATATTTACCTCCTGTTTTGTCAGAATGCATAATACAATGTGCACAAGTGCCTCGAATTTAAGAAATTAAATGCCAGACATGTTTAGCTTAAATCCTGAAGGTCTTAAGTGGCTCGGATTTCTCGGTGAAAATAAGTATTTAAATTTACTTATTTGCGCAATGTCCAGTGTCTTAACAATTTTGTTTTTTCACTCACATTATCAAACCTTAAAATTATATTTAATTTGCAACAGTAAATTTTACCATTTATCTGGAATTAGGGTTTAATAATCGAAAATCCGGAGGTTTGATTAAAATTATTTAAATTTTTTGTTAGAAAAGATTGACTTTAATCTTTTATTCAGGAGGTCAGCATCATATCAACAACCTTATGTTAGCGGCCATAATACCTAGACAGTGCCTTGTTGATCTCGCTAAAAAGGTAAAATATTATTTCAATAAAAATAACGTAATTTTAATTCACAATCCTACCCTTTATACCTCTATCTGTGTAACAAATTATGTCAATTTTATTCATCTGTCAGAAAAGGTTTAAAGGGTACAGTTGTGAATAGGACATGCAACTCTATAAATGGAGGGTCAATTAAAATCTTGTCAACAGTCCCTTCAAGAAATAACAAGGAGTTTATAATATTAATAAGTTGATATTGTTCAATATTTTTTAGTAAGGGGTGCAAAATGAATTTTAATCAAACAGTTAATTAAAGAGCTAAAACAAATCAGTAAAATTGTCTAGTTTATTAGGTTTTATTTGCTTTAAGGTGAGTTTTCTTCATTCAAATCATATAGTTTAAATATTTTTGTTGAAAACCTCCGCAGAATAGCGTTTTATCTTTATAAGAAATTTACTTGATATTATTTTGATCAAAGTCAGAAATCATAGATTTTGTTTCAAATATTGAAAGGGAAAGTAATTATATTATTAGCTTGATAATATATTTGTTAGAATCCTGTGCTGAGCTGGATAGTTTATTGTTGAGAAGAATTTAGATTTGATTTAGTTTCTTGTGTTCAGGTGCATAGACTGCGGATAAAGTTCAAGATTCCCCAGTTTTGTCACCAGAGCGACGAGATTCAAGGTTTATATCAAGATCAAGATGATGGTTTCCTCGGCCTTCAGGTACAGTACCGAAGTACAGTACAGTACAGTACAGTACAGTACAGTACAGTACAGTACAGTACAGTACAGTACAGTACAGTACAGTATAGTTTAAATTTAACTTCGTACATAAAACTATTATTTATTAAGAAAAATTAGTCCTGAAGACCAATATTTTTAAAAGACAAGCCGTGGTTCTTGGAACATTAAAATTAAGTGTCTGATTACATCCCTATCCGCACGTTTGTTTGTTTACATTTTATTTCAACAAAAACACATTTGATAAGTTTTTGCATAAAGTTATAAAACAAGAATAAATCCAGCCAAATATAAACAAAATCTGGAGACAAAACTCAAAATTGAATTGTACCATTGGCAAAAATCATATTCTTGAATGTTTAGTCCACTGTGAACCTGGTGAACTCAGCTAGGAATGTTTTCTTCCCCTGTCAGCTTTGTGATAGTGAAACCTTCAGGTAGTTTATCAGGTTTCCCCTGGAGTTAAAAATATTTAACAACTTACTTTAGTTTTTCACTAGAAACAAAATCCTCAAATTCTAAATTCACATGAAATGGATCTTATGGTCATTTCGGTAGAAATAGTTTTATTTTCTATCACAATTCCATGATTTTATGTATTGTTAAGATGGCAGTTTGATCTGTACAAGCACTATGCATCCAAACATTATTACGAGGATATCCTTGCTATTATGGGAATATCAACAGAACCTCCTTACAGGTAAAATAATAAAGATAACAAGTTATAATTTTCTTTTTTAATTCAATGATAACCTAAACAAAAATGATAAAACAATAACAATAACAATAACAATAACAATAACAATAACAATAACAATAACAATAACAATAACAATAACAATAACAATAACAATAACAATAACAATAACAATAACAATAACAATAACAATAACAATAACAATAACAATAACAATAACAATAACAATAACAATAACAATAACAATAACAATAACAATAACAATAACAATAACAATAACAATAACAATAACAATAACAATAACAATAACAATAACAATAACAATAACAATAACAATAACAATAACAATAACAATAACAATAGCAATAGCAATAGCAATAGCAAAAACAAAAACAAAAACAAAAACGAAAACGATAACGAAAAAAAAGATTGAAACAAAAACAATAAGAAAAGCAATAAAAGTCACTATAGCAATGACAAGGGAAAAAAGTAAATGGAATTAGAAATCGACAACCCAATAAATCCTTTTCTTCCAAGCTAACTTAACTTAAAAATGTAAAATGTTATAAGAAAAATGTAAGAAAAATTTAAGAAAATGTAAGAAAAATGTAAGAAAAATGTAAGAAAAATGTAAGAAAAATGTAAGAAAAATGTAAGAAAAATGTAAGAAAATGTAGGAAAATGTAAGAAAAATGTAAGGAAAATGTAAGAAAAATGTAAGAAAAATGTAAGAAAAATGTAAGAAAAATGTAAGAAAAATGTAAGAAAAATGTAAGAAAAATGTAAGAAAAATGTAAGAAAAATGTAAGAAAAATGTAAGAAAAATGTAAGAAAAATGTAAGAAAAATGTAAGAAAAATGTAAGAAAAATGTAAGAAAAATGTAAGAAAAATGTAAGAAAAATGTAAGAAAAATGTAAGAAAAATGTAAGAAAAATGTAAGAAAAATGTAAGAAAAATGTAAGAAAAATGTAAGAAAAATGTAAGAAAAATGTAAGGAAATGTAAGGAAATGTTAGAAAAATGTTAGAAAAATGTTAGAAAAATGTTAGAAAAATGTAAGAAAATGTAAGAAAATGTAAGAAAATGTAAGAAAATGTAAGGAAATGTAAGGAAATGTAAGCAAAAATGTAAGAAAAATGTAAAGATAATGTAGGAAAATTTAAAAAAGGGTTAGAAATAAATATGTAAGAAATTAAAATTGTTGTTTAGATGCCCCTTCCCTGGCTGCTCCCTGGCTGTAGAAACTGAAAACCAGATTGTTATTCACTACGGCTTAAACCACAAGGCTCTTGTCAAGTTGTTGGAAAAGAACAAGCTGAACAGCAGTGAGGTGGTTCAGAGGGTTCCAGGGATACGATCCAATATGCTCGCTCTACCCTCTACATACAGGTACTAGCTCAATCTCAGGGTCCCTCGTCTTCTGGAGTAAATTTAAGATTTTACTGCATGCTCAGGGCCCATCTAGGGGTAAATAAGAGATTTTACCGCATTTTGAGAAACATTACCCTTACAGACCATGTCATTATCTTCCATCTGCATATATGTTTTGTAAGAAAAGATGAATTAACCAACCAACCAATCAACTATCCGAAATAATTAGTTGCAAATTTTTTCTTGATTATTATTTCACCAACGAATAATTATGATTTATTATAAAGGTAGTTTTGGGAATTCCATACGTCTTTAAAATGTTGATTGAAAAATAAGTTTAATTATATTTGATTGCCTGAAACCTTTGACTGGGATGATCTATCTGTTTTACTAAATGAAATTAAAAATCGAGAAAAAGGAAAAATATTAAAATGAGACAAAGAATGAAAGAAATTTGTTTATGAATCTATGAAACCAATATACATGAAATAGAACTAATGGATGAATTAATACAGTGTGTGAAATATTTAATAAATGAATGAACTCATAAAGCAATGAATGAAAAAATGGATTTATACATAATTATTTTTTAAAAAAGAAAAAAACAATGAATTTATAGATTTATATAGTTTTTGAATGACTGTATGAATGAAGTAATTAATTTAATAAATGCTAATCTAGATGTCCTATCTGTGGTGCTACACTTCCTTCTAAACACAGAACTGATCATCTCACAGTTCATTTTAAGGTAAACAGCAATTAACATTTTGTCTCGTTTTTACTCGTTTCCATGGACCTGTCAATGGACTCATATTATGCTTTCAAGCTGAATTTTTAAATCTTTATATCACTGCAACCTGATGTTCTCTAAAAATAATTTTGAACTTGGAAAGTTTGATTTAGTAGAATTCGTTTGAAATAATATCAAATTGTAAAGATATATCGATTTATAGTAATTAGTTCTGTTCAACTAAGACTTAATTAAGAAAAAAAAATTTAATTTTTTGTTATATTTTTAGGACAAAATGTCACCCTTACTCTCCAAAGCCTACCCGTACAATTGCCCTCGGTGTCGCTACGTCGCTCTCGACCGAACCAGCCTAATTCGACACTTCGCCACGCGACACGGGATAGTCGAGATATTTCTCAAGGTAATTTAGTTAAAACTTTTTATGCTAGTTTGGGTCTCATAAAATGTTTTCTGTTTTTGACGACTCTTGGTCTCTTTTTCTTCCTTTTTAATGCAGTCCCACTGGACTTAATGTTTTTTTATGCAGTCCCACTGAACTAAATGTTTTTTAATGCAGTCCCACTGGACTAAATTATTTTTTTAAGCAGTCCCACAGGACTTAATGTTTTTTTATGCAGTCCCACTGGAATAAATGTTTTTTTTATGCAGTCCCACTGGACTAAATGGTTTTTTTGAGAAGTCCCACTGGACTAAATGTCTTTTTATGCAGTCCCACTGGACTTGTTTTTTTATGCAGTAACACAGGACTAAGTGGTTTTTTTAAGAAGTCCCACTGGACTAAATGTTTTCTATGCAGTCCCACTGGACTTAAATGTTTTTTTATGCAGTCCCACTGGACTAAATGTTTTTTTTAAGAAGTCCCACTGGACTAATGTTTTTTTATGAATTCTCTTTAGAATTAATGTTTTTATGCAGTCCCACTGGACTTAATGTTTTTTTATGCAGTCCCACTGGACTAAGTGGTTTTTTTTAAAAGTCCCACTGGACTAAATGTTTTCTATGCAGTCCCACTGGACTTAAATGTTTTTTATGCAGTTCCACTGGACTAAATGTTTTTTAAGAAGTCAGTGGGATTAATGTTTTTTTATGAATTCTCACTATTAATGTTTTTATGCAGTCCCACTGGACTTAATGCTTTATTATGCAGCCCCACTGGACTAAATGTTTTTTTTGAGAAGTCCCACTGGACCAAATTTTTTTTATACAGTCCCACTGGACTAAATGTTTTTTTAAAGAAGTCCCACTGGACTAAATATTTTTTTTATGAAGTCCCACTGGATTAAAGGTTTTTTTTTATGAAGTTCCACTGGACTAAATGTTTTCTTTATGAAGTCCCACTGGAATGAATGTATTTTTAATGGAGTCCCACTGGACTTTATGTTTTTTATGATCGTTTTTTTAAGACAAGTGTTCTTATTTTAATTTCTTCTTCAAATAGATAATTTTGTTGATTTATAACACATTAAAACACCCCCGGCTCATGTAATGTCCCCTTGGGATATAAATGTTCTGTTTCCTTTTCATCCCGCTCCGTTAACATTTTGCAAATATGTTTCTTATCCGTCACCCTCGACCCTCTTCTCTCCCATCAGTCAAAAATATATTCATTCAAATTTATCTTTTCACTCTGAATTATTATTAAATCCTTCATCATCCTGCAATCTTCTGTCTGCAAGCATTCCCTGGCGTATTTTTCTTATTCATTCGGACCCATCTGTATTTATAATTTTTTCTTCTGACGCATTTTATCCTTTCATAATTTTATTTCTAAATGAAAATCACAATTTGTACAAATATGGCCCTCCTGCTCCTAATCTAGATATTCTAGATTTAACCAGCTAGTTGTATTCTAGGATTGGTTGGAACGGCATGGTAGACCTGTAGAGAAAGGATATGTCCCTCCTGCTCCTAAACCTCGTCCTTCTGACCAAACCCAACCCGAGTGCAGGCTCTGCGAGGAGTTTCCACTCTTCACTAAAAACGGAGATTTTCATCGACATCTGTCCGAGGCACATTTTAGGATGGAGCTCAACAACGAACTACCGCAGGTAATATTCTTAATAAAGTTTTTGGGAGGGGGTATGAGAAAAATTATAATAAAATGATTTTCAATGTCAAGAATGCCATACACGATTGTCAAACGTCTCATTTTAACCTTTATCTGATTGTTTTCCTTTCTCACTCTCCCTGCAAAGTAATTGAGCCTTTGCCGCAAACTCTGATTTCTAATCCCTTTATCTTTGCAACCAGATGTCTTAAACCTTTGATTCTAAGTTTGAAATATCAAAGGTTTACACAATCCTACGAAAATAATGAGAAGGGTAAAAATGTTCATAATTCTTTGCGACATAAATTCATTGTCCCACCTCTCTTCTGTTATCTTAGTTTGTTTACAACTTAAACAGTACGTAAGCGCCCAATATGAAACTTATTCATTCTTGGTTTATCTAAATGTTGTATTTGTTGCTAAGAATTAACTTCAAATATTATTTTTGTCTCAAGTTTACTGCTGCTTGCTTTTAGTTCAAGTTAATTTAATGTTTTCAATTTCAAGTTTTATTTCAGCTCCACTAAATAAAGCAGAAAACTAACACCGAGTTCGTTCTAGATTCAAGTTTTGTAGAAAATGAAAATCCGAGACTTTAACCCAAATATTGTCCGTGCTAAGGAGGGGGGGCAAACTAATAGGAAGTATTTATCCAAGAGCAGATGTTAGGAATGTGAGAATTAGTTTCTTATATATAGGAATGTTAAGATAAGGGGAAACCCTCACACATCAAATTCTCCCCCCCCCCCCTTCGAATTAATACAATAATTACCCTCTAGCCCCTTCACTCTTTAATATTTGCATGGTTTATGAAAATTGCATTTAATTGACATTTGAAATTTGCATTTTACAGTATGCAGTTTTTAGCATTGTAGTATGCATCTACAATCTGAAGAAATGCACTTCTTACTCATACTGTCATACAACAAAATTTTTAATCTTAATTCGAACACTTTCAGCAGGTGTCGCTGGGTGCGGGTTTAATTTGAAAATGTTAATGGACTTCCGTTTTGCTTTCAAGTGACTCGTCATTTAATGACGAGTAGGTTCTAATTACCAAGTTACCCTTTAAACCTTTATTATCTGATCAATAATAAAGAAGATAACGTAATTTTTCTAACTTGAAAAGTGTTTATTCTGACAACTCCGTTATTTCTGTAAGCAGAAATCCGCAATTCACTTATATAGAAATCAGAATTGAAAAAAATCAAATTTCAAAAAAAGCTCATTCATTATTATATTATAAAGATTTATTCACACACAAAGATATAAATACATTTATAAATGGTGTAGTTTAAATTTGTTTAAATAAATTTTTGAAAATACAGGTTTCCAAAAGAAAAGAGAAAAATATGCAAAATTATGCACAAATAAATCCGGAACTTTCCATGCATGTTCCAATGGGTCATCAAAATATTTCTTTTGTTTCTTAACTAACATTTTACTAAGATCCGAAGGATTTACAGAACAATCATTTGCAATAGAAAATAAATTTCTGCTAAGAACTGTGTTAAGGTCATTTTTACATAAATTAGAAAGAAATCTAATGCAAAGCTTAGGACTTGATAGCTCTTATAGATACCGTTGTCGGATATGCCCACTAATATATGGAGTATACATAGAAATCACGTTTACAGTCCCTTTAAATATAATAATTCTACTTTTTAAGATTTAAAATATTGTTATGCTTGTGCGGACAGGCGGAGCGTAAATTCCTTCTTGCATAAACGTGATCCTCAAGATAATTTCAAGATTACTCCTCAACTAATTTTAAATCTGACCTCTGCACTATTTAGTCTGCATTTTGCAATCCACAAATAGTTTGTCAAGATTTTATTTTTTTTTTTGGAAACGTTTTTCCCATTTTTTTAAAATTAGTAAACAGTTTCTTTCGATTTATAAATTCACTTATATTTGAAAATTAGTTTTCTATAAACGCATTTTAATTTTATAATTGTTTCAGTCTGCTCCGTTTAATTGCCCCAGTGCTGGGTGTAGTTTCACAACAAACACACGTGCAGCACTTCTTCCTCACTTCGGGGTCATTCACAAGGCGGTGTTCAAGTATTACAACAAGGTCATGGGGTACAAGAGTGCTGAGAACGTTGGGCCAGTCATCATGGGAGCTTCGCGGCCCAATATTGGGCGGCCCAGAGGTTCCTTCACAGTGCGAGGACGTCCTCAGATCCAGACTCAATCATGCCTTGTTTGTGATGAATCTGTGAGTCCTGAAACTATGGTTTTTCATCTAGCACACAAACATTTCCAGGTATTGTCTCTTACAGTTTTATTTTTATCAAATACAATAAAACCACGGAGAAGGGGGGATAGAGATTTTCCAAAAGTTTCCTAGCCTTGTCTACAATCTTAGTTAGTGTTAAAAGTAAAACTAGTTTCTGTGATGTCCTAATTTGTCACATTAAAATGAAAACAGACTTTATCCACCTTTCCTTAGTTCTAATCTCATTATTCAGTACAACAATAAACTGTAATTTTTTGTCTGATTTTTCGTAGCATTTTTTATTTTTTTACGTTTCGGTTTCTCTCTTACATATATTGTGACTTATTTTTTTTCTATCTTTTTTTCATCCTAATTTTGATCTTTTTATCAACTTTGAAGTCCTGATTCTATTTTTCATTATGGGTTTATCATTTCTGTTTTGACTGCAGACATACGTTCTGGTTTTTGTAGCTATCATATTTTCACTTTCATGTTTTTTCTGTGTTTTTCTATGTTTCTTAATGTCCCTTTTCTGTCTGGTTTTAGCACTTATTTTTTTAAGTAATAATTTTCTTAAAGCATCCTATTGTGTTCCTCTAAATTCATTTTTTTAAATATTGTTATCTTATCCTCTTATGTTACCATATTTGCTTCTTTCTCATTATGTACATGAGTTTACAATATGAATGTTTAGGATAAAGTTGCTCATCTCTCTAAATATGAATGTTTAGGATAAAGTTGCTCATCTCTCTAAATATGAATGTTAAGGATAAAGTTGCTCATCTCTCTAAATATGAATGTTTAGGATAAAGGTGCTCATCTCTCTAAATATGAATGTTTAGGATAAAGTTGCTCATCTCTCTAAATATGAATGTTTAGGATAAAGTTGCTCATCTCTCTAAATATGAATGTTAAGGATAAAGTTGCTCATCTCTCTAAATATGAATGTTTAGGATAAAGTTGCTCATCTCTCTAAATATGAATGTTTAGGATAAAGTTGCTCATCTCTCTAAATATGAATGTTTAGGATAAAGTTGCTCATCTCTCTAAAGCCCGACCCTTCAAGTGCCCCGAATGTCCACATGTCAACGAATTTCAGGTTAGTTAACTAAACATGAAAACAAAAATAAAGTTAGATTATTTTCTAAGATTAAGTTTTAACAATGTTGTTTTTAGGGTGGCCTGGTCAAACATTTCGGTAACTATCACGGAACATTTAACAAAATCCTCAAGGACATGGGTCTCCTGGACGTCAGGGATGATCTCAGCAAGTCCGGGATAAAGTTTGTCCGGCCTCGGATAGAGAAATTCATCACCTCTGGTCCTAATAGTAACGTAGCCTTGGAGCTGGCCCGTACAGCTGCAATCTGGAGTGGGAACTCGAGAGAAGAGGAGGATATCCTCAAGGAGGTTGCGGAGCTCAAGGTTCTAGAGAGATCTGTAGAGACAGCCATTGATAAAACCCTTAAAGGAGAACCTATAGATCAAGTTAAAAAGGAGGTTATGTCAGAGCCGGAGATTAAAAAGGAGGTCGAGGACAGTGCAGAGGCTGTTGCCGAATCTGAGGATGTTGTTAAGAATGAGGAGGAAGGGAAAGCTGTGTGTCTACTATGTGACCATTGTCCTCCAATGCAAACCAACTCTGACCTACTCCGCCATCTTGTAGAAAAACATTTTAAACAGAAGATGTATGCCAAGCTTGTGTTCAAATCAGTTCCTGGAGATTCTAATAAAGGAACGTATAAATGTCCATTGTGTGAATTTGAAAACCCAAATCAGATGAACTCTGCCCGCCATTATGGGATAAAGCATAGGTTTGCCCATAAGCTTTATGAAGATATTGTTTGCCGACCTGTGTTCGGAACTCCACTCACTAGGGACGGTTTCATGGATGGTAGATCAGTCAGAGGTAGAGCTATGCCTATGATTGGGATGAATGTAAAGCTTGAGAAAGCCCAGATCTGCAAGATATGCAAAGTGGAACACGATTCCATTGCATCTTACCAAAGACACTTGATAAAAGTTCACTTTAAAACAGCTTTGCTCAATGATTGTCCAAAGATGAAACCTTTTGTTTGTCCAAACGAAGGTTGTGAAATCGAAAGAAGAGATAGATTTAACCTGTTAATGCACTATGGAGGCTGCCAAAGAAAAGTTTGGAAGATCCTGGAGGAGACTCCTGAAGGTTCTGTGGAAAACCTGAATGATACTTCCAAGTCCAAATGTCGGATTTGTGGAAAGTATTTCACTTCTCCTCGTTATATGTGGGGACACATGGGAGAGGAGCATTTTAGAACTGAACTAGATTCAGACCTTCCCAAAACTGCTCCCTGGAAGTGTCCTAAATGTCCAGCTGATAATCAGTACACTGGAAGTGATCTGAGAACTCTGAGAATCCATTATGGTACTAGGCACAAGGCAGTGATGCCTCTTCTTGCTAAAAGGCTAGACATACCCCTTGCACAGTTAAAGAGAGAGTTCCTTCCTGCAGGAGAGAACGGAAACACTTGTCAATTCTGCGGGAAATCATTCTTTAGTCAGATGGATTATCTTAAGCACTCCCTTCTCCATGTGAGGAAAAGGGTGTACCAGGATCTACCTGAAGAGGAACCCTATCAGTGCCCTAGATGTCCTTTCACTGGGGGATCCAGGATCACATTACTCCTTCATTATGGTCTTCAGCACAATGTGGTATCAGAGCTTTTAAAAGAAGATCCTGACACACTCATGGTGGACATGGACTTTATTGTCAAGCATAAAAATGGAATCTTGGAGGAGGAAAGATTGTCAGCAGTTACAAACATGTCAGCAGGAATTCCTTCAACATTTCAGGAGAGATATCCTGAGTTGGACAATAAGAGGTTCCCCAAGTGTAAACTTTGTAATTATCGATACTTTACTAAACTAGATCTTTACAGACACTTTGCAGATCATCATCTCAAGGATAAGCTATGTGAAGCTCTAGGTCCGGATCCAGGAAAGTACCTGAAGACTCGTTGTCCTGAACAAGGATGCAGAGAAGAGTTTAAAACCAGGCAGCAGGCCTGGAGGCATTATGGAAGCAAACATGGACATATTCAATCCCTCATGGAGTCAGAGTACAAGTTCAATATTGATGAATGGCCTAAACCTATGAAAGAGCTTGACTTGATTAAGAATGCCGAGGACAAGAAAAACGCTTTGGAAACCCATCGTTTAGCTTTGAAAGCTCATCATGAAGCTACTCTGAATTATCAGGAACAGCTGGGTATGTATCAGGTTGAAGTTTCCAAACACAATGCTATTGTTCAGCAGGCCAGATATCAAGCAGCCCAGGAACAAGCTGAAACTATGGCTGCACAAGCTCTTGCCTCTATGGCAGGAGCTCCATGTCACCAAAGAATGAATCCATACTTAAACATCCCTCCTCACCCTGTAGCTCCTCAGCCTCCTCCCCCACCACCTCCACAGCCTCCATCACTCCGACCTATTGAGGATCCTGATTGTGTTGATATCACTATTCTTCCAACCTTGGAGTTCTTGGACAACCCTAAATCTTCTCAGAATGTTTGTGAGTTGTGTGGTGAAGAGTTTACTAATACAAACAAGACCAGAGACAAAGGAAACCATCAGGTTAATCACTTCAGAGATTCACTCCTTCAAGCCCTACCCCCAAACTGCTTTGAATGTCCAAAATGTTCCTTTACTGGCCGGGATAGGAATGCACTTCTTAAACATGTTGGGTTATCTCACAGAGTTGTAAATAGTGCTCTACGAAAGGAAATGGGAGGCTATGTCACTGAGGTAAATGAAGTTACCCATGACTGCAAGGTTTGTTCACAATTCTTTTTAAACCAAAATGCCTTAAATAATCATCTATGTGATGTTCACTACTTCAGCAGACTTGCTAAAGATGTTTCTTTCTCAGCTCAACCTCCATTCAAATGTCCAAAATGTACCTATGAAGCAAAATCTCATCAAATGACTGTTCGACATTATGGTGTCAAACATGGTCTTCTGAAAACCTTTATGGTTGCTGATGGTTACATGCCATCTGAACCCTCTCCTCCCCCTCCTCCACCTATGCCAATGGCTCGGCCTGCACCCCCGACCTACCCTGAGGTTAACATCAAGCAATCTTTAATGAATCATCTTGCTTCCCCTCACTACAATATGTCTCCGAACTATCCACCTCAGAGTCCGAGATATCACACTGGGCATCAGTCCTGGATAGATCATTATGCAAGTCCACAGCCCTCACCTATCCAGCAACCTAGACAGGAGGAAATCTCTATCTCATGTCCCATAATAAACTGCAACACAAGCTATCCAAATGCTCAAATGTTGTGTCGTCATGCCACTGATAAGCATTTCTATGATAGATTTGCACGGGAGTTGCCAATTGCTCCTCCCTTCACATGTCCTATTTGTGGTAAAAATTCTCCTGATCAGGTTACCCTTATCCGGCATTGGGGAGTGTCTCATCAGATGGCAATTAAAATCTTCAATGAGCAGATTGGAAGACCAAACTGTTTTGATTCCTCTGTCCTCAAGAAATACGAGGTCCGAGGGTTTAGAGAGCTTTGCCCTCTCTGCAAAGGAACTTTCCAGGGCAGACAGTTGTTGCTCCGTCATCTAGCTGATACTCATTTCAAAGACAGAATGTGCAACAACATGCCTGATAGAGAAGGTTTAGTTTACCAGTGCCCACAGTGTCCCCAGGTTGCCAGGGATAGACAGTCATTTGTCAGACATTATGGTATTGTTCATAAAATGGTGATTAAGTACTTGAATGAAATGGGGATACATAGTTTGGATGATGAGGGTAAATCTGCTCCCCAATCTCCTGCTACTCCTCAACCAACATATGGACACAATGATTCATTTTCACCTAGAGCATACTCTGAACCCATGGGGAGTCCGAGCTACTACAGTCCTCATCCACAAACTCCTCAGCGTAGTCCTGCTTACCATCCTATTGATCCTCAGCAATACTCGTCTCCTTACCCTTCTCCACAGTACAAATCTCCACAGTATGTTAATCAATCTCCAAGGAACAATATTGCTTCTCCACAGGATCTATCCTTACAGTATGGAGTAAGATCACAGCAGGTTTACAACCAGTATGATCCTAGGTACAACCAGCCACAGGATCTCTCTGCTACTCAGCCCCAAGACTTAAGCATGCATATGCCACAAGATCTGTCAAAGTCTAACCAGCCAATTGATTTTTCCAGCCATTCTACTCAGCCGCAAAATTATCATGTGCAATCTCAACCTGTTAATTTGGTTCAGAACCAGCATCAACAAAGTTATCAAGTGCCTCCGATACAAAAGCCTTTAAATGTGTTAGTAAATGATCCTTACAGACAGCCTCCTCCAACCCCTGGGATGCCAATGACTCCAGGGTCTCAGCATAGCAATCCTGGAACTCCACAACCTCCAACTCCAGGTCAGCATATGAGTCAGCCTGGGACACCACAACCCTCTGCTGCTCCTAGTCCAGCTTACCGTCAGCCAGCTACTCCTCAACCTGTCTATCCACAGCAGGCTGAGTTCAGCTCTCATCCACATACACCACAACCAGTTATTCATCAGAACCCTCAACATAGCTCTGCAGCTACACCTGTCATGCCTGGACACTCTGCCACCAGTGCTTTCCAGGTTCAGAAGAAACCTGCTTCTGATTATATACCCGTAGGAGATGAGCATATTGCTGCTCCGGATCCAGGAACTAGGGGTCCTTATGGAATCTTTTGCAACTTGTGTGAAACCATAAAAGCAAGGCAACCAAGTGATTTCTACCGTCACTTGGCAGAATCTCATTACAAATCTTTTCTCACCAGATATCTTCCACCTCCAGGGCCTTCTCCAATTCGTTGTCCTCTTTGCCCATATGAGAATAAAGAAATGGGTCCAATGATCAGACATTACGGTGTGGCCCACAAGAAGGTGAAAGAAGCCATTGGAAACCAAATAGTGGGAAAATATGTAACTGACTCTGAACCAGCTAGATCTGGTAAGCCTGTGTATGCTAGTCCTGCTCCGCCAACCTATGATGGTTCGGGGGAGCCCTCACCTAGACAGCAATCTCCTCCAGCAACTGTTAGCGTCAAATGCCCCTTTGATGATTGTGAAATGGAGTTTTCTGCAAGGTATGCCTTCTGGCAGCATATGTGTGATAAACATTTAAAGGATGATCTTCTAAGATTAATTGCACATGCTCCGAGCACTCCTTATCAATGTCCATCTCCAGGATGCACCTACAGCACCAAAGACTCTAGACAAGCTCTGGTTCGTCATTATGGAATGACTCACAAAGTTGTTCAAACAATTCTTGGACAAAAATTCCCTGAATTTGCAAGCACAGATAAATTTGCTCTTCCACCTAAACCTGCTAGACAGAGATCTAAAACTCCTATCCGGGTTCCAAGTGTGGGAGCCTCAACCTCTTATAATAGCTATGATAACCAAGGTTATGGTTTGCAACCAGTTCAACATCAACCTCCTCAGCACATGCCGCAACATCTTCCTCAGCAGCAGGTTCAGGTTCAACAGCCTCAATACAGTTATCAACCTGCACACCAGCAGCAGAGTATAATCAGCTATCCACACCAACATCAACAGCAGACACATCATCAACATGTGTACCAGGGTCATGATCAGTTTGATCTTAACCTGGATAATCTGAACCCTTCAGATTTCTCAATACCATCACTCTCTGAGTTCCTTGATAATCCTAGCGCATCATTTCCAAACCTTTCTGGAGAGGATTTGAGTAATACAGGTTATATCACTGCTCATGGTCATGCTGCATCCCATCCTAATATGCAGTTCGAACCTCAGATTGATGGAACCTTTGATCCAACATCTATAGGAGAACAGTCGTTAGATGGATCAGGAGGATCCAACCCAACAACTCCGGAGAAGAACAAATCCAACATCAGTCCTGCTCCTGCACCAACTCCTCAACCCCCTCCAGTTCAAAAGAAATATTGTGAAATTTGTGGCAAGGAATATGAAGGAAAGAATAGAAGCATGAACAAAGTCCAACACATGGTTCATCACTTCAAGGATAAACTGTATGAATCATTGCCTCCCAAGATAGAGGGTGATCCTTTGCCTTTTAAGTGTCCTGAAGATGGTTGCAAATTTGAAACCAAGCATAAACCTGACTGGGCAAGGCACTTTGGTTCTGTACACAAGCATGTTGAGAAGTTGTTGAACAAATACCTAGAGGAGCACCCCGATGCTTGGGCTAACCAACAAGAGAACAAGGAGCTTATTAGGGAGAGTTCTCTCAGTTTACAAACGTCTAAAACTCTCCTTGTTCCGTCAGCATCTGTGGAACCTAGACCTCCGTCTCAGATTTCTGGAACTAACTCCGACAATCTGGATTCTGGAGAGGGACTACTCTGCAAGATCAAGGAACTACAACAGAAGAGTGAAACTTCAACCATGATGATGCAGAGGGTTGATTCTAGATCATTCTCCCAGGATTCTAAACCATCTACCAGTGTATCAGGTCGGTTAGCTGTAGAGCTTCCTAAATCTGATCTCACCAAGTTCCTAACCACGGTGCTTAATGAGAAAAATGTTCCCCATGCCGTTGATCAAGGAAATAAGAAGTTAATCCTCAGTGAACAGCTTTCCTTAGATGAGAAGGTTCAGAGTGTGATAAATGAACAACGTCAGATCATCAACAGTCAGATGTCCCAGGTTCAAACTAAACCTCCTGTAATCAACCAGGTCCAAGGATCTTTAGTTCAACAGCAGGTTGTTTCTAATAACGGAGTTGTTCTGTCTACTTCTACTCCAACCCTTACTAAAACCTTAAACAGATCTCAAACCTTACTAACAACAGCCTCCAGCAACCTACATCAACAGCTTTTAATCAGCACTAACTCTCCGAACCAACATCTTCTGACAACAGTATCTGCCACAAACTCACATCAGTCACAACAGATGCTTTTAACAACAGCTGCTCCAGTCCAACAACAGCAGAAGATGATTGTTCAAACCCAGCAACATGCAGAAAAGCAAGAGTTTAGGACTGTTCAGATCCAACTCCCGCCTAATGTTGTGAAACAAGCAAGTCAAGGTGGAACTCTTCAACTTCAGATGCCTTCTGGTCAACGGCTCCAGCTCCAGCAGCAGGTTAACCCTCAGGGTGGTCAACAGGTTACTCATCAGTATCTTAAGATACAAACTGCACAGGGAGAACAGTTAATCAGGGTTCAAACTCAGCCTGGAGGACAGATTCAGATTGCCAGGCAAATTGTGCAGGTCAGTTGCTTTTTCAATAATAACTAAAATATAATTCTATGCTTTTCTAATTAGGCAATCTTTTTTTCTATCTAATCATAATAATTTGGGTTTAGCTTTTTTTCTGGTACTGAGTTGTTTTGTATTTAATTTTTATTTAATTTATAATATTAGATCCTGACTTTTAAATTTACTACTTTTTATATTTTAACAAAATATAGAGTTGGTTACATTTTTATCATGCTTTTTATGCATTAAGCAGATGATTAAACTAGCTGTTGCACGTATCCTGTATTTTAACTTAATTTAACTGTTTTATACATTTTTCAAATCTATCCAATTAACTAGTTAAATTTTACTTTTCTTTATACCTTATTTATTTCTATTTTTGTCATAATTCATAACCTCAAAATTAAAAAGAGAAGGATGTAACATAAAACTTCTGTCATTACCTTTTTCTAGTTAAAGTCTGTTTTCCATTAAATAAATCCGGGATTGGTAGGCTTGGAATAAATTGACGGGAAAATTGTTGTTTAAGTATTTTTAAATCGATTTAAACCAATGATTTTAACAACACTATTTTTTATACGTTGTTTTAACAATTATCTATTTAAATCAAAATTATCACAAGAGAGCATCACAAATTTGATATAAAAAAGTAGCATTATAGTAAACTGACCACTGCACGGTCTCAAATGGTTTCAATTTAGGGTTGGNAGTCTAATTAAATGTCTATGAACAAAAAATCACCCGCCTTCATGAATTTATTTTTCTTCGTCTGGGACAAAAATTCAATTAACAGTGAAGTAGTTAAACTACGTGGACTAATCCAAACCACTTATTATAAACTGAAGTACTTTAACGAAGTCTATTTTGTTAAACTACTTCTTGTTTATAATTTTATTTAGTTTAATGTGGAAATTAGCAAAAATACAAATCGTAAGACCCCACTTCATTATAGATTTAGTATAGTCACTTCAATTTTGGGGTGTGGGTGTAGGACGTCCCTAAAAGAATGATTTTAATTGATTTGACAGTTCACATTTACTATCTATTTGAAATCATAATTTTATAGATTTTAATTTTTAAAAACCGAGAATTTTTATTTATATTGATACGATGTTTTATTTAGGTTCCATCCCAAGCCGTATCCTCCCAACCTCAGTTACAGCAGGTTCTGCATAGTTCACAACAACAAACTTTACTCACAACATCACAACCCCAGTATACTCAACAACAACAGCACAATCCTAACTCCGGAGTCCAGGTTGAACAGCAGATACAGGTTCAGAAGTCAGGGACACAGGACTCAATTGTTTTGGAGAGCTTGGCAAAACAAAATCATGTTGTTACTCAGCAGGTTAAACAGCAACAACAGCAACAACAGCAACAGCAACAGCAACAACAACAACGACAGCTACAGTTGCAGCAGCAGCAACAACAACAACAGCAGCAGCTACAACAGCAACTACAAGCACATCTTCAACAACAGCAAGCTCGCCTACAGCAGAGTCAAGGATCCCAGGAGGCAGGTCAGGATCAACCCCATCATGTAGTATCATCTCAGGTGATAAATCATGGAGGTAGAACCTACCTTGTCCAGTTCCGAGCTCAGAAACCTATTGAACCTGGTAAACAGATTGTGATCAAAACTGGAGGAGTCGGAGGACCAGCTCTAGTTCAAGAGGTTATGGACGAGGTGCTTCGACAACAACAAACTGATCAGAGGAAGATCAGTGAACTTGCTGCTCAGCTTCAACAACAGTCTCAACAGCATCTAGAGCAGACACAGTCAGCCAAACAGTCTCCAGTTCAGTCTCAAGCAGCTAACACAAAGCTAACTCTACAACAACAGCAATTGCTGCTTCCTACTGAACCCCATCCTCAAATAGCTGCTCAGCATCATCAGAAGCAGCAGCGCTCAACATCCATCCTTCAGCAGCAGTTGGAAAAAGGAAGCATGCTTAATAAACCAACAGCTCCCAACCCTGTCCAGTGTATGCTTTGTATCCAAATGCCCTGGTTTCCAAACCAAGAACACCTTGATAACCATTACTCTACAGCTCATGGTATCATGAAGTCTACGGACATGGTTGAAACAGATGATCTTGATTTCTCTAATGCTGATCTAGAAGCATCTCTCTCTTCTATGACTGACCTGAAAGATGATGCAGGAGACTTTGAAAGTTTGCTTGAAGCTCTACCTTCTCCTGAACCTCATGAACCTTCGGAGATGTCTTCTCCAACACAATCCGTCCGACGTAAGTCAGTAAATAGCACATCTCAGGGTGTAACTAGAGTCTGTGAGCTTTGTGGATTTGAACCCAAAACAAAAAACAAGTCCAGAGAAAGAATGGATCATCTTGCGATGAAACATTTTAGAGATCAGATGATATCAGAGCTAAGGAAGGATAAACCAATGAAGTGTCCTAGATGTGATGCTTTTGAAAGCAAGGATCGCCAGCAGTTGTTTAGGCATATGATCAGTAAACACAAAGTTCTAGACTATTATCTTGCTTCAGCTGTAGAGAAAATGAAGGAGGAGGGAAAACAACCCTTCTATTCAGACCCTAGCTCTCAGTCAGTTCATATGAACGGAGTATCCAGGATACAGGTTACATCCTCGACATCAGCCAGAGTATCCTCATCATCAGAGCAGACTATCATTCCTCAGTTCACTCTTCCCAGTATCAGTGGTATGGTTAAAGAACCCGAGATGGTAGGAACTAGTGGAGTAGTTCATGAGTCCATGCAGCCTACTAGCTCCGACCTTGGTAACCAACCGGTTAGTCTAGAGGAGTTCATGGATTCAGGGATCCTGGATCACAAAGCAGAAACTATCATGCAGGTGGACGGGATGGATACTGAGTCGGAGAGTGAGATGGAACTTGTTTCTATTTTCTCCTCCCAGGTTGACGGAAACCAGGACGGATCTGACTCCGAGTCCACTCATCCTGGCAGCGAAGTGTCGCATGATGAGGGAAAATCAGACAAACATTTCCGAGGGACATGTCCCATGTGTAATGAGGAGATGAAGTATTCTAAAATTTATCACTTTGCTGCGTCCCACTTCCGGCCCAGGCTAAAGAACGAACTTCCTGCCTCGGGACCTTTTGTTTGTCCTCTCTGCAACGAAGAGCATAAGCATAGGATGAATCTAATGTCCCATTATCTTGGTAAACATAATAAGTTTGAAGAATGGATGCGCGAGGTTCAGGCTGATCCGAAACCAGATTGGTATGATCCAAACCCTCCGAACCTTAGACCTGTTAACCGACAACCTAAACCTGAACCAGTGGAGAAATCAGATAGAAGTCCTAGTGTTGATATATTTGAGATGAAGGATCGAATATCTCCAGCTAAACCTGAATGGTTCTGTGAACTTTGCCATGGAGGAATCACACACAGAAGAGAGGTTCACTATGCCACTGTTCACTTCAAGGATCGACTAATCCGTATCCTACCCAACTCTCCTCCTTTCATCTGTATTATTTGCAAGGTGGAGCACAAGCACTTCCTGAACCTGTCCACTCACTACCTGACCCAACACGGGTTCCTCAAGGAATGGTTGACTGCTCAGGGTATAGAATATGATCCTAAGAAGAAAACCGAGGAAGTAGAGCCCCCTCAGATGGAGAGTTCGGAGAAACAACCAACCAAACATTTTCTGTCTTCCAGTGAGAGTGATTCTGAAGATGTGACATCTGATGATGTTTTAATGTTGAAGATGTCCGAGAAATCTATTCTTGAGTTATGTTTGGACAGTGCAGATGAAAAGGTTCCCGGAGAACAGTCCAAGCTTGAACCTGTGACGGAAGCTGGTAAACCTATTGAAACTTCATTAGAGAAGAAACTTAAACCAAGAAAACGGTTTAAAAGATCTCCGGGATACAACCTGAAGGAACTTCTCCAAGTTGTGATGGATAAAGAGGATGATGTGGAGGATATCAAGGTTCAGATGAAGGGAGGTCGAGAACCTCCACCAACCAGGACAATGACAACTCTGTCTCTACCTGAAGACACAGCACCCCACATGTGGTTGTGTGATGGTCGTCTTCTTGTACTCACGGACAGCACACATCATAGGAACTTAGAGTTGTTCCAGGAACAGTGGAAAAGAGGACAACCTGTCATAGTTGCTAACGTGAGCAATCATCTAGATATGAATCTCTGGCACCCTAAAGCTTTCTCTGAGGAGTTTGGACATCTTGAGCATGACATTATCAACTGTAAGACCCATAAGCTGATCCCTAAGGTTCCACTAAAGTGGTTCTGGGACGGGTTTCAGGCACTGGATTCTCGAATGTTGGATCAGAATGGGGTTCCTATGCTTCTCAAGCTGAAGGACTGGCCCCCCGAGGATGATTTTGCTCATTACTTCCCAAAACGGTTTTCCAACTTCATGACTTGGATCCCTCTTCCAGATTACACCCGGAGAGAGGGTAGATTCAACCTTGCATCCTACATGCCGGAGTTCTTTGTCCGTCCTGATCTTGGACCTAAGATGTATATTGCGTACGGTAGTCCGCTCTACCCTGAGTATGGTTCAACCAACCTACATCTGGATATGAGTGATGCGGTAAACCTTATTGTCTATGTCGGTATCCCACAGGACGGAAACAAAGATGAACACTTTCAGGCCGGTATCCGAGCTGTGGACGAGGCGGGTTGTGATATGGCAACCAGGAAAAGGGTTCGTCAGAAGGGAGTTGTGGTCGGAGCACTCTGGCACATTTTCCATCCGAGAGACGCAGATAAGATTAGAGATTTCCTGAACAAGGTTTCTCTGGAGAAGGGTTTAAAGTTGGAGCCACACAATGATCCTATACATGATCAGTCTGTTTATCTGGATGGAAGGTTGAGGCAGCGTCTGTTCGATGAGTACGGAGTAGTTGGATACGCGTATCCTCAGTGTGAAGGAGATACTATCTTTATCCCTGCAGGAGCTCCACATCAGGTACTGGTTTAGTCTCACTCATCCTACCCTTCAAACTTTAACATTTTTCCTGATTCATGTTCAACTCTATGCCACGATTATTTTAAGATTCCAGATTTTTTATATGTTGGGTATTTAACCAAGTGTTTATTATTTGAAACTTTAGGTTTTTTTTTTTTTTTTTAGTCCTTCGTTATCCATCTCTAAATTTTATGTATTTTCTGGTTAAGTTTAATTAATGCATATTTTAGGTACGGAATATCCACAACTGTATCAAGGTAGCAGAGGACTTTGTGTCTCCTGAGAACCTGGAGTGGTGTTTCTACCAGACTGAGGAATTTAGGCATCTCACAGATAATCACACTAACCACGAGGACAAACTACAGATTAAGGTAAACAAGGATCCATTAACATTTTGTTTTGTTAATCCCTATAAAAAAGCATTAATTCGTATACTTTCGGCCTGAAATATTATGTTAATCTCTTCTTTCTTGTTATCTATAAAGCTCTGTGCTTACGGATTAAACAAAAAGTTCAGTTGTGTCAATTTGCAAAAGTTGCGACCTCAAATGTTCCGTTAAATCTTTTTTATGTAAACTTCTCAATTGAAGTTATAGTTTCCTCCTCTTTTCTTTTGTCATTGTGATGTTTATTCTATATAGCGTCTATGTACTTTTTAGTCATGGTTTGTATTTAATATAATATATATTTTTTCAGAATATTCTCTACCACGCAGTCAAGGACTGTGTTTCCTTGTTGGAAAGTGTTGAGACAGAGGATTGAAACTAGAGAAGGTGGAGATGTAGAAATACATAATTGGCAGAACAAGAGTTTACACTTGGCAGATTTTTATCAAGACAGAAGAATTTTATACTATTGATCAGCAGCACCGGTGGCGTAGAAAATAGAAAAATGAAGGCGAATATAACCCAAGGCGGAGGCGTATTTTAAGCATTCATAGAACTCAAGGCGGAGTTTTTAGTTTTTATAGATTCTTAGGCGGACATTTTTATTCAAAAAAAGACTTTACAATGCTGAACCAACGAATGAACCTTATCTCGGAGAAATTGTAGCGTTTATACTTATACCTAGAGAATACTTGAACCTTAACTCATTAATGAATAAACAAAGAACAAAGGCTGGGAATGAATACAGCGGAACTATTTTTAGTATTGAAACCAATATATTGAGTAAAACAGCCTGTGGTTAGTTGTACAGGGAAACCATGATATCTTCCAAACATTTTAGCTTTTTATACCTTTACTAACGGGACAGGACGGGACCCTTGTATCATGAGATAAATTTGAACCCAGCTAGTCAGGCGGGCTGATCAGACCGGATGCAAACAATATTTTCTCCGATTGGACATCATTTTATTATATTTATGTACCGTTCAGCACGGTACACACACACACATACTGATTGAGAAACCGCTTAGTTTCCCGTCCTAACCCGTTTATATAGCAGAGTATAGCAGTCAATCCCTGTTCTATATTTGAATCTCCTTTTACTGTTATTATTAATATGAGTATGCTTAACTAATTACATATAGTAGTTGAATTATGGAATGCAATACATGTCTTGTAAAAGCAAAATACATTATAGTAGTTCTTTATAGTTTCATCAGTAGTGAGAGTTAGATATATTTTTCTATAACAAATATGTCTTAACATACCAGATTATAACGATTAAATCATTAAAGTTGTGAGCATGATCCATAATCGTTTCACATCGCGCGTTTCCCACCTTAAAATGTGGATTATTTTGTTGAGTCTCTTAATTAGAAAACCGCACTTAGAAATGATTAACTTTATAAGTGTAAAACGAATGGTGGACGCCCCACTGCTGTTCATTTTATTATCCGAGCTGGGCCAACCTTTGCAGTCCTACTTTTGACTGTACCGCCAATTTACAATTACTAAAGCGGCAGAGTAGTGTGGGCGACACAAATTACACCTACAGTCCCTTTAATAGCATTTGTTTGATTCAATCCCGGGAGATTGTTGTTCTAAATAGAAAGAAAGAAATCTCGAGTGTTGGATCACTATCTCAGGTGAGTACATTAAGCACAGTGTGTCTGACTAAACATAGTAATTAGAAAAATTAAAAATGATAGATTAATATCTGGCCTTTTCAAATTTTGGCCTACCTTGCGGAGTATTCAAAATTGATGATTTTAAAACAATTCGAAAAATATGAATAAAATGTTTTGATATTTACGGATTCTAAATTTTTCTCAAATTGAATACGAAATCATGTTTTTGAATATTTACAAGATGTCCGTTTTCTATTCTTAACAAAATAATATTTACTTTCAGTATTATACGAAATATCTTCTTGCGTATCTAATATTGAAAAGCTGCTATAAAGGAAATGAGTTTTTGCCACAAAATCTTATTTTCAAATTTTTATATCTTCTCAACCAAACGTCGTAAACTTTAGATATTTCAAACTATTCATTCTGTTTAACCAAATAATCTTAGTTTGAAATATCGAAGGATTACGGTATTAGGTTGAAAAGATACAGAGGTTTAAAAATTTGAGTTTGTGGAAAAGACTCAATTCCTTTAGAATATTTCTTTTCTAAAATTTCATTTAAAAATTCCAAGTTGAGTGGGTTGTCTTTTTAGAGAAAGTTTAGTTTTCCAGCCAACTCTGGGTTAATTCTGTTTGACGAGTTTGACGTCCGATCTGAACCCATAAACCTCTTGACCGATTTGCGGAAGTAAAAATCTCCTTATAACGTTCTTAGCTTGGTTTAAAACAGAAGTTTAGTTTCAAGGCAAGGCTGGGTTCCCAACCTAAGTTAAATATTTCAATAGTAATTGTGTTTTCGGTTACTGTAACGAAAATTAAAAGTAGTTGGTCGCTACCCTGTAAGGATCAATCAAGAATAAAATTGACAATTTCCTAAAGAAGCTTCTCAAGTTTTAACTTAAACCCCTGGTTCCGTTCCGCCCGGTTTAGTTTATTGGTAATTAGATAGGAGAACCGTTTTATGTTCTTTATTTCCAGAACTTGTTGGAAATTTCTAGAAAAGGGGGAATCATTGCCGTTGCGTGAATGGTATTTTTCACCTCTTGGAAAATAAACATACAGGGTTACCCACAAAGAATAAGACCTAAAATTACAAAAGAAATTCTTTTTTCGGAATAAATAAATTAAACAAAATAAGTCTTCTGTCTTAAATATAGTCTGCTAATAAACGATTATACTGAATAATTTAGTAATAAAAGTAACAAGATTAAAGTATGAAGGGAACCAAGGATTTAAGAAAAGTAGTAAATACATTCCGTACAGTCGTCTATGAAGTTTCATTCTTTGTGCAGGTGACCCTGTATATTCGAAGGATTAATAAAACTTAAACGACGTATAATATGAATTTTTATAGCTTAGAAATGAAAATATGTAAATTTAAATGATCTCCAAAAGTTCTAGGTATCAGGAATATTTTTGAGCTAACAGATTCCTTATTCAAAATATTGGAGTTTTATGAATGTACGTGAACAGTCCTAATAAATTCTATCATTTTCTTTAATTCTTATTCTTCACAAAAAAAAATTACTAGAAAGACTTAAAAAATGAATGCATGAATGCGAATTTATTTGTTTATTTCACTTTAAAAGGTTATAAATTATTTAGTGTACTGTGCTGAGAGAGCAAGATGTGCTAAGAGCTGAGATTCTTAAATTATCATAGAAGATCAAATGTATTTTGTACACATAAACAAGCACGCACATATTTAGACTAACAGATTTAGTTACAACATATAAGAGAAGATAAAGAATAATAGAGTAGGCATTAAAAATACAATAAGCGGGTATTCTAGTTCTGATCAGGAGAAGATAAAGAAAAATAGAGTAGGCATTAAAAATAAAATAAGCGTGTATTTAAGTTCTGATCGGCACCTTGTGTGGATATCATTAATCTTGAACCCTTGATCTTGATATCAAATGTGGGCACTTTTTTAATTTGAGGATCACTGCTTGACCTAAAGGGTATGACCATCAGGGGATAACGATAATTTAATCCGTAGATTTGCATCAGATGGAGGCCAATGCTAAATCCTGATACTTACTACTCAAAAGTTCTCACTTCTGGTTATACGGGTTTGTAAGAAAATTAGAAAAATTATCAAATTATCAACAGTTTGAAAAATCAGAATTTGCGTCGAATCAATACAATCAATAGAGGGAATTTATTAAGCTTTTTATGTTATTCCTTACTGTCGTATCAATTCATCTAGCTTTGGATGTTACCCTATAAGCACACGAATCAGAGGTTGGAACTTCAGACCACTAATTCGTATTTGCTTAGGTCCAACGGATTAGTTGAATGATTTTATTTAAAGAGCAACCAATCATTTAGAAGCCACACAAGTATCTGCTCTTGGTCAATGATAATCACGGATCTAAAGCACGACCATTGCTTCTGTTTTGAAAATCGCTATATTAGATTGTAAAAATGACAACTGTGGAATTCCTGATCTTCTGAAAATATTGTAAAAAAAACATTTATCTTAATCCTTGTTTAGTAATGTGCAGGTGTGTATAAGTAGTTTGGTTTGTACATGCTGTAAGGTTGGAAGAACGGATAGTTGGAAGAGAACTCAGGTTTTGAGATTCGTTGTTGTATGTTTGAGGTACTGGAGAAGGACGGATAGACTCCTTGAAGGGTTGGAGTCTGCACCCTGAACAGTGGATGGGTTCCAGGATAGAACTGGTTTGCTCCGGAAACTCCGGGGAGGATGGATCTCTTTACTCCTGCAGACATTCGTTTTTCGTTTATTATTATTATTATTATTATCATTATATGAGGATGCACTACATCATCAGGTGTGAAAGGGGGGGGGGAGATGGGCGGGGACTAGGTGGGGTGTGGGGGGGTTATTATTATTATTATTATTATCATTATTATTATTATTATTATTATTATTATTATTATTATCATGATTATTTTTCTACAAAGAATGTATCCCTGAGAAGAATAGCGGTTGTGAGAAGAACTCTTGAAGTTGGTTCTCCTGGAGCTGGAAGACAAGTAGGTCCCTGCTGGAGTAATAGAGGTTCTCCTGGTTGCATTGCACCTTCTCCTCCCTCTGGCAGAGTCTGGTGACGGGATCGAACCTGTACCGGGACGGACATCTGAACAGTCGTTCTGCTGATAGAACACCTGGAAATCATTAAAATCATAAATTTGACCAGCTTTACCCGACCTATAATTCCCCCATATTATAACTATACAGTGAGACCCATAAAACTGTGGAATAGGAAGCCGATATTTACACAGCCTTTGGTGTTTCAAAGTCAATATTTCAAAGTTTTGCAGAGTAGCTTTTCCTAAAGATTAGGTTAGGTTAGAGTAAAAATTATTATATATGTTAATATGTATATATTATAACAGATCAAACAAATGTAGTTAATGTAAAATTAATGACTATAATGAAGGATATGAAACAAGGTGAAAGATGAAAGGTAGGAAAGGAAACGTTTACTTGATAGAGTTTGTAAATGTCAGAAATGAGTGGAAAATTTAAATCAAACCCATCCAAAAACCAATAATTTTATATAAAATTATAAGGGGGGGGGGTATTTATTTTTCAATGGGGGAGGGTAAAATATATTTCAAATTTCCCCCCCCCCCCCAACACTATAAAATCCTTATATACGCCCCTGGGTTCACCAGTGGCTTAAAAATCCAAAGTGAAATAGGTATGTGCACCATATCCTTATCAGAATACAGAATTTATACCTCTCTCTCTAGATGTCAGGGAATAGTAAAAAAAGATTCTAGGTTAAGAGTAAAATTAGATTGGAGAAGGGGGGGGGGCTTCTATAGCCCGTCCCTTAATATCCTGTTCTATCCATAAAGTTATCAGGATAGAAAACATGGTTCCACTTCGTCGATTACATTTTTTTACAAATTATTATTTTTAATTGTGATAAAAAGTTGTAAAACTAGACTAGTTTTCTCTAAATCCTCTAAATGTAGAAGGATTAAGCCTAGTATTTAACCTCCCCCCCGCCCCCTCCTCCAATCTGCCCTAAACCAGCTTGAAATAGCCTAAGTATAGTTTTAAACCACTACACTCCAATTTGATAGATATTTTCCTGACCTGGAGTAATTTCTTTGCAGGTATAGAACTCTCTACAATCCGAGGGTTCGGAGAAATATCCAGGCTCGGTGCAGGGATAAATTGAATCAGAGGAAACTGTAAATTTGCTCGTATCTACTCCGCCCCCGCTTGAACCTGTATCCGGAGAACTGTCTCCGTTACTTTCCCCGTTCTCTGGAGTAGGAGGTTTAACTAATTCTGGGTTGGTTACTCCAGATTCATCAGACCCGGCTGAATCTGTATCTCCCTGAGAAGTTTCTGATCCTGTTGATCCTATATTTGCATTATCTCCTGCAGTTGAACCTGACCCTGTAGATTCTAGACCTGGATTTGATCCTGAACCCTGAGATCCGTCCTCAGGGTTAGGAAGAGGAGACGGAGTAGTCATGGGAGGATCAACATAGATCGGAGGAGAGGGAGGATACACAGGGTAATCAGGGTAAACTACTGCCGGAGAAGGACCAAGAATGATAAAACAGGGCGGAGCTAGGAAGGCGTGGTTACAATTTGACACATTTGGGTCATACACCGTTCCTGAAAAAAACGATTTTTTAGGATTTGTTTAAATAACTTTTTAGTAATTAAAATGATGCTTTATTAAATATACCTAAAGGGCACTGATACTTGTAACTAGTGCTACGGTTCAAACATCTATAGAAGGATGTACAGGACTCAGGATCTGGAAAATATCCTTCTCCAGGACATACAAATTTTGCTCCAGATCCTCCTAGACCTAGTAGAACCAACCATACTACAGGGTTCACGTCCATACTGGAGCTGGTTCAAGGAGCAGAGTAAACCAGGGTTTAATAACGTTTGATAAACCTTTGGAAATCCAGACTCGGAGAAATTTTTCAGAGTCGAGACATTTTTTCTGGTTGGCACGTCCCTCCAGGGGTTTCAGGAGATGTAGAGAGAACTAGTTTTCTTGCTCAGGGTTAGGCTTCAGACAGAACTCTCATTATCTATCTATCTATCTCTGAAAGTATCTATGAGTAACTGCAATTTGCAAATATTATCTTTTCTTTAAATTTATGGGAGGGCGAGAGAGTGGAGTCTTTGAGTTCTATAGTTTGAGAATCATTTTTATACTTATAATTCTATTTCTGGTAATCAAAATTCTTGTTACTATAAAGGATTTACTGCAGCTTCTATTTCCAAGCGTAAAAAATCTTTTTCATTAAAATGAGAGAGAACGAAATTATCGAAATATTCTAGTTTCACGAATTGAAAAATAAAAATAAAAAGTTATCATGAAACAAAATTTCGAAATTCCAGTATTTTAACTTAAAGTTTAATTATTTTCAGAATGCAACGAAAAAAAATTCTTAGTCAATTACTAACTAAATAGCTTATATAGCTTAAATAGCTGATAACTTGAAAACAAATGTTTATATTTCTACCAACTTAATGATTTTCTGGTTTCTAAAATACACTCAAATATATCATTAAACTTAAATTATTATTGAAAATTGATAGGTTGAGGATGCACTACATCATCAGGTGTGAAAGGGGGGGGGGAGATGGGCGGGGACTAGGTGG